GAGCACCAGCCAGCCTTTCAGTAAAGGTTGCTGGTTCAATTCCCAGTTTGGGTACATGGGGACATGTGAGAGGCAATCAGTCAATGTTTCTCTCCCACATCGATATTTCTCTCTCTCTGTTTCTCCCTCCTTTCCCCCTCTTTAGAAATGAATAAATAAAATCTAAAAAAAATTTGAATAATATTTATTATATATTTTTATTACCATTTAATCCCTTTATACCCTCTCCCCCCAGCAATCACCTCACTGTTGTTCATGTCCATGAATCCTTTTTCCTTTTTTGCTCAATCCCTCCTCCCCTGATATCCCCCCCCCTGACTAGCTGTCATCCGTTGTCCATTTATGAATCTGTCTCTGTTTTGCTTCTTAGTTCAGTTTGTTCATTAGATTCCACATATGAGTGAAATCATACAGTATTTGTCTTTCTCTGATTGGCTTATTTCACTTAGCATAATGTTCTCCAGGTCCATCCATACTGTTGCAAAGGGTAAAATTTTCTTCTTTTTTACGGCCGAGTAGAATTCCACTGTGTAAATGTCCCGTAGTTATTTTATCCACTCATCTATTGATGGATACTTAGGCTCCTTCCATATCTTGGTGATTGTAAATAATGCTGCAATGAACATAGGGGTGTTTATGTTCCTTCAAGTTAGTGTTTTGGGTTCCTTTGGATATATTCCCAGAAGTGGGATTGCTTGGTCAAAAGGCAGATCTATTTTTAATTTTTTGAGGTGTCTCCATACTGCTCTCCACAGTGGTTGCACAGTCTGCATTCCCATCAACAGTGCAAAAGGGTTCCCCTTTCTCCACATCCTCACCAGCACTTGTTTGTAGATTTATTGATAATAGCCATTCTGACAGGTGTGAGATGGTGTCTCATTGTGGTTTTTATTTGCATTTCTCTGATGATTAGTGATGTGGAGCATCTTTCAATATGTCTTTTACCACCTCTATGTCCTCTTTGGAGAAGTGTCTAGTCAGGTCCTTTGCCCATTTTTTAGTTGTTTGATTTTTTGGTGTTGAGTTTTGTAAGTACTTTATAAATTTTGGACATTAACCCCCTATAAGATGTATTACTGTATATGTTCTCCTATTTGGTGGGTTGCCTTTTTATTTTGTTGATGATTTCCTTTGCTGTACAAAAACTTCTTAGTTTGGTGAAATCCCATTTGTTTATTTTTTTTCTTTTGTTTCCCTTGCCTGGGGAGATATATCTGATAAAAGTTCTACAAGCAATGTCTGAGATTTTGCTGCCTATGTTTTCTTCTAGGATTTTTATATCTTTGGGTCTAACGTTTTAAGTCTTTGATCCATCTTGAGTTTATTCTTGTGTGAGGTATAAGAAGAGGTCTAGTTTCATTTTTCTGCAAGTATCTGTCCAATTTCCCCAACACCATTTATAGAATAGACTATTGTTAGGCCATTGTACATGCTTGCTTCCTCTGTCAAATATTAATTGACGATGAAGGTATGGGTTTGATTTTTATTTCCTTAAAAAATTGATTTCCTTAGCACCTTTATTCTGAAGAGCTCTTAATTTTTGTACTTAGAATTTCTAAACAGTGAACACTTGTCAAGCATCAAAATAAGAGAAGAGTGAGGGAGTCGGACCTCGGGTGACGAGGAGCGCTGTTGCTTTGTCTCCTGCAAGTTCCAGTGGGTGGAGCTGCACAGCTCCTCCATCCTGGGCCTCATTAATGAGTGACCTAGAATTGCTGTTGTTTTTTTTTTAATTATTATTTTTTTTTATTTTTAGAGCATAAGCAATCAGCTTTGCACCCACAGCAGTGTTCTTTAAGCAGAGCCACTTACCACCTCATCATCATGCACCCATGTAATCCTTCTCTTAAAGGGCACAAGTTTTGTGCTTGGGCCCAAAGAGCTATGGCCTGTGTTATCATTTCTGACTCATGTCAGTGCATGTGACTTAGTGACATGTGGGTGACTCTCGATTGCTGAAGAACCAGCGAGCCCATCTGTGGATCATCCCTCCCTCCTTGGCTGGTTTAGGTCTCCTTCTCCAGCTCACCTCCAGAGTGAGGTCAAGAGTAAAGGAAATAGCAAAGGTAACTGAAATCATGCTAAGCAGCCCATTTCATCTCAGATTAAAAGGAAAAAGGCTGTGCGCGAGCAGTGTGTGCACGTGCATCTTAGATTTAGGTAGAAAACAAGCTAATGAGAGGTGCAGAAATTGGTTAAAATTTTTGGCCAAAAGTTAGATTTTAAAGAGGATTTATTTCTGGATTTCAGTCCCCGTTGCCCTTTCTATGAATAATTAACATTTGTTTTAATGTGAATAATAGCACAGAGGGAATTCAACTCCCTGAGTTTGGCTATTTCAAGCAACTGTTTTAGGCCCGTGAGGCATGTGCTATTTATGACGTCACATGGGTAGTGGTGATAAAAATGACAGTGGTAATTGCGATTGGCGTTTATTGAACCCTCACAATGTGCCAGGCACTGTGCTGAGGGCTTTAGGTGGGTTATCTCATTGACTCGCCACAGGAACTCTTTGAAGTAGGTGGAGAATAATCCCCATTTTAGGGGTGAGGAAACAGAAGATCAGAGAGGTCACACAGCTAGAGTGGTAGAGTCAGATTTGAACAGAACAGCCTGACTCTGGGTGTCGACTTGCTTGGCTGCCCTGCAGTGTGTTTGTAGGGAGCTGTCACTGGGGTACAGCAAGACAGCACTATTACACCAACCCTTGTCACTGGGTGGGGCACTGCAGGGAGGGAGGTGTTCTGAGTTGCTGCAGGGAATTGACCTCTTTTAGGCAGGGGAGTAGTTTGGGCCAGCAGGAAGAAATTTCCCGTGCTGACAAGACCGAACTGCTCATTGACAGCCAGGTCCTGCAGCCCGTTATCAAGGCAGCAAAGGTGGGGCTGTGGGCCAGCGGTAGGCTCAATGGCGTGTCACTCCCTGTGCGGGGACCCTTGCTGGTTGTTGCTCTGGCCCTGCCCTTCACCAGTCCCAGTATTTGTACCCAGGGAGCCAGCCACTGTGGGAAGCTGTCCTGGATGGGAACTGTCCTTTCCACCCTTAATTAACTGCTTTTTAGGGATGAGACAGAGTGTGTGAGTGATACACACAAAGTATATCACTCTGTGGGGAGACTATCCTTCTAGCCCACTCTCATGAGGTCACGCTGCGTTATTTTTGTGGTATTTTCCCAAGGTCTGTATCAGGTGCATCATGTCAGTCTCTTTACCCCAGGTCTCTATTGTGAGACCAACAGAAACCATTTAGTAACTGGCAGGTCGCTTAACCTCTGGGCCTCAATTTTGTCATCTATAAAATGAGGTTAATAAATTGTATCTGCCTCCTAGAGTCATTGTGGGGAATAAAGAGTTAAAACATGTCTAAAGTTAGAACAGAACCAGGCATGTCATCAGTGCCCAAGAAGTGTTTGGCTTTGTATGTCTTTCTACAGCTACTGTAATAAATTACCACAATTTTAGTGGCTTAAAACAGGACATGTTTATCATTTTAGAGTTCTGGAGGTCAGAAGTCTCAGATAGGTTTTACTGGGCTGTAGTCAAGGTGTAGGCAAGGCTGCACTCTGGAGCCTCTAGGAGAATTGGTGTCCTCATCTTTCCCGGCTTCAACAGGCTGCCTAAATCCCCTGGCTTATAGCCCCTTCCTTTGTCTCAAAAGCCAGCATTGTAGCACCTTCAAATCTCTCTGATTCTGACCCTAATTCTGTTGTCACATCTCCTTTCCTCTTCTTCTTTCATTTTGTAAGGACCCTTGTGATTACTTTGGATCAAACCAGATAATTCACATTCATTTCCCCATCCCAAAATCCTTAACTTAATCACATTTACAAAGTCTTTTGCCGCGTCAGATAACAGATTCACAGGTTCTGGAGATTAGGCTGTGCACATCCTGGGGGAGGGGCATTGTCAGCCTACCATAATAAGCCTTAGCAGTTTGTATAAAATGAAGCAGAACCAACTGGCTAGCTTGGAGATAGAATAATAAAATGCTGTAACTAACAACAACATTTTGATTTTAAAGTATCCAACTAAAATGTTTAGCTACAACACTTTATTGGATACTTGCTCTATTAGCTCTGTTCTGTCTCAGGACTGTGGCATCTATTATCCCTCCTTCCTAGAGCTTGTTTCCTTCCAGAGCTTTGGATGGGCTGCACCTTCTTATCCTTCAGGCTCTACCTCAAATGTCACCTCCTCAGAGAAGCCCTCCCTGGTTACCAAGCAGACCCTCGATCCATTTCCTCTATCATAATCACCTTACCCTGTTTTCTTCTTGGACAGAAGTTATCATCATCTGTAACCTCTCTGTTTGTGTGTATGCCTGGTGCATTCTTTTTCTTTTTTTTAAAATTTTTATTTACTGATTTTAGAGAGAGAGAGGAAGGGAAAAAAAACAATTCGTTTTTCTACCCATTCATGCATTTATTTGTTGATTCTTGTATGTGCCCTAACCAGAGATTGAACATGCGAACTTGGTGCATTGAGACAACACTCTCACCAACTGAGATACCCAGCCAGGGCCTGGGCTGATGCATTCTTTCTGCCTTCCATGGAATGTCAGTTCCAGGAGGGTAGGGCCATTGATGTCTTGTTTACTGCTTTTTCAGTGCCTGGAACAGCTTCTGGAACAGAGTAGGCACATAGTACATATCTGCTGTGTAAATGAATGAAGCCAGGTAGGCAGGGTGCTGCATTTAATGCTCGCACTCTCCTGTGTGGTAGGTCTTTTTTTTTTATCATCCTACACCATAGATATGGAAACCGAGGCTCAGAGAGTCTGAACCATTGCCTCAGGCTAGTGGCAACTGAATTTACACCCAGGTCTTCCTGCTTCCAGAGTTCTTGCTTCCTCTCACCTCTCTGCCTCATGGTCTTGATTTCATTAGAAGCTCTGCCGATGGCCACAGAACTCTGGCAGGTCCATTGTTTATGCCATAGTTTCTGAATGCAGCTTTTCCTGCCCACCTACTTGCACCTTGACGTTGGTTTTCTCCTCTTTAGGTCTGTTGTGTCGGGCCTGGACTCCCCTGCCAAGACTAGCTCCATGGAAAAGAAACTTCTCATCAAAAGCAAAGAGCTGCAAGACTCCCAGGACAAGTGTCACAAGGTATTTATTTCCACAGCCGGCCTCTCTCCTTGCTCCAGGATCCTCCCGTCAATATATGCCAAGGGAGCCACCTGGGGCCGCTGCTGGCACTGAGCCACCTGATCCATACAGAGTGAGCGAGGTGCTATCTCCCTCGCTGAAGTCACGTCTGCGGCAGCTCAGAGGGAGATGAATTCGGGCCTTGACGTTGCTGTAAATCCTTTAAATCTTAACCAGAGGAGGTCCTGGATTTAAACCGGCCCGTTCCTCAGCATGACCCAGCCAGATGTCTGCTTCTTCCGGCAGGTGGCGTGGGTCCTCACCTGTGGCCGAGATGCATCCCATCTGCTTTGAGTGATGCGAAGTCTCTCTTCCTAGTCTTTTAAAACTCCTGCTTATGTAACTGCGGCCACGGTGTTGATTATGCTCAACGTCTCTTAACACTCACTGTTCCTGCCCAGGGACAGCTTTCTGGAAGCTCATAAAAGTCACTGCTTGCCCAGGACTTCTAAGAGTGCAGACGAATACATATCTCCTTGTCCTGTCCTGGATTTGTCCTCTAGATCTTTGCAAGGAGATGGGGGGGGATCAAGATGGATTTGGGGTAAAATTAAAGTGACGTCTGCAAAAACCAAACCAAACCAAAAAAGCAAACGGGTGAAAAGTGATGATTGTGGCTTTCTTGCTCACTGGGTTAGAGAAGTGATCAAGTGTGAACCGAGACTTGAATGAGAGGAGTGACTTAGCATTGGTGACTATCCTTACGAAGAACTGTGCGCTCCCGGGCGAAGAAACAATGGTATTTCCATCCCAACCTTTGGCGAAATAGTGCCTGCCCAGACCACCTGATGATTTTGGGGGCTACTTGAAATTTGAAAGCTCCCCAACGAACTTCCGCCGGCCTTTTTAACCTGTCGATGTGTTTATTTCAGATGGAGCAGGAAATGACCCGGTTACATCGGAGAGTGTCAGAGGTGGAGGCTGTGCTTAGTCAGAAGGAGGTGGAGCTGAAGGCCTCTGAGACTCAGAGATCCCTCCTGGAACAGGACCTTGCTACCTACATCACAGAATGCAGTGTGAGCCTTCCCCAAAGTCCCCTTCCCTTGGAGGTGGCACTTCCTGTCGTGTGTGTCTCATCCTGTTTCATGACAGCTCCATGAGGCACATCACAGCCAATGGCAGAGAGTAGAGAAAGGGAGAATATGAGAGCAAGAATTGTGACTTGCAGAGCAGTGTGAGCCTTGCGAGAGGCCCCAGAGAGAACGAAGACTGGACTGCAGACAGCCCAGCTAGGCCGTGGAGCTTGGAGATGGGTGTAGTCGTCATCGCAGCAATTCACACAGGGTGCTGACATCTCCCATCCCAACCTCTCTGGCCTATACCTTACACCGTGTCCTACACCATCGGCCTCGGGAACCAAACTCACACATAAGCACAAGAAAATGTATTTTGAGGCTGCCTGAAATCAATTTTCCATTGCCTACAACTGGCATAGCAACTAGAAAACTCAGCCTTCAAAACCCAGACCCTCTGTCATTACTTACCATGTGGCTTTTTTTTTCTTTCCTTCACAAGAGTAGACTGTCTTCTCCATTGTCTTGTTAAAGTTTCATCCAGGTGTTTTTTAATTGTGCCCAATTAAACAGTCTTAAGAAGTTGAATCACACATTTTTCAAGTTTTTTTTCCCCCCACACGGGAGAGGAAATCTATCGGACGTGGCTAATTAAGAGTAACTGCTATGTTTCCATTCCAGATTTGGCCGCCTTTCAGTGGTGGGTGAAGTTATTCAGCTATGTATTTCAGATATATATTTAAGTGCCACTGAAGCATTGAGGGAACTTATGGATGAAAGGTATCCAGGAGACGTAAGCCAAGAGATGGAAATAGATTTCTTGGAGTCTTAAATGACAACAGGGCAGAGAATGAAGTCATTGCTACTTTGAAAGAGAGTTATATGCTTGGAGTCCTTGAATAACTGATATTACAGAAAAGATTCTGTGGCTATCCTGATGGTGGTCATAAAAGCCAAGGGATCTGACTAGTTTTAGTCGTAAACATACAAGTAAGTATCTGCTAGGACAGGTAGATGGTGGTAGGAGGCAGGTTAATGTAGTTTCAGGCTGGATCCTGAAGGTCACAGGGCTGAGATGATGTTTCTTGAACCCAGAGATTTTTACAGGATGAAAACTGGAATCAGCAACCAACTGGAAGTTGTCAACTTTGGTCCGTCACCTGAGACCGTCTTGGTGTCTGCGAAGCAGCTTGCAGCTCCCTTAATGAATCTTTTCAAACAGAGCAGACTCCACAGGGCATCCCTATTAAAATTTTTGCTTTCCGCAGAGCTTAAAGCGAAGTTTGGAACAAGCACGGATGGAGGTGTCCCAGGAGGATGACAAAGCACTTCAGCTGCTCCATGATATCAGAGAGCAGAGCCGGAAGCTCCAAGAAATCAAAGAGCAGGTATGATGACTGCCTGCCTGGGAATAGGGCGGCAGCTGGGACCTCTAATGTCAGGAGAGGCATGTGTGGCATGTGAGGCAGAGAGACGGAGAGAGAAAGGGGCGAGGGGGTGGAGAGATGTAGGTCATTTGGAAACTTCAGATTCCCCGTGTTTGTGTAAACCTTGGAGTGCTTGGCTCTAGCTCCTTTGAAATCTGTGCCCTGTGATGGCGACCCTTTTCAGGTAAAAGTGTAGGTTTGGAGCATGGGTGAGAAAATCTGGCCCACCACCTGTTTTCCACAAGGACAAGCTAAGAATGGTTTTTGCATTTGTAAATGGAAGGGGGAGAAATCAAAAGAAGAATAATATTTTATGATATGTGAAAAGTATGTGGAAGTCAAACTTCAGTGTCCATAAATAAAGCTTATATTGGAACACAGCCATGCTCATTCATTTATGTATTGTCCGTAGCTGTTAATCATCCTACTTTGGTAGAGGGGAGTAGTTGTGACAAAGATTATATGGACTGCAAAGCTGAAATTGCTTACTATGTAGTCGTTTACAGGAAAAGTTTTCCAACCTCTGCTTTAGATTATTAAAAAAATAATAATGATTTTTAATAGCTTTTCAGTTGCACTTTAAGTTTTTGAGAGAAGCCAGGATAATTCATAGTAAATAAAACTTCCTATATAAGTAAAATGCAAAGAAATAGTCTGGAAGAAGAGTTTGAGCAGCTAAGGCTGAGTAAGGTTTAACACAGCAAATCTGAGTGCAGAAAGCCATCCATCCCCTCTGTGTTAGGAAAAGAGCATTGAGACCATAAAAAGTGCACTCTTTTCTTTTTTCCCCCTTTCACAAAGGGTTTTCTTTTGAGAAGGTTCATTTTCTATTTTGCTTCATTGTTTCCTTTTTAACATGGATTTTTCTGTCCTTTGAAAAAACTGTATGTAGAAACTTTAATGAAGAGACGGCAATGAGCAATTGGAGAACTGAATTATCAGCTGCCAGGCAACTCATTCACTGCGGAAAAGCTCATGTAAACACTGGTGGAAATGAACATTTTTGTCTCTGGGTAGTAAAAACTTAGCCATCTGGGTGGTGCTAAATGTAAGAAACTCCTGCAAATAATTTGATTCATTCACTATTCTTTAAAGAAAGAATTATTGTTTTGGGAGTTTTGTTGGTATAATCTATCACCTTAATGTTTAAAAATTATTGGTTTATATCCTCTTTCTTGATAAAAAAGTTATAAGTAAATATGCATAGGAAACGTAGCAATCCAATTAGTAGATTTCAAAACAATACTAATCTTAGAGATTTCATAGACCACACATACAGTTTGAAAAATCAGCTTTGACAGCTGACTCATTGCCCCTTTTATCAACATGGTTTTCCATTCTACAGTTTCAAGAGGTGGGATTCTTTTTCTCCCATTAGTTCAATGTGTTTGGAAATTTGATTTTGGTGACATGCTGGGGAAATGAAAGCTGTATTTGGCCACCAGAGGGAGCAGCTGGTGTCCATGAATTCCACAGAAATAGAATTATCAGGACATTTTGAAAGACAGGACAGTTCAAAGAATGTCTTTGGTGATTCATGTACCAGTTGGCCTGCATGTGGAGTTTCAGATTTAATGACTGCTACAAGTTCCACTGGGGGAAGGGAGACTTCTCAGTTTCAGACCTTGTTTCTCACTGGAAGAAGGATTTATTAAAATGACTTCTGCAAAGTTTTGTGAGAGCAGGGTGTTTGCAGTCCAGGAAAAAGCAGTTCATACTTTCACCAAACTCCTGATAATCGGTTTGCAGCATGTTGGTTCCTCTCAGATTTGGCTTTTTTTTCCCTACTCTTTATCTTAAAAGCTAATTTCTGTATAGCTATTTATTTATTTTTTAACATTTTGATTCTACTTAGCTCCCTTCTATAGAGTATTTGGACTTGGTTTAAAATAAAAACACCTCAAAGTCTCACATGATAGTTTGATTCATACACCTTTACTAGCAATTGCTGACCCCTCACCTCCTCCTTAGGAAGGGAAGCAGAAGTTTGGGTAATGTGGAAGGCATTTGTATTTCAGGATTTCACGATCCTTTTCCACAAAATTCTGAAGCTTACCTTAGGCCTCAGAAGTCTTCCATGGTTCCCCATTCTGATCCTTCTGAGCTCTGACCTACAGTTCAGTCCATGCTGATACAGGACAGCTCTCTCTGCCATCCTTGGAAACAGACCTGATGATCTTCCCTCAGATTTTTCCTGCAGCAGGGATTTGGTTAGCTGGTGGCTTTACGAGATTGCGTTGAAGTATCCAGCATAATAGCAGCAGCTCAACAAGTGATGCAGAATTCCTGTTGATGCTTGTGGCAGGCCGGGTGCCCCCAGAGCTCAGAAAGCTGATGGGGATGTTGCCTGATTCTTGCCGTCCTCCCCGCCGGGTGCCAACAGCCCAGGGAAGAGAGATGTTGTGGAGAATGAACAGCTCTACCCTTGCTCTTGACAAAATATGAAAAGTACATTCCCTTCTCGCTCACGTAAGTTCAAGAAAGAAAAGGGAGTTAAAGGATAAGATGCCCAGGATTTTCTCCCAGCTCTGCTTCCCCTGCAGTTTGGTGTTTGTGACTATGAGTAGGGCTGATGGTACTTTTATTTTAGGTGTCCTTAAAATGTTTGAAAGCTTTTTTTTTAATTTAGAAGAAAAAAATTGAGATTTTAGGTCAAAGGAGCTTTTCATAGATAATATTAATGTTTTTGTCTTTATATGAACAACGTTATAATGTATAATTATTTTTTTTTTATGGAGGAGGGGGTCCAGGAGGGCTCAGTACTCAGAGCCACAATAGTCATAACGTATCCCTGGCCAAAGGGTCTAGGAAAACTCCAAGGAAAGGATGTTTGGTTTTATATGATCAACTTATGCTCCACTCTGTGAGTTCAGATAATCGTGAGTGGGTTATAAAGACCTTTGGTTATATAACCCCACATCACCCAGAAACCTGGTGACTGTGACTTCTAGGCTTGATCTGCACTAACAGTATATTTTTGGGTGAAGTGAAATAAGATGGTGCTCCGCTCTGGGCTCTTTTGTTTTTTTCATTTCCCCTCTACCAATGATATAGTGAGAGGTATGCTTGCATGAAAACTACCCAATTTTCATAAGGTCATCACCTCCCTCTCCTTTAGTGTGCACTGGGGAATTGCCTGTTATAATGGGCTGAAAGGTTTACTTTGTACCCTACTATTAAAAAAAACCAAACATATCCTTGCTCAATTGATACTTATTCAATTATTTCTTGGGAGAATGGATCTTAGAGATGTTCACTGTATATTGTGAATGCCAAGGACAGTGTTGATTCATTTCTTTGTTCTTTTCCTTTTTTTATCCCACCCTCCACCCTCTACCACCCCAGGGCATATTCTATTACATAAATGGTCATTCATGCCCTGGCTGGTATGGCTCAGTTGGTTGGAGTGTCATCTCATAGCCAAAAGGTTGCCAGTTCGATTCCCGGTTAGGGCACATAGCTAACAAGGACCTATTCGATCCTTGGTCCAGGCGTAGGCACGTGTTACTCCTGGTCTGGATGCGTACAGGAGGCCACCAGTGGATGTTTCTCTCTTTCATCAATGTTTCTCTGTCTGCTTTTTTCTTTCTCTGAAAGCAATGAAAAAAAATGTCCTCCCGTGAGGATTAAAAAAAATTTTTTTAAATGGTCATTCATAATTCCTATATGTATAAGCTTTGATTTTGCTAACAGAATACTTTCATACTTTGGCCAACAGTTTTCAAAACCATTGCCTATTCTGGTAAATCCAATTTTGAAAAACCTTGATTCAAATGTTCTGTTTTGATTTTAGAAATGCATTTTGGAAAAGGTCAGGCTATTTAGATCACTTTAAAGGGTTTGTTAGAGGGAACAAGATAATTCTTTCTTTGGAATTTTTCTCACAAGTTGTTTTTGACCAGAGTCAGTGTTTTCTGACTCTTCCAAATTTCAGGGTGACTTGTGTTTCAAGAGCAACATTAAGTTCATCATCATTCAGTTTTGGGCCCAGAAAAATTAATGGTGAGAAACTGACATGATGAGTTTCACCTTCCAAGATTCTTTCCACTGAGATTTCCAATTACCCTCTTCTGCCGACTGAAAGGTTAATTTTAAAACTAGTACCATATCTAATTATGTTAGGAACACATGACTTCTAAAGGACAAATCTATATAAACGATTACCCTTGGAAGAAAGCTACTCATAAGCAGTTTATCCTGGTTGCTTGAAGAACATCCCTTACAGCTCTCTTGTGTTGCAAATGCCTTAAGGTTCTTTGCTTATTTGTGGTATTATTTGCTCAAAGAGTCTTATTATAGGCGCATGTGTTCCCAATGGTGTTAGTGATACATGTTCCACATTAAAACAGTTTAAAGATTTAATACTCTTTTCTCCCTTCTCCTCTTCCCACGCCTCTCCCTTTTGCCCATCTGTCTTCTCACCTTCTCTCTAGGTCCGTTCTCTGCTGATCTCTCTTCCGTTTTTGTCTTCCCTCTGTGGCCAATGTTTGTTCATCTTCTTTGCCTGTCTTTTAGGAGTTCTGAAGTTCACCTGTCTTCCATTGTCCACTCTTTTAGGAATACCAGGCTCAAGTGGAAGAAATGAGACTAATGATGAATCAGCTGGAAGAAGACCTGGTTTCGGCAAGAAGACGGAGTGATCTCTATGAATCAGAGCTGAGAGAGTCACGGCTCGCTGCTGAAGAGTTCAAGCGGAAAGCAACCGAATGTCAACATAAACTGATGAAGGTAGACGGCCTCCTGCCAGGATGCTGTTTTGGGGGTGGAATCATGGATGATCTTAGCAAGAATAAAAGGAATGCTAGCTAATAGGTATACATTTGAGAAATAATGGGATACCCTGGAAAGTTCCTGGTCTTTATTTATAGAAGATAACTTGTTTACCATCATCATCATCATTTTGGTCACAGAGACGAAGAAAATGCAAGTGGTAATGTTGTCTGTAAGACTTTTATATTCTTGAAACTTCCCATTATGTCATATCTTTTAAATTACAGGCTAAGGATCAAGGGAAGCCTGAAGTGGGAGAATATTCCAAACTGGAGAAGGTATTTTTCATTATTGATATTGCTATTTTTGGTAGATAATTTTTTAAAGGTTACTATTGATGGCCAGTCGTAGGCACTGGTAAGAATACTCTTGCAATGATTAGAGAACTTTCTTCCAGGTTTATTTTGATGGTCGACTCCTGCGTGACCACTTGTAGCTTCAGCTATGGTTCTAAAAGGGATAAAAGACACCTCATTTTTCTTTTTTCGTCATATCTGCTCACAGTAACAATGACTGTACTCTTAGTAAAATACATGTGAAAATTCTCGTTGTCTAAAGGCACCGGACGACTTTGATTTCTTTTTTGCCATTTGTGTGTCGCTGGTTCTAGAGAAATAGTCAGCGTGGAGGTTTGCACTGGGACATTCAAAGTCTTTTCTGATAGGCCACTTGTTTTTCCTCTCCATTAGTAGGTACTGGAAAACAAAACAAAAAGATCCCACAGAAACCTCAAGAAAATAGGACTACAATAAATATAGCAAGATCTTAATACCGATTTGCCTTTTGCTTTATTTCCTGGGATTTTAATTGTAGATCAATGCTGAACAGCAGCTCAAAATTCAGGAGCTCCAAGAGAAGCTGGAAAAGGTAAGTCTGAGGTGCTTTTCTGGGGAACTTAGCCCCCGTTTCCAAATACTTTACGTTGCCTCATCCTAGAGTGTGAAAGATGAAACAAACAGATTTAGTCACCCAGCACCGAGGAAAATGAAGGGGGAGTGAGCTATTACCTGAAAATATGAGAGTTCTGAATATATTTTTTCTTTTGAGATGTGTCAGCAATGTTTATTTTTAAAAACCAAGCTGTGTGAGACTCTCAAGTAAAAATTCTAATTATATTATGACAGAACCCAAGAAGCACTTCTCACCACTCGTGGGGCCAGGCTCCCCATTTTGCACATTTGTAAGAAGCATGTGTCGTGCATGACCCAGGCTGCTTTCACCGAGAAGCTCTGTGGGCAGCATTGCTGTGCACTGGAAGATGGGAGGAGCCATGGAATCATCTGATGGTGGGGAAGGGGGTGGGTTTGGTTGCAGGATCTTGCAAAGTTCATGTGAGTTGAACACTGGAAATGCCAATGAAAGGTCCAGAATGAATGTGGTTCTGAGACGTGCCTTGTGGATGTTTGTGAATGTGTTTATTGGTTTAGTTTAATAGAGTCCCTTTTCATTCTTTTAAAAAAATTGTAAAAAACACATAACATTAAATTTACCATTGTAACCATTTTGATGATATAGTTCAGTAGTGTTAAGTACATTCACTTTGTTGTGTACTGGATCCCTAGAACTTTTCCATCTCGCACAACTGAAACTCTGTACCTGCCAAACACGGATCCCCTCTTTTCATTCCCCCAGCCCTTGGCAACCACGTTTTTTAATTTTCTTTTTCTATGGTTTTGACTGCTTTAAATACTTCATGTGAGTGGAATCTTACAGTATTTGTCCTTTTGCGACTGGCTTATTTCACGTAGCATAGTGTCCTTTACTTTCATCCATTGTGGGGCATGTGACAGGATTTCCTTCTTTAAGGCTGCATAATGTCCCATTATCTCCATCCACCACGTTTTCTCTATCCATCTCTCTTCTTGCCTATTCTTGAGCTCACTAATGAAAGCCCTTACTGCCCTCTTTCAGCTGGAAGCTTGTGTAAGGATTCATATTTTCATCTAAAGCTGTGTTCTCCAGTAGAAGTGTGATGCAAGCCACAAATGTCAGCCACAGATGTAATTTAAAATTTTCTAGGAGGCACACTAGAAAAAGCAAAAAGGAATGGATGGACTTATTTGAATGATCTAGTTTATTTAACCCAATGTATCCAATATATCATGGTAACATGTATCAGTGTTAAAATATTTACACTATTATAGTTTTTAAATGAATTAAACCTAAATAAAATACAAATTTAATTCCAGTCACACCAGCCACATTCAGGTGCTCAAGGGCAACATGTCATTAGTGGCTCTCATGTGGACAGGGCTGATCTAGAAATTGGACTTTTCTTGTAGTTTACACTTCTAAATTTTAAGTTTTTGCTTTTTAAAATTTTAATTTAAAGCAAATAATTGTGAGGTTGTTGCTATAAGCTCAGATTTTTACTATGATGCTATAAGAGTGAAAGTATAGTGAAGACCCAAATAAAAATTAACTACAAAAGTGTTATTTAAGAAAAATATGGATTTGCAAATTACCCTATATACTGCCCTTTGAAAAATACTCATTTGAAATATAGTCTCAATTACAGCTTTTATCTTTTCTTAAAATGTAGTACAAAGTATCCATAGGATTATAAAATAAGGAGAGAATTAATGCTCCATGGTAAATACATTGTTACCTGGATACATAAATCTTTCTAGACTTTTGTGTTTGCATTGAATCTACATTGCATTGAATCTGGGAGGCTCATGATTATCAGATACACCATTATCTTATGTAGCCCAAGAAAGAAAATAATCCTACCAATTTTTATTGTGGGATGCATTCCAAATTTGGTGATGTTAAAAAAAAAAAAAGAGTATGTGCACCTTAGAAAAGAGAAAATACAAAATAAAGTAAATGTTTGTATGTTTTGAAAAATGGATATACTATAAATACTGTGTTCCCTGATTTTTTCCATTTAGAATATTGAATAAATTTGGCCATCCATCTCCTGTCCCTTCTTTCCTGGTAGGCTGTAAAAGCCAGCACAGAGGCAACTGAGCTGCTACAGAATATCCGCCAGGCAAAGGAGCGAGCTGAGCGTGAGCTGGAGAAGCTGCAGAACCGCGAGGATTCTTCTGAAGGCATAAAAAAGAAGCTGATTGAAGCCGAGGTGAGCAGGGGCCTGCCGGCCCATGGTGGACTGACCCCGGTCCTGGCGTGGCCACATGGGTGTGATGGTGACCAGCCTTTGGCTGTGCCACGGGAGAGGACCTGCAAAGCCACCCCTTGCTGATGTCTGATCAAACTGCTTTCCCTTCTGCAAATATCTTTGAAATTTGAGAGGCTTGGAAATGTTTTCCCCAAAGGGGAAGAAAGATTTGTCACAGCAGCTTCAAGTATAAAGATGTTTTGATGAAAGGTTTTCCTTTCTGTTTTCCTCTGACCTGCTCACTGAACTGGGAGGGTTTATTTATATTTGTATAGATAGACTGTAATGCCATCCCTGAGTTTTTCTTTTTCTGCCCTCTGTACCCTTGTTATTCTTTGCCTTCCCCACACTGTTAATAACATTAATTTTCAAGGCTTCAGCTATTACCTGTGTGTTGATGACTTCCCAGGTTTATATTTCAGGGTGTCTTCTTTCCCTCAAATTCTTTGTTGTTGTTGTTGTTGAAATAACTTATATAATTATACAGGAAATACACAAGTGTCTTCTTATTGTCAAAAACTTAAGTTTAAGTACTGAAGAATATAGAATAAAAAGTGACACTTCCCTTTTTCTCCTGTCTGTCTCCCCCAGCTCCTTGGTGGCTGATCTGCAAAACGGATGTGCCGTAGTTCATTTAACCAAACCCCTGTTGCCGGGCCTTCTGCTTTCCCTGTCACGGTGCCGGCATGAACCTATCGGCTCATGTCTCTTCAGGGCCATCCTCACTCATGTTCCAGGCAGCATTTCCCACTGCTCCCCTGACATCTGGACTGGGTGTCTGAACAGTGCAGCAAATCCAGGATGAACTCAAGGGCTTTCCCCACGAAGTCCCCTTCTCAGTTTCCCCCGGGGGTCAGGGCCACCACCATTCATCTAGTCACCCCAGGTTTGAAACCGTGACATCATCTGCTTCTCCGTGGACCCTGCCATGTGTCACTCAGTCCTATAAATACAGCCACACTGTCTCCCCATCCATCCCCTGCTTGCCATTTCTGTAGGCCTCCTCACAGACCAGGCCTTCTTCCTCTTAGCTGAGCAAGTGTAACGTTTTTTGCCTTCTGCTTCCAGTCTCTCCTTCCTCCAAGCTAGCTTATACAGTGTAATACTCATGGTCCTCGGACAGAAAGCTCATCACACACCCCAACCCCATCCCAAACCTTTCAGAGCTTCCATGCATCTTAGGCACACCCCTGAGCCTGGTAGAGGAAACTCTCAACTATTTGACCCACAAACTTCACCTTTACTCTTGCTTCTCCCCACAATCCATCTTAAGTTGTAGCTGCTCCAGGCTTTAGCCAGGGGCCTAAACTGGCTCTTGACCCCCTCTGTGTTTCTGCCACAGTGTCTATCTTTGAGAGGCCTTCGACCCTCCTCTTCTGCCCTCCCCGTATCCCAGCCCCCTCCAGAGCTCACGTCTCTGTGACTCTTCCCCTCACCTGTTGGGTAAAAACTCCTCTTTCCTGCCTCCGACCTTCCACAGCACTCTGTACCTGTTTGCTCTATAGCTCTTCCCTTTCTTAACCTATGTTATGTTTATCTGTGTTTGCATTATCTTTAGCAAGGGCAGGAGTTATGTCGGCTTCCTCTCTATTTTCCGTGATGCCTGGTGTGGTACTTTTGCAGATAGTAGGTGCTTGGTAAATATTTGAATGAATGAATGCACTCTTGTAACCTACACAACTGAGTACTTGAGTTCTAGAGGCTTATTTTCTTCGCTGCTGCTGCGGGTGCCTGAGACTTCTCTTCCTTCCTTGAGTGCAGGCGTTATGCCCGTAGCGGTTACCCCATTAAAACTCTCTGATTGATTCACGATCTACAGGAACGTCGCCACTCTCTGGAGAACAAGGTAAAGAGGCTAGAGACCATGGAGCGTAGAGAAAACAGACTGAAGGATGACATCCAGACAAAATCCCAACAGATCCAGCAGATGGCTGATAAAATTCTGGTGAGCAGGAATGAAAGCTGAAAAGTTAAAAGATAACAGGTTAGAGGTTGCAGAGGGAAGGGGGTAAAAAGAAGCAATAAACACCGTTAGAGGGGAGGTATCACTGAGTAGGCCAATTAAGAGAAGTGATTTCAGCGTATGCCACATCAGAGAACAGTATGAATAAGCAAATCTTGGACATTTCAGCACTGGTAACAGATCCGTAAATATTATCATTATTTTTTACTCTGTTTGCTACTGCCTGACATTTTAAAATATGAACGTGCACACTCTGTCATTTCCAATAGATTTTTCTAGGAGCATTTACATCCTTCTGTGAGCAGTTTTGTATGGCCATTAATTTTACAATGCCAATTAAAAAAGCTATAGGGCTTTAGATGTTTAAGACCAAAACCCTGATTCCTGCTTTTGGAGAAGAAAAAAAATTAGTCATGCAGAATTGTTTTTCTCAGAGTAGTATTTGTCATAGACCAATGTTCACCCACTCACTCTCTCTGCTACAGTTGGTTGTTGTTATTATTATTTTTTCAATATCCTTAGATGTTGCAGGTCTTTTTTTAGCTTTGTAATTATTATGATTCTGTTTTCGGTTCTGGTGACCAATTTAACTTAATCAAGGAAGGCTTGGGCAGTACTTGCAGGTGGGTTTAAAATTTTGCCCCAGCCAAGGTGGAAGGCAGGTGAAACTTTGAAGGACCGTCCTTGGATCTCAGTCCCAAAACCAGGAATTTAATGCCGCATAGTGATGACTCGGAGTCTGTTCATAGCTCCCTTCTCCCCCGCCCCGGAAGAGACTCTGGAGTAGTCGGCTGTTTCTTTCTACCATAAGGAGGCGAGGTGGTGAGCAGGTCACTTCATCTCTCTCTCTCTCTTTGCATCACTTCTGGGAAATGAGTCACCAGCAACCATATGAACTTAAGAATAGCCAACTTATAGGCCTGTACTTTAAACAAAAATAAAAAAAAACCCGTTTAAACTTTACATTTCTATGTTTGTATATATTCACAAGCATATGCACGCTCTTGAGCAAACTGGTGAAAGAGAAATTGGTTAGATTGTTTTGCTTGGACACACAGTCTTCACACATATGTCTGTGCACAAAGGCAAATGTGACTGTTGGTCTGCCCTTTCCGTTCTCTTGTTCCGTCATCAGAGTTTCTCTTGGCAGTTGTCAAGTGTGTGGATTTTATTGTGAGTAAAATTAGATCCCACTGAGATCCTATCACAACTATCCCTTGCTTGGTGCAGATGAAGTGGTTAATTCTCTTGTGGTTGCAAAGTGTTTCTCTGTTTACTGGTGATGTGTTCATTCATTCATTCAACAAATATTTAATGAGCTTCTACTATGTGCCAGGCACTGTTCTAGGAGCTGGAAATACAGCAGAAAACAGTGTTTCCACAACAAGACTGAAGAGTTTCATTCAATACCTATAGAAAAGATAACATTTTTAAAAAATGACAACAACAACAAAAAATGCCAAACCTCCAAGAAGTCAGATCTTAGAGCATCTACTTTTCCAAAGGTTCACTTGCAATTTATATGTAGGACTGTAGAGCTCTGCAGTCTTTGATTGTATGTTGTAAGCTCCCATTCATATATAAACCAGAAATTTGGTCTTAAAGTTGTCAGCCTCACATATCTGAGTTTTTGACCTGATTTAGATTCTGATTTCCATTCCTGTGCTAACTTATGAGGACTGAAACTAAGAAAGATGATTATCAAGTTCTTTATAACATAAAGAAAAAGTAATCATATTTCTTTGTTTGAATGTATGTACCACCTGCCCAAGTACCATTTATTGGAAGGTGCCTTTTGCTCAAGAACCCTGTGCTTAGGCTGCAAAGTATCTAGGACATGGGCAAAGGGTGGTCTTTAATACCATTATATAAGGATGATGCTTGGAAACAGATCCCTAAATGCCATTTGCTTTAAAATATTTGCTGTTCTGGTAAGAACTTCCAACACAGATAATTGGGGTTCTCATTATGGCAAAGTATTTTGCTTTAATAAAAGAATCCATTGCAGAGGATCCTTTAGGACACATCAAGCCTTCCAGGGGCATCCAACCTTTTGGCATCTTTGGGCCACACATTAAATATATAAACACTAATGAAAACTGGTGAGCAAAAAATGATGTTAAGTAAATTTATGCTTTTGTGTTAGGTTGCATTCATAGCCACCCTGGGCATCATGCGGCTCATGGGCCATGGGTTATACACGCTGTGTTTTTATTAATTAAAATCCTGTTTACATTAAAGTTTTCAAGATCACATCCACTAGATTGCAACAGATTTTGTGTACTTGATCTTAAAATTGAACACTCCACTGGCCCCCAAAGCAAAACCAACACTTGTAAACTTAAGAATGTCAAAAACTTAATAACATTTTCATGTACATGTGAATTTGGAAGTATTTTCTTCCCATTTTTATGCACATATTCTATATAATTTATTCTTCAAAATTCTTATAATTACTTCCATTTCAAAGAAAAATTTCATGATAGTATGAAGAGATTAAAGCTTGGAGTGCTAACATTTTTCTCTTTTTGTGCTTTTTAATCTTATTTTTGGAGTAATAACTTTTTATATTAATAATTAACTAATGGGTCTAGATCCATAAGACTTAACATAAATGCAGATGTGATATCTGCATTTAGAGAGTGTTTCAGTGAATTGAATGCTGCCTTTTATAGGTCAGTTTATAAAACATTGGTAAATGAATTGGTATAATTTTCAAATGAATTACAATTTTTTAAAACAGTAGAATACTTAAAAAAGAATATAGAGACCATTAAATTTGAGCTATTTATATTACTCCAAATTCTCTTCCAATCTTTAATATATATGCATACATATTTACATTAGTATTATCAGTGTATTTTATGTTCTGCTTTGTTACCATTAGCATCATCTCATATAAATCAGTGATTTTCAACCTGTGTGCTACGAGAATTTTTATCTGTTACTACCACTAATATAAATAATGTTTGTAAAATTCTTACCTTTACTCTCCTAAAGAATTTAAGAATTTTTTACTTAAAGAATATAGGACAGTAAAAATAAAAAATTAAAACATGCAATACCTGACAATTTAGTAAGGGGCACTGGCTTCTTTCCCATTAGATTGTCAAATAAAAAAGTGACAACAGTTAACACAATAGCCATCTGATGTGAGCGAATCATAATCATATCTATTTTTTTGGTCAGATTAGCAAAAAATATATTTTTTGGTGTGCCAATAATTTTAGTAATTAGTTTGTGTGCCTCGAGATGAAAAAAGTTGAAAATCGCTGCTATAAACATTAGGTTATATGAATGTCTCCATTCACATATTCTGCATATCAGTCAGGGGCATCCAACCTTGGTTAAAATAATCATTCAAAACTCAAAGTGTTTAAATTGTAAATCAGCTTTTTTTTCCCCCCCTCAGCTAGGGTTCTTGAGCAATCATCTTGTTAATAAAGAAAATGCAAACTATATTTTTATTATCATAATAAATTAACTGTAAATTTAAGATAAATTAAAATTGCTTTTCTCATTTAAGGCTGTCACAGCAGTGAAAATGGCCTGAGCTTCAGGATAGTGGTCAGGGGCTTTGCAATGTACTAAACTTTCAAATGTTGCCTATTACTCTTATTTCTCTGTTTAGAGATGAAGAGCTGCCTTTGTTTGACTTGTCATACTGACAGATTTCTGATTCCTGCTCACCAGCTGTGTGTGTCTATGTGTGTATACTTGGCCTTCAGAAGCCCAGGGCCAAGGCTCCTTTGTGGTTTCCTTCCCAAGAGCCTTAGGGCTAGTGATGAAGGAACAGATGTCTGTTGCCTGTGGTGCCTATGCCAAAGTCATGTTTCCTGTGAATGTCTAACATACATGGCTATGTCCTACCCTTTGCATACCTGACCATCTGTTCTTTTGTGTCCAGGAGCTGGAGGAGAAGCACCGGGAGGCCCAGATCTCAGCCCAGCACCTAGAGGCCCACCTGAAACAGAAAGAGCAGCACTATGAGGAAAAAATTAAAGTAAAGACACTTTCTGATCCTCCTGGCATTCCTCCTATAGCACCATGTAGTTTCTTTCTCTTTCTGAGCACTTTGGGCCACTTCTTGCTAGACCAAAAGACTGTCTGGGGTAAATACCATCCTTAGGCCATAGTGGAAGGTTTTGGGGTGTTATCTATGCTGGGGCATGGTTCAAAATAGAGGTTCAAAAATTTATTTTAAAAATTTGGTCATTATGTATCTCAGTTATATCTTTAAAATGTTTTTTGATTCATTGTCATTCAGTCCATAATAATTTAGATATGGACAGATTTACCACATTCTTTGCCTTTACTTTCCTTCCTGCATCTCAGACTTGGGATCCTGTTTTGGTTGGTTTGTTTAAAGCATATCCTTAAAATTTTTTTTTAAATTTCGAATTACAGTTGACATTCAATATTATATTGATTTATTTATCATAATAAATTAACATAGTGTATAGCATAGTGATTTATATCAATAGCAAGGTGTATAGCATAGTGATTTACAATTGTATAAATTTATACAATTTATAAAGTCATCCCTCCAATAAATCTAAGGTGTATACTTCAGGACATTCTTTGGTGAAGCTCTGTTGATGACAACCTCTCTGATCTGTTTGTCTACAAATGTCTTTCATTTTCATCCTCGAAAGATATTTTGGCTGGGTATAGAATTCTAGGTTGGCAGTTATGATTCCATTGACCTTTGGTTTTTATTAGTGCTATTGAGAGGTCAGCTGTCAGTCTAACTGTTGCTGTGTTTGAAAGTAATTGACTTTACCCCCTTTGTCTTTATGCCCTTTAAAATTTGATTTGTCTTTATTTTTTTGAAATTTTCCTGTGTTGTATCTAGATGTAGATTTATTTTTATTTATCCTGCTTAAGATATACTGAGCTTTGAATGTATTGCTATTTTTTAATCACTTCCAGAAAATTATTGTTCATATCTCAAATATTGTCTCTTCCCCTTCTCTTTTTCCTTTTTTTCCCCCCCTGAGTTTGACTAGGCTTGTGGTAGATCATCTCCCATCTATCCTTTGTTTATATTTTCCATTTCTTTATCTGTCAGTGCTACATTCTGGGTAAGTTCTGACAGATTTTCCAGTTTACTAATTTTTACCTGTATAATCTGCTGTTAAACCTACTCCTTCAATTTAAAATTTCAGTTACTATATTTTTTGTTTCTAGACATTCTATTTGGTTCTTTTCCAAGTTTTCTATATTTGTTAAGACAATAATTTTTCTATTTCAAGCATTCATTTTTAAGCTTGTCTTTTATTTATTTAAATGCATTAAGCATAGTTTTTGTATGATCTGTGTCTGAAAATTCCAATATCGGAAGTATCTGAAGGTCTGTTTCTGCTCTCTTGTTTCCCTTGGTTCTTTTTCATGGAGCTGCCCATTTTCCTTGAGAAATTATTAGTGGGAATTCTTTAAGACATTAAATGAAAATGTTTGCCCACCTTGGGCTTTGACTTGTTTATTTTCTTACCCCTTGAGGCTCTTAAAAGTGAAAGTCTGGTTTATTTGGTTTAGCAAATGCCTCAAATTAAAAACTGGTTTGTGCCATTTTTAACTTTCTTAGTTTCTGCTTTTACTTATACGTGCTTTGGGAAAAATGTTTTACTTTTTTTATCTAGCATTTTACATTAGTCTCTGTATAAGAGGTGACCTAAATAATCTAACCCACCATGTAAAATAATACATTTATTTTAATTATTGAAATTATTATTTCAATTTAATTATCATTAATAAACTCAGTGACAAGAAATGGATGCCAGCCTATCTGTTTCCTTTTAAAATTGTATCACATTTCTTTATTATGATTTTGGGCCTAGCCTTTAATTCTTATGTTCTAGAGAATCAGACATTGGTCATTATATCTCAAACATTGTTTCTTCTGTTTCCAAATCAGACAGTGAAGAAGGCTTTTAAGTGTTGCAGTGATGCTGTTATTGATTTGGTTGGTATTCTCAAAGAGTAGACTGGTCCTTTTTCTGAAGAATCAAACATACATGTGCTCACACAGCATCATCACCATCCCCATCTCGGCACCTTCTTTCTTTTACCCTTTATGTTACTTTTGGTTATTTTTTTATTAAAAGGAATATAGGTAAATAACCCAGAAGTGACCTTAAGGTATTTTATCATGATCCCCTACTTTGTGCATTTTAAACTTTATATACCAGTCATTTCAGTTTAAATTGTTACTTATATCCATATTTTTATCTTTGGTATAGACTAACTTTCATAAAATTAGGAGAATGTATACTGGAATCCATTGTCACCTTTGTATGGGAAATATCCCTTTGCAAAATTCATTGAGATGTGCACAATTATATTAACTTTCCTGTCAAAAAACCATGTTCTGGCTTGACTGTGGCTTGTTCTTTCTGGCCCACCCTCACCACTCACGGGGTTCCATTACTGCCAATGTTGGGGTCTTTTTTTAAGCAGAGGCATCCTGAAAATGTACATCATTGCTTTAGCACCTTGTGAAGACAAAGCATACTTTGTTTAGATATTATGTGGTCTCTGCTGCCTTCAAGATGGAAAGAACTTTGTTTTTATAGGTCCTAGGGAATGTTAGGGATAAAGATCTGTTTTTTTCTGCCTTCCTTCCTAGAATCTTCATGAAACCATTTCTTTTTAGCTTGTTCTGCTTTGTGTTTCCTGTTCCAGACTGTAAGGCCATTTTAGTTATAATTATGATGATACCCTAGATTCTGTCCTTTTCTTGTTTGTAATTTTAGAATCATGCTCTGACATCCAAGAGAACGGGCCACTTATCCTATTGAGCTTCTTCCCTCTTCCTATGACCCTGTACTCCACCTTTTGTTCTTTTCCACCGACTCTTATTCTATTTTTTTCCATCAGTCGGTTCTAGTTTAAAGCCTTCTTTGAAATCCGTTCTTTCCTTTCTTTATCATGTGGACCACCTCCCTGCTGACTGCCGCTTTTTAGAAATGATGCCCCCATGCTCTGTGAAGATCCTTTCACAATAGACATTGTGGGAAAGGCAGATTTCCATTTCAATCCCATCTGTGACCCCAATTTTTTCAGCATTCTTTCCAGTATCAGATGCCATTGGTGTCATTCAGAAAAGCAGAGTGGATTCTCTCGGATGAGAAACACAGGGTTGTGGTCAAAGGCTTGGACAAGTTATGATGCTGTCACTGTCCCTTGTTTTGGCGACCAGTAGGGCTGTGTGTGCCTTGTGGAATATTAGATCAAGCTGGTGGATAGTGACACCATTACTGTTTTATTTTTTACCCTTGTGAACAGTAGGTGCTTCCAGTGGCATTCTCAGGATTGAGAACATTGGCTTCTGTTCCTCTGGGAAAGGTTTCTCTTTTCAGTGACTTTTTTTGCAGCTGGATCAGAGGAAAGAACAGGAAAGAGGGATTTGTTTTTTCTTTCTTTTATGTTGACTCTCCACCTACTTTACTGTTGGGCAAAATCCTCTCGTCCCTGACTGTTTCTGAAGCCTTGGTCACACAGACTTCTCTGTCTTCAGCTTTCTGTCTCTCCATACACAGCCCAGAGATATCTAGAATAACTTCCTACAAATTAAGGGCAAGCAATATTCTGAAAACTACTGGTGTATTGGCTATGATAAAGTTGTCCCCAGGTAATATCTTCAAATTATGAGATCTGCAAAGAGATCTTGTTTTCTCTCTGATTTTGGAGTTCACCTCCATTTTGGATATATCTCTTGGGTATTTTTGGCTGCTGATTTTAAAATAAGTTCTTAGTTCAAGCCTATGGGTTATTTGCTATTTCATGGTAAGACTTTTTAACCTCATTTCAGCTGAGAGTCAGACTCCTAAACCCTCTTTTTGCCCTAGAGTTTGGAGGGCTTGTCCCCTCCACTGCTTTTTCCCTCCTACCTCCTTTTCCCAATTTTCTCAGTTGTCCTTGGTTAGGCTTCCCTGCTCAGCTTTGTTGCTCAGAAAACTAACTCCTTCTTTTGTTTCTCATAGGTGTTGGACAATCAGATAAAGAAGGACCTGGCCGATAAAGAGACCCTGGAGAACATGATGCAGAGGCACGAAGAGGAGGCTCATGAGAAAGGCAAAATTCTCAGCGAACAGAAGGCGGTAGGTATAAGGAATCACAAAGCCAGTTTTCAAAGGAGGGTTTGTGGACCATGCCGGGAACCACACACCTGAGACAAGTCTATTTCTGCTGATGAATCACTCTTTCTGCTTTATCCTGTGGTGTTTGTTGCTAACAGGTGGCTCTCTCTGCAACTTTTTGCTCTTAAAAGCAGTGGAGGTGGTAGTTCAGGATGGCCAATTTCTCCTTTTACCCTCTTCTTTAAGAGCTGATCTGTCATTAGCTGGAACATTGTTCTTTAAAATGCCTCCTGACATGATGCCCAGGAGCCCTTGACCTCCCTCATGTGTCTTCTCTTTTTCACGTTGTCCATTTCTCTCATTTCTAATCCATGTAAGCAGGTGTTTTAGAAACCTGTCATGCTTGTTAATTTCCATATTATCCCAGATCCTTCTGAGACTTTTCACATCATATTCTCTAAAGGAGGGTCCTGGGAAGTTGTATTTTTAACCATGCCCCCCCTTCTGGTTTTTATGATTCCTTAAGTTGGGGAAACGTTGTTGTAGAGAAAGTAGGACAGTTGTGGCTGGGTGGTAAGGAATCACCCAGAAAATGACAGCTCCATGGGTGATGAGAAGAATGAAGTTGCAGATTCAAATTAGAGGCTCCTGCAGGCTCAGATCACATGCACGTGACGTGGGGATTTAACAAGGCCTGCTTATTTGCAGAATGTCAGGTTCCTGAATAGCTCCTTCTGCCTGTTTTTAATGCAAACCACTTAGCTAGGGTGGGGACAAGTAATCTCTGTTTTGGTAAAACAACTGAGTGCCATCCATTTGAGAAATAAGATTGTGATCTTCAGGGTACAGACTAGTTGAGTGCCTTGTTACCTCTTGTCAGATTGCCTGCATTTCAGATGAGACCCTTACCCCGGCCCACACGGCCCATGTTACTCTCATTCTGGTAGAACTGTCTGTGTGTGAGGTTTCAAAGGCCCCCTATGTTTTAGATGATTAATGCCATGGATTCCAAGATCAGATCCCTGGAACAGAGGATTGTGGAACTGTCAGAAGCCAATAAACTTGCAGCAAACAGCAGCCTTTTTACCCAGAGGAACATGTAAGTATTCAAATTCTAAATGCGCACATGATTACATTTTGGTCTTCTCTCCTGGGACATAAACTCCGTTGCTCTGTCTGATGGAGCTGGAGCAGATTTAATTACCTCTGTAGTTTGGCTCAGCCCCTCATCCCATACTTATGTAATCTTGCCCTCTCTTAAGTGGTCTCATTCTACTGTGTCCTCTCTTTTAAGCTGGGTTTTCTTAAATGCTTCAAATTGCCATCAGATTATAGAGTGTTTTGCTCTCTGTAATGAGGCTATTTATAGCTTGCTTTTGGAAAGCTGCAGTTCTTGTTCCCAGACTTGCCTCCCATAAATAGCCAGAGGTGATCTTGTGTGTGCCCAAGTGGGCTATTTTGCTGTTAATAAGTTAGGCCCTGAGAGATGGAGTTTGGGGTTCAGCAAGAACTCTCCATGTTCCATAAACACATTGATCTTAACCTTTTCCCCCAAAGAATTACAATCTCCATAGTATTTTTTTTTTTTTTTAGATATCTTTTTAAGGAGCTTTTAAAACATTCCCATCTTTGTTTAAACCAGCTTGGTAGACTTCTTTTTGGTCTTTGAGTCATTCCGGTTTCTGATGCTTCTGAGCAGTCTGGTGGAGAGGTGAGCATGCGCACAGAGAAGTAGAAGGAATAGCATTCTTTCTCCTCATTGCCCTTTGTTCTCCAGGTTTCACCTTAGAGTCATTAGGGTACTCCTGTGCTCCAAGGGGCCTCTTTTTGCTGTCCTATACAGACTCAAAAACAAACAAACATACAAACTAATGGTCTACCAAAGGAGTGAAATGTTAGTATCTCTTCCACTCCCCTTGACCATACTCAATTGCATAGGTAAGGGACTCTGAGCCTTGAGGATTAAATGGGCCCTCAGTCCCCACAGTGGAATCATGCACATGAGGCCAGGTCAGAACAGAGATAACCTGGGAATGATCATGAGGCTGGGTCAGGGTAAAGCTAATCTGGGAATGACCATTGTCTATTTACTATCCAAGATGCATCTCTCGCTCTGCTGCTGCCTGTTCTTCCAACTTCTGACGAGACTGTGATTTTTGCTTGGTTCCTCTTACCACCCCCCCCAGGAAGGCCCAAGAAGAGATGATTTCAGAACTCAGGCAACAGAAGTTTTACCTGGAGACGCAGGCTGGGAAATTGGAGGCCCAGAACCGGAAGCTGGAGGAACAGCTGGAAAAAATCAGCCACCAAGACCACACTGACAAGAATCGTCTGCTGGAGCTGGAGACAAGGTTGAGGGAGGTGAGAGTGAGGATGCTTGCACGAGAGGGTTTGTTGGAGGACTCGGGCCCAAACCAACCTGGTGACACGTGAGAAGGGCAGACTGGGCACAGGGGCTTGGGTTAGAGTTCCGTCTCCACTTCTGATGAGTTCTGTAACCCGGAGCGGGATACCTTCTCTCTATGCATCAGTTTCTCATCTGTAAAGCGGCCATGGAAATGTACCGTATTTTGCTGTGTATAATGTGTACTTTTTTGCCCAAAATTTTGAGGGAAAAATAAGTATGTGCATTATACATGGGTAGTACTAATTCCATATCTATATACATGTTTTTAATTCTTTTACTTATGCTTATGCGTTAAAAATGTAACCAGAAAGCAATAACGACATCCATATGCAAAATAATATCCTTTATAATACAAAAAACAAATCTCTAAATATAAACAAATAAATAATGTAAATAAAAAATTAAAATGAAAGGTTTTTTCCCTGAAGGTTTGGGCCAAAAATATGGGTGCACATTATACATGGCAAAAATGTGGGTGCACATTACACATGCCAAAATGCGGTATCTCCCTCACACATGTAGCTTACATAGTGGGTGCATCTTCAAATGGGGGCAGAGTGATTCCTCCTTGCTGTCGACTTATCAAGGGTCTCATGTCCCAGTCCACGCACAGACTTTAGCTCAGTGTTGGCTGCATTAGTGTGGCTTATGACAGTGGCAGAAGTCTCATAAAGACAGTGGAAGTTTAAAAGACAAACCCACATATTAGGTTTGTTTGATGGAAGGTGGTTCTCTTCAGAGGTATAAGGAAGCTGGGGACGACTGCCAGGTTTTTGGGAGGAAAATACCACATATTTGGTTATAAACATGTTGAGATTGATTGAAGAGATGAAGTTACATTAATGTACTCACTCACTGTGTGTTTATTAAATGCCTGCTGTGTGCCAATCAGTAGTCTGAGACACAATTGTGACAAGACAGATCCAGTCCCTGATCTTGGAAGCGGTCAGCCTAGTGGGCAGGGCTACCTGGCATCTGCAGGGCAGCACTGGAGCTCAGGAGAGTGCTTGTTGGAAGTGGGGGCGGCTGGCTGGGCGCCCGGCGCCGTGCTCAGATATTGGTGATGGAATTCTTCAGAGAGTAGGTGGTCACTCCTCAGGAAAAGACTGCTAAGCCAGCAGAGGTCCGATGACTACCCCTCGGGGAATACTCATGTTTAGGTACATCTTAGTTTGTCCTGGAGTATTAAAATAAGGCCAACTCTCCAAAGGACAGGAGTTGTCAAGGTGTGGACCCCTCCACTAGAATCATCTGGTGTGTTGATTGAAATGCAGATTCCTAGACATCTTTCTCCCTCAGCCTGTTTTAAGAGAATAGGGTTTTGCATTTTTAACAAGTGCCCTCAGGAAATTCTTTTACTTCTGAAGTTTGAGAACCATCATTCTAGGTCATCCAAAAGCATTAGGCCATGGTTTAACTTTTATCGTCCAGGCTATATTTTCACTCTTCAGTAAGTTTTACATCTCCCACAGTGTCAGACTTAAAACGTGTGAGTGTAGATAATGCAGATAGATTTCTTTGAGAGTGGGAACATTGGCTGACTGTCCTGCCTTTCTTTTCCACAAATGTCTCTCTTACCTCCCCTATGTGCAGCTATATAGCTCGTCTGGGCAATTAAAATGCCCCAGGGGAAGCACGTTGCTTTATTCTTAAGTTAATACAGCTTGTCTCCCAAGGATGGTCGGAAAGCAGGTCCACCTTCTCTTTGCTTCCTGCTGCTATTGAGATTGGGACAGAGGCTTTAGCCTCTGGTTTGCTTCACCTTTAATGACCCTGGGCTTCCCACCTTCCGTTCCGCCCCCCACCCCCCATGTGTGCGGTGTTAACTCTTCTCTAGCAAGGTGTGTGGAGTCCTGACTGTGCAGGGCTCCTGGATTCTCCTGTCAGTGCACAGCATCCTGCTCACCCACCTCTGCCTCACTATCACCTGCCTCTCATGGTTTTGCCAAGTGGCATCAGGGGAATTTCCAGGCCTGCTACGAGAATCGCAGCCTGCTTTTTAAGTAATAGAGCCAGACTTCCTAGGTTTGAAACCAGCCATGTCCTTTTTCAGCTATGTGACATTTGCTTGGTTATTTGATCTGTCTGTGTCACAGTTTGCTCATCTCTAAAAGGAGGTAATAATAGTACCTCCCTCATTGGGTTGTTACGAAAATGAAAGGACTTAAAGCTGTGCAGGCTTGTTGTGAGTACAACATATGCTGCTGACACATCTTTGTCATTGACACCATTATCATCATTCTAATCCTCACTAGAGAGAGGTCACAGCCTTGGCTTCAGGTGCCACTGACTTACCAGCCCAGACCTTCCTCCAGTTTCTGGCTCATCATCCCAGTAAGCATTAGACATCTCCACTTGGATGTCTCCCTTTTTGCTCCAATTCAACACATCAAGACTGAATTTCTTATCTTCCTCTCCCAGACTGGCTCTTCTTCTCATGTTCCATGTCCGAACCAGTGGTCTCACTCTATAATTCACCTGCCCAGAAACACAGATTTCACCTTTGACTCCCCCCATCCTTTGTTCCCTGCTCCACCTTGAACTAACCACTAAATTCTCTTGGTTCTCTAGGCTAAATCCTTCGTATGTCTTTCTTCTCTTCACCCATATGGCCTCTGGGACTCCAATGTCATCTTTTCTGGGGAGCCTTCTCCTCTCCCCTGGAGCTGGATCTGGTCTCTTTTATGTCCCCACAGCCTTCCTTGTTTAGCTCATCATTTTGTGTACCTCTTGGCAGTCTGCGTTGGAGAGCGCGCTCTCTGAGGGCAGCGAGCATCTCTTATCTGCTTGGTATTCAATGTCCAGTGCAGACATTGGTTCCTAGTGCAGCTTTGAGGTCAATAGATGTGCCTCATCTCCATGCCTTTGGATATCTTGCTTCCCTGCTAGGGATTTGCTTTCTTCTTTGAGCTGCTCGTTTGCCTTTCTGTATTCTTCAATACACAGATGCAGAGTTACCTTCTCTACCCCTCTGCTGTGTTCCCTTTACATCCCTGCATGTCCTGTCCCTTACACTTGGCCACAATATATGGGAATGGTTGGTTTTTGTTTGTCTTCTAAACTTGAAGGGCAGATGCTGTCTTTCTCCATATTCCTTTTTACACAGAAGTAATTAAGTAAATTTTTCTTATATGAATGAATGAAATGTTAAGTAGTAGGTAGAGGGATAGATGGGCAGATGGAAGGAAGTATGTTTAGTTCATAGTATGACATTAATAACTGGTTATCTAATGGGAACAAATTAGAGCAAAAATATTTAAAATACACAAATTCAGTCTGCTGTTCCATTTATATTCTAATTATGAAGGTGTTCCTGTTACTAATACGATGTTATTTGTATCCGTTTACTTTTAAATGTATTTTAATAAGAGTACTTGTTATAACGTCCACTGGAGATTGTTGTGTCGTTTTTGTTTTGAAATCTTCCCAAGCATTTGAATATTTGTAAGTAAGGGATGATTTGTATATAAAGCCTCTCACATTTTCTTATTCCTGTTGATTTTCAAGACCCATAGGAATCAGACCCATTTGATTGAATTTTCTCCCTCAGTTGATGGCTGAAGAATTTGATTCCTTAACTAAATTTAAGATACATATTGAACAGCAGGTCACATCCTGGCTTTCTTTCTAGTTAAGGTCAATCAAGCATTTCTCTCTCTTTCTCAGGTCAGTCTCGAGCATGAAGAACAGAAACTGGAGCTAAAGCGCCAGCTCACAGAGTTGCAGCTCTCTCTGCAGGAGCGCGAGTCCCAGCTCACAGCCCTGCAGGCTGCCCGGGCAGCCCTGGAGAGCCAGCTTCGCCAGGCCAAGACAGAGCTGGAAGAGACGACGGCAGAAGCCGAGGAAGAGATCCAGGCACTCACGGTAGGCCCGGGGAGTGGCCCCTTCGGGCTGCTAACAGGCTCCGCTACAGTGCGCGTGGCCCTGAGGATGTCTGCTCACTCTTAGAAATTTTGAGACAAAAAAACAATCCTTAGTGATGTTAAGTGGGCAGAAAATTGGCTTATACTGGCTTCTCCTTCATTGGAATTAGTATTCTCACTCAGTCAGTAATATCTGAGCTTTCCCTAGCATCTCAGAAAGGTCTTTATTTATGTATTGTCCGTCTTTTTAAAATAATCATCATTATATATATTTTTTCTTTTTTTCAATTACAGTTGACATTCAATATTTTATTCATTTCAGGTGTGCTTATCATTATATTTTGAATTTCAGTTTTAGCCAAAGTCTGTTTATTTGGATCTTCTACTTTGATTTTCAATAATCATTAAAAAAATAATAGTCTTATACTTTACAGTCAGTCTTTCTACCATATTTCTATATTTGTTCTGGTTAAACTTATTTATTTTACTTTTTTTTTTTTTTTTAGTTGTAGGTTCTGCTTGATGTCTTCTGTATGCATCGGTATCATCTGGTATATGTTTTTAAACTAGTTTGAAGCTCGCTCCTTTTGTTGAGTTTCAAGGGCCCATTATCTGAACTCAGTTGGGAACATGATTGGACAGTGCCAGGGTCCTTATAGATCAGTCCAGGACACAGGGACTTCCAGGGTTCAGGGGCCACATAGTAACTCCTGTGTAGAAGCTGCTTGTGATTCCTAGGTTTTCCAGGACTTAACACCAAGTTCAGATACTGACTGTGATCTGAATTTCCATTGTCTTTATGAGAACACATATTAAACAGTTGTTGATGCCACCTGCCGCCAATATTTGGTTTGGAAGAAGTACTCAGATACCTCTTTATACCGTGCCTTGTTTCAAAATATATTGAAAGCAGTTTAGAAAGATACAGAACACTATAGCAGGATAAATAAGAAGAAAAGGCAAAGAGAAAATAAGACTATAAAAATGGAGGTAAGAATGAAATGAATGTATAAGACCAAATGCAAAGAAGGCTTGTGCATTCTCTGGAGTTGGGTGGTTGCGAGGAAGACAGCCAGACAGCATTTCTTAGTTGCTAAAAAAGGCACTTAAAAATCTAACCAGTATTATATTTAATGCATTGTATGTTAATCTTTTGCCCCTGTGTGAACACCCAACCTCTAAAAGAAGGAGGAGATATCAGTAATTTAATCCATAGTTAATGAGCCCTCTCTGTGTGCCTAGGCTGTGTCTTTATTTAGCCTTTTCTCTCCAGGGGACTGGCATGTAATTCCTCAAATCATTTCACTTTGGAGGAGAAAGACACATTTATCGCACTGCTCTGTTGGAATTGGGAGGGAGGGTGGTGGCCCTGCACCTGATCCTTCCGTTTGGAAGGAGGAGGGTAGAAAATAGAGCGTGTGTCACTGCTGTTTATCTGTGGGGAAATTAGTCTTTAAATCCTGTCTTGCTGCTGCTTGGAATGCGCTGTGCCTAATGGCTGCTGGGAGCCTAGCACAGCAGCAAGTCACGACTTAATTTAGATGAGATCACTGCCTCAGAGCATCTTCTTGAAAAAAGAAAGAAACAGCCTCCCTAGATCTAGAAACTAAGGCTCAACCAGTGTCTCAGATGATGCCAGGGGAAACAGGGCTTCTTAAAAACGATGGCAGAAAACTGCCTTCAGTCAGACAGCTGTTTGCAAGCCCATCAAGCCGGCATCCCACCCCATGTCAGTTGGCTTCCGTTTAGCTTTGAGGCTGTGGGTTTTCCCTCTCTCCTTCTTTTGGTTATATCCGATAAACCTGGATACAGGTTGTGGTTGTTGCCTGAATGGCTTTGTTGAATTTGTTCTGAAGAATGTATTTTCCAAGAGAAAGAGAAAATGGTCACAAATGCAGTACTCTGATGCTCTCTCTCATTGTTCGATGCCCAAGTTCAGAGCCAGTGTAAGCATCAATCAAATTAAATCTAAAATTATCTCCCAGGAGGCTTGTGAGCTTAACAGCAGGCTGTTTTATCAATAAAAGGGAATAGTCAAATGGACTCTTATTGCTTATCTCTAAGAAACCTCCGTCTCCTAGCCTGGGAAAGAGTAGTTACCCTATCTGGCCCCTGCCTCTGGACCAAATTAGATGGATCGCAGCTAAATTGGAGATCTGCATTGAAGGAGCTTGGCAGGGGCCACTGTTGGTCTTCTGCTTTCTTTTTTTCTACTCTCACTTTACCCATCCTGTCAATTGCATTTGCATTGAAATTCACTGGCTGAGATTAAATCATGGTAGAGACCAATAGGAGAGTTAAATTTACATAAAAACCCACACTGTCAAGATGCTTCCATGCTTATTGATGGAAGAGAGAATTTTCTGCCTGGACTTGAAATTTGAGACTCCATGTAGCACTTTCTGTGTAAGGAAGAGAATTGGAGCCTGCACACTGCAGAGCACACCGATGAGTGACATGATGAAAGTGCCGCTCTGAACGGTGCAGAGCTGTGGTGTGAGCCCTGCGCACAGCAGCAAGGCCCCACGGACATGCTTCGTGTCCCTTCCCTCGTGTTCTTTTACTGATTTTGTTAAATGACTAGTGCAGAATAATCAAAGGGTCTAAAGCTAGAGACAGTAGTGAAAGGACTCCTCCAAGCATCATGGGACTATGAGATCCCAAAGTCATCCTCTTTGGTTTGTTAACATTAGTAGTCAAGGCATGCTCTCATTTTTTTTTTTTTTACATAAATATCAAACCCTGTATTTAATTAGTAAGCTGTCTGCGTGATAGCCAAGACTTGAAATCGGGGCATGTAAGGTGCCAGTCTTGCTTGGGGCCTGCCTTCAGTGGGGAAAGGGGTGGACGCGTGGAAGCCTGAGCATTCTGCAGTCCTGACTGTGGATCCTGGAAGGTGGTCAGACATCCGAACACTGGTTTCCTTTCCTCACCTCACGGATACTTTCTCTCATCAAGGCTGCATTATAATTCTCTTTTCCTTTTTCCTCTTGTACCTTTCCTTAAAATTAATGAAGACTTAAGTACTCCCGAGAGGGACTGCCTCTCTGCTCTTCAGCTGCAGCCAGTTGTTTTACTTTATTGTGATCTCAACCCCTAGTTCAGTGGTTCTCAAAGTGGGGTCTGTGGATCCCTGATAGTCCCCAAGGTCAGATTATTTTCACAGTAACACTAAGATGTCCTTTGGCATTTTTTATTGGGTTAACACACTGATGGTACAAAAGCAATGTTATTGTTATTTTAAAAGAAATAAAATACAAATATTTGAAAAAAAATCTCAGTTTTAATTTCTAATATGGTAAATATAGATAGATGTAACCCATATAAACAAAATTTTTTTGGGCTCCTCAATAATTTTTAAGAGTAACTATTCCCTGTAGCACCTAATATCTTGTTAACACTCTGTTATTTCCTTGAGAGAATCCGAAGCTTGTCTTATGTATTTTACTAGCCTTATATATACTATTGTGTGACCATTTGCTTTTTTGTATATTTGGTTTACAACTTATTTCAAAGAAGCCTAAAACATATGTTTCTTAACATTTTTTTTTTACTCAGCTCAGTTCAATAATTGTTAATTCTCATAGTATTTTTAGCAGTCACAACAGGATTGGTTCTACATTTTGCGTTTATATTTCACAGTCAATAATAAATCAAAAGCCATAACGACAGTAATTCATTACATTATACCCTCAAACAGGATAGCCATTTGATGTGTCAAAATGATCCAAAGGCCTCGATGATGGTACATTTTAAAGAAAATGAAACAGTGATTGAAATTTCAGACTGTAGTGGGGGCAGTTAAACAAGCTTTTAATGATTTAGTGTTATTTGGAAATTTTGCTATTAATAAGAAGGTGGAATAGGTTGTCTATTTCTAAGTCTAGGCCAGGGAGCTTTTTTATGATCACTGCTTAGGCTTTTAAGGAATTAACTTTATCCTCAGCTTCTTGTTACTGTCTTTGAGAGATTTCACATTAAATAATCATTTTGAGCAGGCATCGGCAAGCTTTACCAGTGGGCCAAGTTCCATCTGCCTTCTGTTTTCTGTCAATAAAGTTTTATCAATATCCAGTCATGCCCACACTTTTACATACTGAGTATGGCTGCTCTTATGCTATGAGGGCAGAGTTGAGTAGTTGTGACAGAGACTAAATGGACCTTAAGCCCAAAAATATTTACTATCTACTCCTTTAAAGAAAAATTTGCTCACTCCTGATGCAGAGTTTATTAATCTATGGGCCTTATTCTTCGTTTTGTTTTTGGTCTTTTGTTTTTCCCTTCCAGTACTTCTAAAGATTTTATCTCATGCCTTTATTCTTGCCTTTGTTCCTGGTGATCATGAAATGCACTTAAGGGAGTAGGATGGTCTTTGGGGCCAGGCTTCTGCTTGCTCACAGATGAGATTTCAACATCAATGTAGATAGCCATGTTCCTACTTTGGATAAATTATATTCTTACCCCATTCAATGAATAAATCACTTGTATTGTTGCTGGGTAAAAATCACATTGATATTGGGGAACAATTATAACCTATTAAATTAGCCCATAAAAATATTGGCTACTTTTTTTGGAAATTGATTCTAAATGATAACTTATGAATCTGTTTGTGAGTCTGTCTATGCAACTCTCTATTTTTGTTTTTTTTTTTTCCCAGTGTTCTTAATTATTTTGTATAGATTTAAGTTTCTGGTTGTCATTTTCCTTCTGCTTGAAGGACTCCCTTTAACATTTCTTATAGTATAGGTGTGCAGGTGGCAAATTCCTGTACCTTTTGTATGTCTGATAAAGTGTTTATTTCACCTTAATTTTTGAAAGATATTTTTGCTGGGTATAGAACTCTAGGTTGACAGGGTGTTTTTCCCCCCTTTGGTTTTTTTGCTTTGTTTTGTTTTGTTTTGTTTTTGGTCTTTTGTTTTTCCCTTCCAGTACTTCTAAAGATTTTATTCCATTGTCTTCTAGCTTGCTTCCCACCCTTACCCTACACCCCTTGGTTAGAAATCTATTGTCTTTCTTCTCTTTGTTTCTATATATGTAACTTGTCTTTTTCTCTGGCTGGTTTTCAGATTTTCTCTTTGTTACTGGTTTTAAGCATTTTGATTTAGCTTAAGTTTCATCATGTTTCTTGTGCTTGGGTTCACTGAACTTTTTTCATCTGTGAATTTATGGTTTTCATCAACTTTGGAAAATTTTTGGCTTTTATTTTTCCAAATACCTTCTCTGTCTCATCCCTACAGTCCTTCAGGGATTTACCTGTACAGGGTGGGGCAAAAGTAGGTTTACAGTTGTGAGTATGCAAAACACAGAGCTTATTCTTATATTGTTAATTATTGTATTATTTTCCATAGGAACAACTATAAACCTATTTTTTCCCCTATGCTGTATATTAGGCTGCATGAAGTTGTCCCACAGCTCATTTATGCTCTGTTCATTTTATTGCCTTCTTCTTTGCCTGTTTCATTTTGCAGTTCATTGCTGTGTCTTCAAGTTCATAATTATTTTTCTGCCATGTGCTATCTACTGTCATAAACTTATAATATTAATTTTATGGCAAAATAGACATATTAGAGAATACATTACAGCTCTAAAATGTGTGACTTAGTGTCTTGTAGATCTTCTGATGTAGACTAATTTTTTTTTCTTTTTAAAGAGAAGGACCACTTTTGCCTCTGCCCCAAGCTGGATCCTTCTTTGGGCTTTCAGAGCTAAGCAAACGGTGCCATAACCCACCTTGTCTCTCAAATCAAAAGGCTGTTAGAATTTGACTTCTCCTTCCCCTTGGCCCCCATGTTCACCAGCAGATCTTATTACATGTGTTTCCAAAAGAGATCTCAGTTCCCTCCATGTCCCTTTGTCTTTTGCCACCATCATCTTTTCATTGAATGACAGCAGTTTCCCTTTTCTTTTCTACCTTTGTCCTATTTTGATCTATTCTTCTTACCATATCCACGCAATGACAATCATATCATGTAAGTCTGCTTCTTAAAATAACATTGGCCTCTAATTAATTGCATTTTGAATGTAATCCAAACCCTTTTCTGAGCCTTTAAGATTCTTGGTCCCTGCCGTCTCTCTACCATCATTTTGAGCCATGTTTTCCTTCTGTTGCTGTGCTTTAGCCAGGTGGTTTTCAAAAATCATTTGGTCACTGAATAATACATTTTACCTTGCATTTTAATACAAGGGAGCATAGGTAGTATGTTTCATTGAGTTTAAGGTATCTAAAATTAGGATGCATCTTATAATCATATTCTCTATATGATTATATAGTCATATAGATATAAACATGTCATGGTTTGATAGCACTTTTTCTTTTTTGATGTTATATAAAATTGTGATAGTCTTACAGTTGATAGCAACTTCAACTTGATGAGTTATGATATCTCAAACAGATTTCCTACAACAGTGTTTACTGTTGTAGAAAAGGTACATTCTGATTTTTAAAATTCTATCCTGTTTACTCCATTTCAATGGATAAAACAAACCAAAAAACATCCTACTTGTCATGCTCACCATTGAGTCACAGCTTGAAGTTGAAAAAATTCTGCTGTAGTCACTCAGATTTTTTTGTTGTTGTTCATCATATGCACCAAACCCCTTCTTGCCTCAGGGTTCTCGCACATGCTATTCCCTCTGCCCTTCTCTGTTCTTAGCATGGCTGTTTCCTCATCATCATGCAGGTTTCAATATGTTACCTCTTCAGAGTAGCCTCGTTTACCACCCTATTTAAGTTCCTTTCTAACCTCCTTATTCCCTTTTTCTGTTTCCTTTACAGCATTTGTCACAGTTTGTAATCATGTGCTTATTTATGTTCTTGTTTCCCTCGTCAGAATGATGGTGTAGGCCCTACGGTCTCTATTACCACAGTGTCTGGCAGTTAGTATGCACTCGGAAAATCCTTGTCAACTGGATCAAGCAGTTCTGCTTCTATATTCAAGATCACTGTGGGTTCTGAATCGCAGCAGCTTTTGATAAAAAAAACAAAAATTCTTACTTTGTCCTGGCTATTGTTCTGTGTGTGTGTGTGTGTGTGTGTGTGTCTTGGGAGTAGGCTTTGTGGGTGACGCTCAGTTAGAGGGAAGAGGGAATGGTTAAGGTTGAGGAACAGAACAAATGAAGGAGAGTAAAAATTTCATTCTTTATTATGTTTTTTTCTTCCACTCATCCATGGGCATTAGTATGAATGTTCAAATATATTTGTAAAGGGTAAACATGTGTGGTCTAAGTAGTTCCTTGTTGTATGTCAACTGTAATTGAAACATTAAACTAAAAAAATAGTTAATTTGGTATTAATACAGCATCATGTGTTCCTGTAACTTATGTTTCTGATGTTGGGAATGACTTGATTAATTAACTCTTTGAAAAACAGATACTATGGCTGCTGCAACAGCATTCTTAGCTTTCTATGCAAATACTGTTCTCTTTATTTGACCCATAGCATGTACAATTGTATTCCTCCCTGTGGAAAATTTATAATCAACTTCTTACCTTTTAGGCACATAGAGATGAAATCCAGCGCAAATTTGATGCCCTTCGTAACAGCTGTACTGTGAGTATTAACCAAAGATGATTAAAATAGCATAAAATTCAAACCTAGAAGGAAAAGGGGATATCTCTTTGTGATATCAAGACTGATTTTTGATACAAACTTTTAGCTTGAAGCAGTTAATGCTCTCAAGTTTATTTGGCATTTCTGAGTCCCAGAACACCAGTTCCTTGGGTTTCTGCCAGTTTTAAACATTTAAAACCATTCTTCATGCTGAAGGGAGGATAATTGGAATGGCCCAGATAATTCTCACTGCACAACCGCTTACAGATTTCAGTAGCTGCAACAAAAGGCCCAGAGCAGCTCCCTATCCTTCCCCAGTGTGGAAGGTTCCCAGACTAGCCCAAGCCAGAGATTGCCCAGGCAGTGGGGGCAGTTATATGAGTATTAGCAATGGCTGGACTTTTTCTGGACAGACCTTGTAAAGTACACTAATCTTAGGTGTACAGCACAATGAAATTTTTACATGCATAGACAACTGTGTAGCCATGACATATATTAAGATAGAGCATTTCCATTTCCCAGAAGGCTCCCTCATGGTCTCATTAGCATCCTTTGCCCAAATGGTAACCACTGCTCTGACCTCTGATTCTATAGATCAGCTTTGCCTGTTCTTGAACTTCATTTAAATGAAGCTCTTTTGGGGTTAGCTTTTTTTGACTTCCATTGTCTGTTGGTTCATCCATGTTGTATCTGTCAAAAATTTGTTTTGTTTTGTTTTTCATTACAGTGTGGTGTTTCTAGTGTATGAGTTGTTTTTGCTATCAATAAAGCTGTTGGGAAACATTCTTGTACAAGTCCTTTGGTGGCTATAAGCACTTATTTCTGATGAGCATATACCCAAGAGTGGAATAGCTGGCTCATGAGATGTCTCTCTTGTTTGACACTAGTGCACCCGGCAGATGGATTTTTTTTGTGCTTATTTCCTGATGCCAATGGCTGAATCAGGTTGGGCCTGCCTTAGAAATGTCTCTTTATTTCCTTCATTCTCCCTCCCTCCCTCACAGAGTTGATGCATTCTGTTCCTGTACTCTTTTGCCCTAATTTTTTAGTTTCTGTCTGTCTTGGTTTCTTATTTTACTCAAGAGTTATTTGCTTATATTACATGCATGCTCATAAATGATCACTGAATAAAATATAGACCTTTTTATGGCTGTGATATTTTTAGATTACTCTATTTTCCTAAAATAAACTTGGATGTATTTGAAATGTGTACATCAGTAATCCTTCATCTGGAGATTTTCTGTCTTCTTTTTTAGTCTTTTGGCATAAGGACATTTTAAAAAAAATCTTTTTTATAGTTGTATTGAGGTATAATTGGAGTACAATACCCTGATGAGTTTTGAAATGCGTATATGCCTATGCAACCCAGCACAGCAATCAAAATCATGAACCTACCCATCACCCTCAAAAGTTTCCATGTGCTCCTTTGTAATCCACTCTCCCCCACATTTTTAAAATTGGAAATTTAGTTTTTAATAGAATATGGCAATATGTGGAATTAATTTGGTTACTTTCTCAACTTATGTAAGTTTTAGTCTTTCTTTATTCCTCAAATTTTCTCTGGAACAGTGAGTTCTATTCCTTGCTTTATTTAGCTCTGGCAAATAAAGTGGGAGGAGGAATCCCACCCACATGTCCGCCAGTGCAGCGGGGTAGCTTAGTGGGCCAAACCATGGTCTCTGGTGTCAGGCAGACCAGGTTCAGATTCTAAATTGACCTCTTGGTAGCCTATGGGATGTTACCCTTCTAAGCCTCTGTTTCTTTATCTGTAAAATGGAGATACCGTTCTTGATTCCAGTATCATTGATTGTAAGACAAATAATTTATTTAATAACTGCTCTTGGGGGTTGGGTGAGGGAAGAGAGACAGCTGCTTAGTTCCAATATACATTCAAATTTCAGAAACAGTAAAACTTAGGAAACACTGAGTCATAGAATTAGAAATTTGGTAATAATACCCAGCCAATGGGATTCCTGCAAGAAATAAATGAGGTGATGCATCCAAGTGCTTGCATAGGGCCTGGTCCATAGAAAGTGCTAAACAGTGTTGGTTACTATTACTACTTTATTATATTGGATTTATAAAATAAAAGCGAATCCTTTGTTTAGAAAAGGGTTCTACTCCTTAAAAAAGTTTGAAAACCACCCCTTTAGAACAACATTTAGCAGCAGTAGTCAATCTCATTTAAACTTTTGCAAGTTCAAAGGCTGCTTTCTAGACACTTCAGCGATCATGACAGACGTCCCTTTCTTGGGGGTGCTGTTCGAGATCGTCTCCACCAGGAAATGTCATCTTCCTTACTGTTGGGAACTCCTGTATATATAGCTCCATTGATAGAAGCTCCCAGTTAGCAGCTTTTAAAAACCTCATGAACACTAAGATTCTCAAGCTCTGACCATTTCTATATTTTGAAGAGATTTTAAAAAAGGATTTGATTCAATCTGGCATCTAAAACCCTACCTAAGTCTGTTTTGGAGGGGAGTTGGTGGGCAAACATATGACACAGTTTTAATTATGAATCAATCTGTCAGCTATAAAGATTAAAAATAAATAATATGCAAATAGCTGCCTTCAAGAAAATACCAGGCATTAAAATAGGACTTGCGTCCTGTGTCTTTTTAGCCTGGCGCTCATTATCTGACTAGCTTCCTCGCCGCTAACAAGCCGTGGGACACTGACCTGGTCCTCTTCCCTCCGCAGGTCTCCTGCCCGGGTGAGAGAGGTAACCTCTTTTTCTCAGAACCATGGTGTTTGCAGGAAAGCCTTCAAAAGCAACAGATAACCTCAAATAGAGATTTTTTTTTGGACACACATATTTTATATCCTATTTCCTCTTAGAACTGTACTCATATCTTATCTGCAAAAACAGTATATAAGAAAGCTCTGGTAACTCCTGTCTCCATCATCCTCTTTACTGTTAAGATGCATTCAGGCATCAGGCATTGAGTTTATCTTTTTTACTCTTTATCCTTGGAGTTAAAAGGTTAACAGACTCTAATATTTGCCCTTGGTGTGGAGAGAATATACTGAAAGCTACAAAGTGGACCCAAGAATTCTCCTTGCATATTACCTGGTTCAAAATCACCTATTACAAAAGTCTAATATTATACTTTTTTTATTTTAACCATGGAGACCATGAATTTACTGTCTTGTCTCAAGTCAGTTCAATATCTACAAACCCAATTGTGTGTGTGTGTGTGTGTGTGTGTGTGTGTGTGTGTGTGTGTAACAACACCACAACTCCAGCTAAACCAGTTATGGCTTGGGCAGGGAGAATATATACAACTCTGAAAGAATTAAAATGCTTTAATGAGTGCTTGGGTGCCTCACACAAACACATCATCCTTCTCTTGTCCAATGGACAAAATAGAGACAGTGACAAAACCTAGAACCAGCAATCACAAACTGTAAATAGAAATCAGAGACATGAGACTCCTTCCTTGAAAACCAGATGACAAGAGGGAAATAGAAAGATACTTCTTGCTCCACAGGGCCATCTCAACTGAAGTGAGAGCGACAACCTTAGCACCTAATTGACTTTTTTCAAGTGTTTCTTCTTAAGCAATTTGTTATTTAATTTTGGGAGAAAAAGAAGCGGTGGCAGAAATGGATGCATAACAAACTGCATTTTCTTGTCATAAATCTCAAGGGAAATATGTACCCAAAGGCTTAAACATATGCTTCAAATGGCAAGAAAGTAATTTGGTGATGCGTATATTCTTATGTGAACAAATTTTCTGTAGTCTCTGCCCCCCAAGAGGCACCATTATAATCTTTACAATGAAGCACTATTAATTTTATCCCTTGTATTTTGCATGGTACGTTAAGGTGGAATAGTAGGCAAGAAAATTCAAAACATTAAAACAATGAAACAATTCTGGATAGTGAATATGGTATTTAACTCCATGTTGCAGATTGAGAAAACAGCCCTGTGAGGTTCAACATTGCTTATCTGGGGTTCCTGAATGCATTTTACTGCATAGCTTCCAGGCCAGTTTGCCTCAGTCTTGTTTTTCTTTGGGAAAGAGGTAGAGGGAAGCATCAGAGTTAAATGGGGACATTTGCAGCATAGTATGAAAACTCTCTTAAGGAGTGGGTTTACCACTTATCAGAAGGAGACCAGTGGAACAATTAGGCATTGTTTATTCATTATTTATGGTGTTATGAGATTTAACCATGCTCCAGAAAGGGGGATACCGGGATCCCTAGGAGGGATAACTGCGTGCTAGGAACAACAAGCCAGCAGTGTTTCCCTATTTTACCCCCCGATGAAGAAGGAGCCTCAGCTAAGACCCTGACCAGACAGCCTTTCTTCTCCTTTTTGTAGCTGATAGTGTGCTTCAAACCAGTACATTAGGTATTAACATGACTTCTGACATTTAAAATACAAATTTCTAGACCACTTAGTGCATTAAAAATATATCAGCTCAGTTAACAAAATGAAAAGCTATGTTTTCTGAGCCACATTGAACAAATGTACTTGACTTGACACTCTTGATTTCTACGTGCCTGAAAAGATTTTTTTTAATTGCTAATCAAAGGTGGTTAAGTAGGAAATTAGTTATGGAAACAGTGTTAACATTTCATAAACTAACTCTACTCTAGGTTTGAAAATTGGAAACAATTAATAACCATAAGCTTAAAGCCATTTCCTTTTAATTTACATCTTTTTGTTACATAAAATTTAATTTACTGCCTGAGAGCCACATTCCAACTGTTATAAGAAAATTGGCCTCCTAAAACTTCTAAAGTATTGTGTGTTAAAGACCTCTGCTAGTGCTGATATTGAGCCTCAGCAAAGAGAATAGGAAAGCTAAGAACACAGATTTGAAGTCATTCTGCCATTGAGCGAAGAAATAATTTAACAAAACCGATTAAATCTCTCTCAATAAAATAACAATTTCATATACATGCCTTCCCATTTTCTGATAGCTAACTGAATAATAAAAACCATTAAAGTGATGCCATTGTATAATATTGTATTTTCGGGATTACTCTGAGCTTCCCTGAAGTATTTTTTTCCCTTTGTTGCATGAAATTAAATATATTGCCTGAGATATTATTAAAATAACTTAGTGTCCTTCACAAAGTCTTTCTTGATAAGAACTTTATTTTAGTTTCTAAGACTGTCACCACTTACAAACTGCTATAGGTCAGGGGTCCCCAACACCCAGGCCAAGGACCAGTACCATTCCATGTGGCCCGTTAGGAACTGGGTTGAGAGGGAAGTTTGTCCGAGAGCCCCCTTTCATGGAAAAACTGGTGCCTGGTGCCAGAGAGGTTGGGGGCCACTTCTATAGATGGTATCTTGGGCACTTTAGCTTAATTAGCTGATTGTGAAACCAGTCTTCATTCTTCTTTCCTCACTTTGCATTTTCCATGTTATATTATTGTCCATGAACTTTATCTCATTAAAACTGCCCCTTCTGTATGTTCTTTGCTTTTGATTAATATGCTTTTGCCATGTTTTCCAGATGAATCCTGAATTAGATACAGAGATTTTTCTTTTTCTACCACAGCGTGTGTGTGTGTCTTGGTACTCAGTGGGTGGGCATGGAAGCCTGGGTTTGGCCCTTACATTTGGATTGGCAAACGCTAGAGCTGCTCATTGATTGCCAGGGTGCTTCAGCTTCAGAAATCCATGGCTCTAGAAGCATTTTCTCATTTAAAACTGACTTGCATGGTGAGTAACCAGATTCCTTTTATCTTTTAGGTAATCACAGACCTGGAGGAGCAGCTAAACCAGCTGACGGAGGACAACGCTGAGCTCAACAACCAAAATTTCTACTTGTCCAAACAACTCGATGAGGCTTCCGGTGCCAATGATGAGATAGTGCAGCTGCGAAGTGAAGTGGACCATCTCCGCCGTGAGATCACGGAGCGAGAGATGCAACTCACCAGCCAGAAACAAGTAAGGGTGGTGCAGAGTGTCAGAGATTCCCGGTCCCCATTCCCTTTTGGACCAGAGTGAGTGCTGGGTGCATTTCTCCCCTGGTGTCCAAGACTGAGCCTGTCCAGTAGATGTGCTCCTTTTTTATAGTTGTGTCTGTTTTGAAGGCTTGGGGGTTTTAAAAATGGCTTTTAAAAGTGTATAGTTCTTTATTTTGATTTTTAAAAATTAAAAATAAACTACATTGCTCTGGGAGGCTAGTGTGTACCCCTTGGTCTTTAAGTATGGCCTTGCTCTGGGTTCTGCCTATAAGACAGGGGCAGAAATGGCCCTTTGTTCATTCTCGTCCGATCCCATCAGTTGGTAGAAGAGAAAGGTAAACTGTATTTCAGGCTGTAGTGAGAAAGTTGTGCTTTTCTGAAACTGATCTGACAACAAGAACATACGAGGCCCAACTCTGTGGTACTGGTTTGCAGACGATGGAGGCCCTGAAAACCACCTGCACGATGCTGGAGGAGCAGGTCATGGATTTGGAGGCCCTGAATGATGAGCTGCTGGAAAAGGAGCGTCAGTGGGAGGCATGGAGGAGCGTCCTGGGTGACGAGAAGTCCCAGTTTGAGTGCCGAGTTCGCGAGTTACAGAGGATGCTGGACACTGAGAAACAGAGCAGGTGGGACTTTCTGTTTGTAGAGAGCCGATGACAGGAGACTACAGCGGGATCACCTGCAAGTTAAGAACAGCGTGACCAATTGTCCCAGCTTGCTCAGGACTGAGAAGTTTCCTGGGACAAAAGACTTTCAGTGCTAAAGCTGGGAGACTCTTGGGCAAACCAGGATGGGTTGGTCACCCTCGTTGTAACTATGGTCAGTGTCACTTGGGTTTGGTGGCATTAGCTGGCATCTGTTTACTCCGTGGAGAGACCTAGGAGTCAGAGCATGGCAAATGTCTCAGTGCTTTCTTTGCAGAAACTCTTTCCTCAGGTTTCGTGTCATTGTGACCATGTAGCAACACCATCGCCATTTTAATCCCGGGCATGGGTAATGCTGGTCTTCCCTGTCTCCTAGGGTTTCTGAGCCTTGGCAGTGCTCACAGTTTGGGCTGGATAACTCTTTGTCATGGAAGCTGCCATGCACGCTCTGTGATGTTGAGTCTCCTCCTGATCTGTGCCCACTGAATGCCAGTGACTCCCCCTTCTCAAGTTGGTGACAACCAAACGTGTCTCCTGACATTGTCCAATGACCCCTGTGGGTATAAAATCACTCCCAATTGAGAACAACTGCTTTGCAAGAAAGGCTTAGTTATTTTTTTCCTTCTTGATAGGAAAGAATAGCAATACTTTCAGGCGATATTCTTCTTCTGCTTTCTCACTTTTGTTTCCAGTCCCCAAGCATAGAGCCCCCTTCCTGCCAGAGCCACAGTGGTGCAGGGTATGTATGGTGCTGCCGTTCACACTGAAGACACAACAGATTTGAAGATACATTAGGACAGTCTCACAGCTCACAGCAGGAAAGTGTTTTGCTTGAACAGAATTGACATATTAGAACGGTTTACCAACAGATGGAAATAAAAGGTCTTGAAGAATAGGTGCCTTTTCCAGTTTGCACAAAGGTACCATATAGGCTAGAGTTAGCCACACGGCTTCATGTCTGCACAGCTGAATTGTAGCCATCCTTCATAACCTCACTAACGTTGCCTTCCTCTGACACTTACCTTCCTGTGATACTCCTTAAGCAAGATAAACTAAATATATAAACAGCTATCATTTAGTTGATTCTGTCAGACACATTTTGGTATTTTCCACATTTACTTGACTATAGGAGACTCAACTTTTACAGATGTGTTGGATATTATAGCCTATACTGTTAGTTAAACTAGGAAAAAATTAGAGTCTAAAGATGAGAACCATCAATTTCAAGAGAAACTGGTAGAAATATTCCCTTTTTTAGACATCCTCTCACTCAGGATATTTGCTGACCCGAGGGACTGCTGGCTTAACGTCTCCTGTTCTTGCTTTCCTCTGAGCTCTTGGGCCTCCGAGTCCTCGCAGTGTGTTCTGGTTGCATCCACACAGCCCCCCTCCCACTTCCCTCGAGTTCTGCTCCTATCCTAGCCGTCTCTAGTCCTTCAGAGACAGCTCTAGTCGTCGGAGGCTGGCTTCAGCATTAAGAGGTACACAACCACACATGAGAGGTATAAGTACGGTCTGTGTTCAGGTAGATATTTCATGTATACTTTCAGGGGCAATAGTAAAACTCCCTCCGCCACCATTTTGGTGTTTCGTGGGATACTGAGATGAGTAAAATCTAATTCTTAATTCTTGTCCTCAAGAGGCTAAGAGTCCAGTGGCGGAGATAACCTATGCATTCAGATATTTATCACCTAAATAGAGAGTTGGGTAGGCCAGGAAAGAAGTCCGTGCTTTGGATACAGAGCAAGGAGAGGCTACTTCTGGCGGAGAATGTGGGAGAGGTTTGATGGATATGGCATTTGAGTTTATCCTTGAAGGCTGAGTCGGGTGTGGGTTTGCAGTGTAGGGAAGGAGAACATTGCCTGTACCTACATGCCCAGGTACGGAAGAGGCAAAATATCATGCCTGCCTGGGGAAGGAAAGTGACCTTTCCAGTTTGCTTCTAGCTTTTCTTTTCTCTAACCTTAGTTATAGACACATTGATCAGATTCAAGTTTCAGTTTCCTGATGAGCACACAAAACACTTAACATTTTACATATACTTTAAGGAGAGGAAATGTTTGCTCAAATGGGGTCTCCAACTATCCTCTCTACCTGGTGGTCCTTCAGTGGGACCTCATTCCATTTCTTCTCCCATAAGATGTTGTGACAGTTTTGAAAAATTCCATTCAGCCCACTTGCATTTGGAAAAATGCCCTTTCCTAGTAAACCTTTCCAAGCAAATACTGACAGGAACTTTACTTTTTAAGAGTATTTTTACCCAAGGTCTAAAGTGGGTCAAACCTTCGCTTTGTAAAAAGTCAGAAAGTAACACATAGTTTGGAGCCAAGAATCAAGGTTGGGCATCTACCTAGCCCACAGCCTGTTTGGTTGCTTATCAGGACTTGAGATGGGCCAGCTTCCTTTCTCCAGATCAATAATGATGGGGCTTCTGAAAGTGGGCCTGTGTTTCCCTGGCAGGGCCAGGGCCGATCAGCGGATCACCGAGTCGCGCCAGGTGGTGGAGCTGGCCGTGAAGGAACACAAGGCCGAGATCCTCGCTCTGCAGCAGGCTCTCAAAGAACAGAAGCTGAAAGCCGAGAGCCTCTCCGACAAGGTCAGTGCCTGCCCCTTCTGCCTTTTAAGAAACATTCTCGTTTCCTTCTTTTAGAAGGCATGATTGACAAAAATTCAAATGCAATCGGTGGTCAATATATTTCATAAACATGCTTTTTACTCATTCCAGTAAAGTCCCACAGTTATGTGTCATTGTGGGACATCCTTGGTTGGCAATAGTGTGGGTGGGTATGGTGGGTGCTGGGGTGTCACAGTCAGTCAGTGACTTGTTAAAGTCTCCCTGTTTGGGCCCTGAGGTCTGAATTTTGATCTGGGCGTATAGCGCTCTCATTTTCTGGCACTTGATTTCTAGACGGCTTTATGGATTTAATGTCAAGCATCCTTGGGAAGTGCTTGGTGGCAAGGACTAAAGATCATTCCATCACTGCAATACTAGGCCGCTCAGTCTGTCCATGTTCCAAGTCCAGGGATGTGATAAGCCTGATGACATTGCAAGTCCTCAGTATTTTCACATTGGAAATATGTGCATTCTGTCCACATCACACTCCATGTTATATTTACAAAGTGATCTATCAGTGTTTGGAGACTTTATGTAAGTCTTGAAAGAGATTTAGAATAGGTGCTTTAGTGTTACAGAAAACAAAAGTGAAATTTGATGTATACACACGGGCACTTTTTTACATGCACATGAAGTCATCTGAATTTTGTATTTGCATAAGTCTGTTATTTCATGATTATAAAAGAAATTATTTGGGGTCATTGTGGAAGATAGAGAAACCACAGAAAATAAAGGGAAAAAATGATAATCCATCATCACTATTATATTGATGAATTTATTTGTAGTCTTTGCATGATATTTTTATATGTACACACACATTTACAAATTTAGGTTCTCACTATAGAAACAGCTTTACATTTAAAAAAAATCACATAACTAGGGGCTTTTCTTGAGTTATTGAATATTTTTTAAACATGTAATTCTAAAAATGTAAATTTCATGGAGGTACCAATTTTAGTCATTCCCCCTGAGCTCTAAATTTGAGCTTCTTCCAGTTTTTTATAATCATAAATAACACAGTGATGAGCATAAATCTTTATGGACATCCCTGTTTATTTACTTACCAGAATTTTATTGAGCTACAATGATTAGATTCAGAGCTAGAGCTTGTCACTCAGGAATATTCCTGAGTTCCTTGACACTGGCTTACTTTTTTTTTTTTAACCATGATGAAAATAAATTTTAGAAATAATTGAACCCTTTTGTGTTTAACTTGAAGAATATTTTTTTCTAATTGACTGTTCTTAAAATATTTTATAACAAAATCCTACCCATCCTTTAAGACTCCAGACATTCTAATAACATCTTTTCCTGGTGACTGGTAATTCAGGATGAATTTCTCTTCTTCATACCTCTTATCAAAATTAACATCCTACAAAGCAGTCTCGTTATTTGTGTCCGTGTCTAGTTAGGGGCCACTTTCTGCCTTTGTGACTCGATGCAGTCTTCTCGAGAGAACTTGTTCATCCTTTTATCCTCAAAATCCTTGATATTATCCTGTGAAAGTAGTATATCTTCAGCATATGAATATTATTTAATTTAACCACAGCATGTCAGATAATTAAATTCTTCGGTGGTCATTTTTTCAGAACTTGTCACAGCTATACATATGACCTATCCCTTACAAATAATTCCTATCCTCATAGAAATGACCTATACAAGGTTTATCTCTGACATGGACTTTTGTGGTATACTTCTAAGAAACAGTATTTATGTTTTGACTTTTAGAACTTGATTATTCTTTACATGTGAAAGTTTGTGGGCATTTTCAAAAGTCATTAGCATCCAACATTCCTAAATGTGGTATCCTGGCCAATTTTTCCAAATGTCCAGCTCAATGACCTGGAGAAGAAACATGCCATGCTTGAAATGAATGCCCGGAGTTTACAACAGAAACTGGAGACAGAACGTGAGCTCAAACAAAGGCTTCTGGAAGAGGTGAGTGTAAAATACCTGTTAAACAGAGCAAGGTGAAATTTTGAACATGATAATTTATTGTGTTCAGGTGGTCGTGTCCAAATTAGATGCTCAGATTTTGCAACTGGAATTTTCAAGGAAGAGTAAAGTAGTCACTAAATACTTTCTTGGAGGTACTTAACACATCAAAAAACAATGTGTCATGTAGGCCAGAGGGTCTCTGTCATTTATGTCCTCCCACATGGTGCTTAATAGTGTTGAGCCCATGGTGAGCCCAGTGGAAGTTTATACAGCATGTGGGCGATGGCGAATGAATATTGAGTTAAATTGTTCTCGATATCCAAAGTATATTAAGTTTTTAGGCTGTTACAACCCAATTGTGTGTGTGTGTGTGTGTGTGTGTGTGTGTGTGTCCAAATTAGATCCAAGCATATTAGCTTCATGCTCAGGGTAGAAACTTGTATAGATTATGCTGAGTAACAAATTTCCTGAAGACTTGAACATTTGGTTAATTCAATTAAAAATATTAGCCCCTGCTTTTGAGACATAAAATGAAAAGGTCAAACGACCTCTTAAATCCATCCCTTTTGCTAATTCCTGTACTTATTAGCAGAAATCTGAAAATTGCTAATTCAAGTGGTAACTACTCCTCATTCCCAAACAAAGCCCTCTATGTTGAATCACTAATGATTCTGCTTTGTTCATCAGACTTGGCCAACCAGGACAAATGCACTGTATAAAGATATTTAAGTGTTCTGTTTAACTCATAGTGAGCCTGACACTTCAATAAACAGAGTGCCTATTCTGCTTAATTGATGCTTTATTCTATGATACCCATAGCTCCCAAAGGGCTCTGCTGGTAGAAATAATATTGCTCTGCTGTTGTTTGAAAAATGTGGTGAAAATTTTGCACATGACTCTGGCATATTTGATAGAATAATGCTTTTTTAAAATATGGCTGAGAGTTTGGGAAGGACCAGGAAACGGGCGGTGGTAACAGCTGCACTGCAGTGTGGATGTATTTAGTGCCACTGGCCTGCACACTTAAAAATGGTCAAAATGTTAAATCCCACGTGATATATATTTTGACACATAAAAGATTTAAATAAAATTAATTATATATATTTATATATGGTGGGAAGTTTACTAAAGGCAGCACTAAGAACACTATAATAAAAATTTAAAAGTCTACGTGGTGGTCAAATAGAGAATTACCGTCTTTTATCTGGAATGAACAGGCAACGTGCCCATTTTAGGCACATGTTAGAAAAAGAAAGAACAGAAATAATCAGTGATGTCTCCTGTCCTATTTTCTTTCTGAGGCAGGAGAGTTGGCCCTGACAGCTCAATACTTTGGTCCAAGGTTATATGGTGAGTCAGTGACAATGCTAGGAATAGAAGCTGGAACCCTGATTCAGTCCCCTCATTCTCACTTCTAACTACACGAGAACAATTTCCAGTTTCCCAAGCCTGTCCCTCACAGATTTTTGAGCGCAGACATCTGGCTGACATTGACTTTGAGGCAGATTTCACTGACAGTTGAAACCATTATAAAACATACAACGACCTTTATTGGTCTGAATGGGGTTGTGGTGTGCACTCTGCAAGCATGTGACCAAGGGCATAGCCCAATTGTCCTTGTCCTTAGGTATAGGGACTTGTCAATGGGGCCAGAATCAGAGTTTCAGAGATGGAAAGAATTTTTATGAGTCATCTAGTCCAAATTCTCCACACTTGGCATCGCTGTTTCCTTTATCGCTGCCCCTGGCAGACTTCACTAATGGATCTTTCTCACAAATCTTTCCTCTTGGGCCCTAAATGGCCTCTGAAGCTTTTTCTACATGACACTTTCCAGCCACTGTTATTCCATTGGAAGTAATGGCAGAGATGAAAGTCCATTTGCTAATCCTGGTCAACTTAATTTCCTGTGCAAGTTAGAGAATCCCTTCCCCAACATTCCTCACAGGTGGGTCTCGTTGAACCTTGGCCTAAATACAGTGACTTTGGACAGCCCAACCCATTTTTTCAGCAACTCTTATTCTTAACAGTTTTTCTTATTTTGAATGAAAGCTTATAACTTCCATCCATTAGTTCTATTAGGTTGAAACATTTGCAAATAGAGAGTGGCCTGATATTTCCAACTAAAATAGCAGATTAATATTGATTACTTGATTAGTAACCAAAATAACTAACGTTTAATTAGCATTTACTACATGCCAGGTGCCTTTCTGAGTACTTTACATGAGTTAACTCATATAGTCCTTGTGACAATTCTTGGTAACTACTTGTATTATTTCTGTGATAGTCAATTAGATAGCTAAGTTGCTCTCCCACTCCAAACCACCTTGTCTTTTCTAAGTGAAACACTTCAAGTTTGTGATGTTCTTTTCTGGTAGATTTATTTTTTCAAAGAGAGTTTCCAGGAGTCCACGTGGTCTGAACAGCAAGAAATACAGCAGGACATTGTCATGTCCCTTTGGGACTTTGTAAACCCCTGCCAGTGACCTGGACTCTTTGGGGAGCTTTATCATGTCCCTGCTACCCATTGGCCTGTTAAGTCACCACCTGTCCTTCCATATTTTTTTTTTAATATCTTTATGTTCTGTATTTACTCAACTGAAGTTTTTTAAAGTATCATCCTCTTGAACTTTCTCTTGTTGGTTTTCATCCACCCTTCCACTACTAGGGTTTTTACACACTCTGGTTTCTGTCATCCAGATTCTTCATGCTTCCTCCCAGTCTCATGTCACCCTCGTAAAATTGTTGGACAGATCTAAACGCTAAAATAAAGCTTTCCTTTCAGTCTAACACTGACCAGGAATAGCCTTCCCTTGCCCCACTCTGGGAATCAGGTAAATGGTTTTAAAAAAAGTTTCATTGATCATAAATGTCATTCCCATTTTTTATTGTGGAAAATAAGGAGCTTATTTCTTGGAAATCTCATGGATGGTCGCTGTGTTTATTCTAGGAAAAAATCTTGGGCCTGGCTCTCACCAGACAGTGTTGTCCCCAGCACTTGTTTCTCTGCTTTCTGCCTAGTAATTAATGTTGCCCTAAAATAGTGGGAAAAAACGAAAGAGAGTAATTTGCAGAAGAAATCACTTGTGCTGCAGGGTATGGATAGCTCCCTTGAAGAAATCATCTTAGCTGTTTTTTTATTTTAGGGGGTTCTGTGGTTTGATTCACAAATTACAGGTTGGCTCACAGGCCAGGCGATCTCTGATTAGCAACAGTGTCTCTTACCTGTGGAGGACTGATAGGGGAGAGGCTGGCAGAGATGGCAGGGACAGGAACGGCAGATGGGAAAGAGAGGGGTGCACCGGAGCTGGATGAAGGGAAGGGAGAAGGACGAAGGAACTGGAGCGCACTAAAATTCATTAAGCACCCACCACGTACTCAGCACTGCGCTCAGCATGTCACCCAGTGAGGGGAAGTGCTCTTCCCGCTTTCAGAGGAAGAAACACGGGCAGCAATAGGAGCTGCCTATGATCATGTGACTGATAAGTGTTCCTATCAGTGTTTAAACCAGGGTCTCTTGGCATTCCGAAGCCCAGGTCCGTTCCCTTATGCTGTGATGCCTCTCAGGACGAGGGCTGAAAAACAGAGGTGGAGGGAAGTGACGGAGGACAAAGAGGGTCAGCAGGTTCTGAGGTCGTCAGTCGCTGTCAGCCTGCGGGATCTGAGAGCACTGGCAGTTGCCATGGTCTGTTGGAAAACTCCCAGGGTGAGCTGTATGGCTTTTCATTAGCTCTCTGTCCCTAAGTGTGCAGAGGGTTTAGGCTGCCTGGGACGAGAGTTTTTGGGCCACAGCAAGTGTGGTTAGACTATAAACCAAGCATTGATGAAATCAAGCAGTGTCTTGTCAGGATAGCTGCTCTTTCCTGCTTTTTACAGATAAGCATTTTAGGGAAGAGCCAAAAAAACAGTATTGTTAAAGCCTTCCTATTTTTTTGGTTGATTTCCATTATAAAAATTGGAGAGATTTCCAGCACAAAGCAATTTTCAATATACTAAATTGAAAATTTTTCCTGGGTTTTGCCAACACTTACACTGAAACTAGGATCTCCCTTTTCCTTCCTCCCCACACCATAGAAATTCCTCCTATGATTGTGGCTATTTGCATGCTTATTGGGTTCCTTCAGCCTGATGAGGTACCCTTTAAGGTGAAGTGATGTGGTTCCCCTTTGTTTATTCCCCACAGCCTGGACAAAGTGTTTTCTCCTAACCACAATTGATATCTTAAAACCAAAAAATAAGGACAAATTGGAACTTAGTTGTCAAGGCACTAAGTTGCATAGCCTTCGGTGTCAACGCAGGTGGTTTCACGCTCATAAATACCAAAACAGCCTTCATTGCAACTCTGAGGGGGAGCCAGCTCCGCCAGCCTGGACCTCCTGTTATAGTGGACGCCCATGGCTTGCTGGCCTTCAGGGATTTCTGTGCAAATTCTTTTTAACTGTGCATGCATCAGTTGGTAACTCTGGAATGAGATGATTTCAGAAGCTGAACTCTCGGTGCTAGGCCTGAAATTATTTTGGTAGTAGGAACAGTGTGGGAAACAGTTGTGTTGTGAGGGGTAGCGAGCCTTGCTCTGGCCTTTCTTCCCACTAGCAAGCCAAGTTACAGCAGCAGATGGACCTGCAGAAGAACCATATTTTCCGTCTGACTCAAGGCCTGCAAGAAGCTCTAGATCGGGCTGATCTGCTGAAGACAGAAAGGAGTGATCTGGAATATCAGCTAGAAAACATTCAGGTGAGAACTGGCAAAGGGAATTTACTTAAAAATTGTCTGTGGAGGCAAAGCCTGATGGCTAAGATTTATCTGGAGACGTGGTCAGTATCTTTATGTTCTACACTTTTGTATATTTTCCCCAATATTTCATTATGAAAATTTCCAATCAGAGAAGTTGGAAAATTTCTATAATGATTACCTCTGAGATTCTAATGTTAACTGCTTGCTATTTTAACTTTATCGCATATCTATCCATCCATCAATCTGTCCCCCCAACTCCCTTTTTTGGCTATAAGAGTAGGGCTAAGTAAATAAATATCAACTGACTGTGTTTGTGTTGAATTTTCATATGCTAGTATCCTAAAGACTTTATTTTTTATTTTCTTAAAGTACAAAATTTAAAAGTATAGTTCTTTCTGGGTCTGAGGTTATTTTTATTTTTGTAAAATTTTAGGTTCTTTATTCTCATGAAAAGGTGAAAATGGAAGGCACTATTTCTCAACAAACCAAACTCATTGATTTTCTGCAAGCCAAAATGGACCAACCTGCTAAAAAGAAAAAGGTGGGTCAACATGTTTGAAAAGTGGGGGGGCTGGCATTTTGCCTGATCATTACGATTCGGTGAAAACCACAGTGATAGATAATCCAAGGAACATCAAAGAAAAAAAATGTTCATTTTCTTATTTTGTTTTGGGTTGAAATGCAGGTTTTGAGATAATCAGAATAGCCTTTAAGAGAGGATATCATTATCAACTCTGTAACAAACTACTTTACATTCATGGCCTTTAAAATTGTGGTGCCTGTCTGTTTTTTGTTTGTTTTTTTGTTTGTTTGTTTGTTTGTTTTAACTTAGGAAATGGGGGTAGGGGTGATAGCATAAAGGTTTAAATGCAGGTCACCATACGGGACTCCACAGGGGTTCTCAGCTCCAGGTACTGGACTCCAGAGGGCTTAGAGGGCCACAGGTGTGGTGCTCTAGAGAGATTACAGGTCACACGTTCAGGATTCCAGAGAAGACTAGAAATCATCTGGTCCAGTCCTTCTGATTGGCTCATGAAGAGACTGGAACCCAGAGAGTGGAAGTGACCCGCATAAATACCTGACTGGACAATTACACCCTCCACCGAGCCCTGCTTCACCCCTTTAAAATTGTAGCATACAGATTGAAAACGAGCCAAAAAACCCCCAAACAAACAACTCTGGACAGGTTTCCTATAATATAGATGCACATGGGAAGACTTCTTTTAATAAACTTAAATAATTTAATAAGCTTTAATACTTTCTTTTAACATGCTCCCCTAAACAGCTGAAGCCCTCTTACTAGGTTCGGCCAAGTGTTTTCACTTTGAAAAGGTCTCTAAGGAATTAAGTTTCCTTCCAAAGGCATTCCTGCTCCTGGGAAGCAGTGGCTGTGCTTTTACAGGAAAAGCCTCTGACCACTGGGAATACTGAGGATAGGGCCGAAGTGGGCAGTTGCTTTCCATGTTCCCGATGCTGTACTTAGAATAAGGGGATAAGAGCAGCATTCGGAAGCACCTCCTACTAAGAGGTGCCTGCAGGGGAAGGTGTTTCTTGCACACTGTGTGACTGTTTGTGTTTGTTATGCTTATGATATTTACTCTCTTTTATTTTAGCAATGGACTGTTATCGGATTATGTCAATTGATGTAGTCAGGGTGTTTCCATTTTTCTGTTTGTTTTTTGTCTCACTGTGTTTTCCTTTTTTTCCCATGTACAACACACATTTTCATTTGCATTTTTTTGAGTAAGCCCCTTGTTTTGACATCAGTTTAGCATTCCATTCTTTTTTTTTTATTGCTTCCTTTTTTAAAAACACTCATCTCTGTGTGTTGTAACTAGGAATCTTGAGACAATTCAAGGCAAGAGTGATTTCTGAGCCATCTATCCTAATTCCATCCTCCACTTCCATTTTTTGAGGGTAAAGAATCAGGAAATGGCTCTCCTTCTTGGGAATGCTTAAGGAAGAGGTGGTGGCAATTCAAGCGTCTTTAAACCCTCTTGGTGAAAACTTGCGCACCCCTATTTTTTTCCAGCCGGCTGGAATGGGCTGTGGCTCAGTCTCCCCCTTCCCCCTTCACATGCCATTTTTACTAAATCTGCTTACAGTGAGTATGCTTCTGGCTTTCGTGGTGTGCTCCTCCTGAGTCAGAGTTCCTTTAGCTAGTTTAAAGTGCCAGTTTCCAGAAGTTAGGAGATATCTCTGTTTCCATTGCTAGGGTTTATTTAGTCGACGGAAAGAGGACCCTGCTTTGCCCACACAGGTTCCTCTGCAGTACAATGAGCTAAAGGTGGCTCTGGAGAAGGAGAAAGCTCGCTGTGCAGAGCTAGAGGAAGCCCTTCAGAAGACCCGCATTGAGCTCCGGTCTGCCCGGGAGGAAGGTAGGGGCGCCTGACTCTCTATGACCCATCTCAAGGAGATTGTTCAAGACTAGCTCAGCATCTGCATTTAGGCCCATATGCTTTCAGTCCAGACATCCCAAGTCTGAAAAATTCACAGCATCCTTGGCATTGCTGATTCGCTACAATGCATGTCCGTTTGGTTTGGGGTCCTGAAAGACAGCCCAGGGGGCAGTCCACTTGGCTTGGGCCTCTTGGTGATGGAGCTAACCAAAAGGCTTTGGGCTGCTCCCTTCCCAGCTGCTCACCGGAAAGCCACGGACCATCCGCACCCATCTACTCCAGCCACTGCGAGGCAGCAGATTGCCATGTCTGCCATCGTGCGGTCGCCTGAGCACCAGCCCAGTGCCATGAGCCTGCTCGCCCCGCCATCCAGCCGCCGAAAGGAGTCCTCAACTCCAGAGGGTATGTTCTCAAGTGGCTGTTGGAGTTTTGTTGACATTTTTTTTATCAACTAAGAAATGCAGACATGCAGCCATATGGTAAAAATAATAAATAATATTAAAGGATAAAAAAGTAAGAAGTAAGTCCAAATTAAAATAAAGGCCAAAGAAGGTGGTTGGGGAAGTCTTAGGGAGAGTGGAGTAGAGCTGTGGTTTAGCATCATGATATCACTATCAAACCTACTTTAGTTGTAAATCTGGTTGGCATTTTTTTTAATGATGATGTCATCTTGTTTTATATGTTTGCATAACACTGAGTCAGTCAAAGAGCTTTACTCTTAAAGTCATTGAAATGGTGACCATAGCGCAGGAAGGAATGGTTTCTGCTCTGGTGCCCATTGACATGGCTGTAGAGTGACTGCCTGAGTTGTTTGTAATACTCTAAGCATCATCTTTGGGTGTGTTGCATATTAACAGTTTTTAATCATGTACATGTTATTTATTCCTTACAACTGATTGCGGGGGTCGGGGGGTGGGCAATGTTATATGGAGAATGTAATTTGGATTCAGAAATTTGGATCCTTAGTTTTTCTCTTTATTTAATTAGTTCTAGGTTACTATTGAGAGGGGCCCTATTAAAAGGAAAAAAGTCAACCATATTAATTTTATCAGACCGGAAAATAAATGTAAGAATCTCTCTTTCAAGGCTTAAAAGTTGGATTTTAACATTAAGAGGTTATTCATGAAAGAGCTGGACAAGAAGGGAGAATTCTTTAGTCAACTTAAATACTTAATAATTAGAAATTCTATAATTCATAATAGTGATTTTTAAACTAAATTCTTAAAAAGTCTAGATATATGATTTCATCTGGAAAACAGAGTATTCGTGAACAAGATACAGACATTTGACTTAAAAGCAAGTGCCCACAAACATCTGTGCTATCATATAGCAAATCTCCTACAGTATATGTTCTTAAAAAAAACCCTTAATTCCTAATAACCAGATAATAGAAATTTTAAGTTAATTCATATAAATTAGACATATCTGTTAGTGTTAAAATAGTTTCCAAATCTGTAACTAACCTGCTGTAATAGTTTAACAATGTTGTTGAGATAAATTCACATACTGAGGGGATGCAAAAAACAACAACAACAACAAACAAACGAATTATCCTCTGAAGGGCAGGCTCCTTGTAGTACAAGCTTCCCCCGCTAGGTGTTTTAGGAACCCATCTGTATCAGTGCACCAACTGGCGTTGTTGTGAGAGGCTGCGTTTGGCTTCAATGAAACTTTTTTTTTTTTTTGAAGACTCTTTCAGCGTGTTTGCCCATTTCATGATGGGTAATTTAGGAGCACACTTGCCCACTACAGCGCTGAGTGTTCAGCAGTTTTTGACCGTAACGGCATGACCCGTGTACCCCATCCTCCCTATTCACCATATCTCACCCCTGATCGGCTTTTTTTCCCTTGAATGAAAAAATCCTCAAAGGGAAATGTTTTGCTAATGTGGAAGAGATGAAACAAAAAACAGCAGAAATAATAAAAGTTCGAGACATGAAAACATCAAAATCAATGACTGTTCTGAGGAGAGGAAAAAACTGTCTTGATAGGTGTATTGCATCAAATGAACAGTACTCTGAAGGTGACTGATGTTGAAACATGTAAGAATAAATCCACAATTTTTTAGAAATTCTGGTTTTTGGGGGGCCCCCCTCATATCATATAATCTACTCACTTGAAATGTACAGTTCATTGTTCTTTGTTAAATTTACCAGGTTGTGTAACTATCACATTCTAATATTTTGCTCCATCCTTTGTCCCCACCCCTCAAAATAACATTCTGTGCCCATTAGCAGTCTCTTCCCATTTCCCCTCTTGCCCACCCTCTGGCAAGCGCTAATGTGCTTTCCATCTGTATGGATTTGCTGTTCTGGACATTTTGTATAAATAGAATCATACCATATGTGGCCTTTGTATCTGGCTTTTTCCATTGAGCCATAATGTTTTTGAGATTTATCCATGTTGTAGAATTTATTAGTACTTCATTTTTTTATGGCTGAATAATAATCTGTTGCATGAAGAGCACATCTTGTTTATCCATTGATGGACCTTTGGGTTGTTTCCATTTTTTTGGCTGACATGAATAATGTTGCTATGAACATTTGTGTACAAATTTTTGTGGCTTACATATGTTTTCAATTTTCTTGGGCATATACCTATGGGTGGAATTTCTGGGTTATGTGATAATCCTATGTTTAACTTTTAGGGGAACGTTCCTACCAGCAGTGCATGAGGATTCCAATTTCTCTACATCCTCACTAACACTTATTTTCCATTATTTTTTAATTCTAGACTCCCTAGGGAGCATGAACTGGTAGCTCCTTGTAGCTGTGATTTGCATTTCCCTAATGATTAAACGAGGTCAAGCATCTTTTTATTTGCTCGTTGGTCATTTATTTGTCTTCTTTGGAGAAATGCCTATTCAAATCCTTTGCTCATTTTTGAATTGGGTTATTTGTCATTTATTATTACTTTGTAAGAGTTCTTTATGTAGTCTAACTATAAGTCCCTTGTCAGAGATATGACTTGCAAGTATTTTTTCCCATTCTGTAAATTGTCTTCACTTTTTTGATGGCATAATTTGTACCGCTCTAATGATTTTTAAAACTTTTCCTCCAGAATTTAGTCGGCGTCTCAAGGAGCGCATGCACCACAATATTCCTCACCGATTTAACGTAGGACTGAACATGCGAGCCACAAAGTGCGCGGTGTGCCTGGATACTGTGCACTTCGGACGCCAGGCATCCAAGTGTCTTGGTAAGAGCAGCGGTTGTGTGCGTGTTGTGGGCACCTGTGCATCTCTATCTAAAAAAAGTCTATCTGGGGGAGGTGATTTTTTTCCGTTTTAAATTCCTTATCATAGAGTGCGTTCATTTTCAAGCTTTTAGTTTTAGTGGGAGGATGCTATTTTTCTCCTGTTAGAGGAGTGAGTTTATACCTGTTTTCAGCTCATGTCTCCAACTTGCTGTGCAAATGCCTTGGGCTTTGCTAATTTCCAGCCCCTTTTCCATCAGGCTGGTCTCCCCCTCTCTTTAGGCTGCCTGCTTGCTGCCTCCACCTGGAACATGCACATGTGCCCTTTACACATCTGTTTGTGACATCCCAGGAAAACGAGGGTCCTTGGCCCTCTCATTTCCTCTCTCTGCAGAGGCCTGGCTCCTGGGAAATGTAGGGGTTACCTGGATGGCTTGGCCAGACTGATGAGCCTGGCCGGGGGTGGCTGGCAGAGCAAGGGAGTGGTCCAGGATCAGCCAAGCAAGTTTCCAGGTTGTTCTCTGCTTTTTCATAGAATGTCAGGTGATGTGTCATCCCAAGTGCTCCACGTGCTTGCCAGCTACCTGTGGCCTGCCAGCTGAATATGCCACACACTTCACTGAGGCCTTCTGCCGTGACAAAATGAACTCCCCAGGTCTCCAGACGAAGGAGCCCAGCAGCAGCTTGCACCTGGAAGGCTGGATGAAGGTTCCCAGGTATTGCTGCAGGGTGACTGGGGCTGGGGCTGGGGCAGGTGCTAGTGAAGAGTGCCCCAGATACGCCACGCTGGGATAAGGATTAGTCTGATCTAAAGGCACTTGAAAACAGCAAGTGCAAGAAGAACATTCTGACCTCCCCTTTCCCTTCCTGAAAGTCAGAGATAAAACTCCCTGTGAAAGCTGCCCTCCCTGTACCAGGAAGAAGGAAACATTCTTATCGCCATAGACAGGAAGTCAAGGCTGACCAAGAGAAATCTTGTGTTTTTTGGCCTCCCTATACATTTTAGTTACCTTTCCACAATTACTACCCCTTTTTCAACCTGGTATACAAGCACTTGAGTCTCTTGGCTTTTTGGGTTTTTATTTTCTTATGGAGATGCCCACATATATCAAAATTTGTATGCTTTTCTCCTGTTCATCTGTCTGATGTCTGTTGAATTCCTATGCCAGCCACAGAACCCAGAAAGGTCAAAGGAAGTTTTTCCTCCCCTGCATTGCCATGGAAGGACACAAGTCACTTCCAGGCCTGTTGTTTTCTAGAGAATTCTAGGGATGTCTTCTCTGGGATTCCTTCTCCACTGTACCCCTCGCCTCCCTCTTGATTCTTCTGAGTTCAAACGTGTCTTCTTTTCCATCTTTATTTTCCCAGGAATAACAAACGAGGACAGCTGGGCTGGGACAGGAAGTACATTGTCCTGGAGGGATCCAAAGTCCTCATTTATGACAACGAAGCCAGAGAAGGTAAATTAATAATTCAGGGGGAATTTCATTGCACGCAGTGGACCCAGGTCTCCCAGTCTTGGCGTGAAGGCTTTGTTTTTTGGACTGCGTTGCAAGCCTTCTACGATTTTCCATTTTTGAAAATTAAACACCAAGTGACTTTGCTAAAGGTTATTGGTACGATACTCACGTCTATAGGTCTCCCCTCTGAAGACCCTGCAGGGTGCTGCCCTGAAGATTCTACCTGCTAATACACCTTCCGAGAACTTCTGCCTCAGTCAACTAACCCATAAATCCGCATCGTCATCAGAAATTTGACTGTGCTACTCATCTGACACACTTTATTTTTTTTTTATCTTCCCTCTCCGCCTTCTCTGCACACCCTTTCCCTCCTTTGTTCTCGTGCGCCTCTCTTTCCATGCATACTGTCTCTCTCGCACTGTCTCTCTTGCCTTCTCTCTCTCTCTCTCTCTTTCTCTTTTCCTCTTTTTTCCCCCCTTGTTCTTGTTTCTGTTCTTTTGTTTTTCTTTCTGCCCTTCCTCTTTGCACCAAGCTGGACAGAGGCCGGTGGAAGAATTTGAGCTGTGCCTTCCCGACGGGGACGTATCTATTCATGGCGCCGTTGGTGCTTCTGAACTCGCAAATACAGCCAAAGCAGGTGAGGAGAAGCAGGGGAGCCTCACCCCAGAGGTGGGCTGGGTTTGCTGAATTAACAAGGGCGGGAGGAGCACGTGGAGGATCGGCCAGAAAGGGGGTCCGCTCTCCGCAGCTCTCCCAGTAGCAGTGAAATCTTGGAAATCTCAGGGCCACCCGTCCCAGCAGGAGTGGGGGAGTCCACGCCCAACCCCATGCTCTCTGTCCCATCTCCTAGATGTCCCATACATACTGAAGATGGAGTCCCACCCGCACACCACCTGCTGGCCTGGGAGAACCCTCTACTTGCTAGCTCCCAGCTTCCCTGACAAGCAGCGCTGGGTCACCGCCTTAGAATCAGTTGTCGCAGGTGGGAGAGTTTCTAGGGAAAAAGCAGAAGCTGACGCTGTGAGTATGAAAGTGGGTGCTGGAGCTCGTCTTTGAAAAGTGGGCTGACTTGGGCGGGAGTCCCTCTGAGTGCCATGATTTCCCTCAGGCTCCCTCTCTGAGGGCTGGTGGCTTGAGACTGTCATGACCAGGAGTTTTGTGGTGACAGAAATACATGTTCTTAGGGGGCCTGTCTGGGCGTCACGGGCCCTCCTCCCACAGCCCTTTAGAATGGGGGCGTCAGCGTGGTTAGCCAGCTCTTGGTCATGGCAACACAGCAGCTGATGGACTTGCCAGGAAGTCCTCCCTTTGTTTACTCTGATGAGTTTATTTGGCTTGAAGTCTTGAGTTTCAAGCACCTTGGCCATGAAGTGGCCTTAAAGGCTGCCGACAGACATGTCTACTTTAGGCAGGCTTTTCATAACCTTTTCAGTTGCTTCCACACGATTTGCTCTTCTGTAGGCAGGTTTGAAATTCTGCTTATCCTTAAGCTGTTAGAAACGTAGGTGTGTCTCGATTGGCAGCTGTCCTCCTAGAACTTTCCAGTATATAAGCAGGGCTCATTGCTCATTGGCATTTTCTCCACCAAAGACCAGACAGCTCTTTTCAAACACTTAGCTCCTGATAAACGCTTTAAGTTTTAGGAATTGGAAATCTTTAATCATGGGCCTCCTGATGAGGAGCTCTGCATAGACTTGTTTTAACGAACTGTTTCATCATTACCCATGTATGCCTTTTACCTGAAATCCACATTAATGTGTACAATAGGGGCATGACCACCTTTCCTACGAGCTTCTGCCTGCATGTGTTCAGGTAAAGAGACTGAGAAGCTTGTTGGTTTGTTGCTGACGCTGTGCTTTGCACTTTTGCTGCAGCCTAGAGGGGAAGGACCCTTCCATGTGGCTTATTAACCTTTTGCAGGTGATGTCTTTTTAGCTTCAGCTTATTTCCTACCCCAGAAATTTTTCTATGTCTATTATACTCACTCAGTTGTGTCCAAGCGGATTTATAACTCCCATGCTAATTAACAACCACTCCAGAGATAGCAATAAGATTCATGTCTTCTTGCCTTTTGAGCTCATGTCAAAATATGAGGCAAGCCAAGAGCAGATGTGTGTTTCTGAGCAGTTTCAGGAGTCACTTGCCTTTCTTTTTGGCTTTAAATGTCTCTCTATTCTTGCTTTTGTCTGTCTTGATGGTTTGGTCATGAACAGTTCAATCTCACCAGGTTCTCTTTTTTTTCCTTTTCCTTTTTTTTCTCACACATGAAAAGAAATTGCTTGGAAACTCCCTGCTGAAACTGGAAGGTGATGACCGTCTAGACATGAACTGCACACTGCCCTTCAGCGACCAGGTAATGATGTTTTTTAGACACTGTCAGCTGGCGTCTGGCAATAGCCACCTGCAGTCAAGAAAGAAAGGGCTGTATCGGCTTTGCTGCTGTTACTCTTTGGGGTTGTTATGGTGATGCGATGATGCTCATGCTCTGCCTTTGGACTTCTGCCCCCGCAGGTGGTGTTGGTGGGCACCGAGGAAGGGCTTTATGCACTGAATGTCTTGAAAAACTCCCTCACTCACGTCCCAGGAATTGGAGCAGTCTTCCAAATTTATATCATCAAGGACCTGGAGAAGCTACTCATGATAGCAGGTGGTAGGCCAAGGACATGGCGCTTTTTCTTCACTTTTAAGGAAAACTATTTGAAAGCCAAATGTCATGCTTGAGAAACACAAAGGCAGGCCTTCCTGGTGGCAGGTTGGAACAGAAGCAGCTCTTTTCTCTCTGTGCCTGTTTATGCCCAAGCTGATGGCTCTCTCTCTGTTCATTTTTATTTCCCTTGGGGTCCAGCGAAGCACAGACTGACACCCCTTGCGAACATGTCACCATTGTGCCAAGTGAATAGTAGCGAGCCTCAGACTCATTAATGTCAGACCTTTGTCGTCATCACATTTATACCACTGTGAGCCGTGACTTGCTGAGGGCTTACTGGCTCTCTTTTGCTTTGATTCTTGTTTCTCTGTGACTTCTCGGAGATCCTTTGTCTAGATTTAACACTTGTTAAGGTTTTGCCACATTTTTTTACTCTCTTTTCCTATGATACGCAGGCATGCTATCACTTTTTTGGACAGAGAATCAGTTGCAGTCAGTTCTTTAGCATGTCACCAAAGGACAAGGGTATTCTCTCACATAACCATGGCAAACTTTTTTCTCTTTCTTTATTGATGGTACTATTTTTTTTTAAGAGGAAAACAATAATTTATTGTCTCAGTGTTCAAAACATCCACAGTTAGGTCTTGTTTTAGACATGGCTGGATGGATCCAGGGCTGAACTAATATAGCCAGGAACTGACTTTTCTTGGTCTTTCAGCTCTTTTCCTCTGCTTGCTTGCTTTGTGTGTGTTTGTGTTTATTTGTTTCTTCTTACTGGTTTTCCTTCCTTTTTCCTCTGTTATTCCTTGACTTTATTCTTTAGAGAAGTTTTAGGTTCACAGCAAAATTGAACAGAAAATACAGAGATTTTCCCCCAACCACACACAGCCTTCCCCACCAGAGGGTACATTTGTTACAATTGATGGACCTGCACCGATATATCATTGTCACCTAAAGTCCATAATTTATGGGAGGGTTTGCTCTTGGTGTTATATATGGGTTTGGACACATAGGTGATGGCACAAATCCACTATGATAGCATCATACAGAATAGTTTCACATGGTACAGCTACGGTTCATGGAGTTTAGCCCTTGCTGGAATACATTGATCTGATATATTTCCCATAGTCAGATTTTATCTATGCCCCCAATCACATCCTTTAGAGTAGAGTATTTTTCTGACTATTGATCCGGTCGGGCGTCATGCCTCTTTAGTCTCTGTAAACCTGAATGAATCCTTAGCCTTTCTTTTGTCTTGCATGACATTGACATATTGGAATAGTCTGAGCCTACTGTTTTATACAATGTCCCCTCGTTGTTCCTAATGCATTCTGACTTTGGTGGGGAGCATGTTTGAAAAGTATAGTTTACCTTCTCCGATTTTTCTGTCTGCATAATATTTTTTCTCCCAGAATCCTGACTAAGAGGTCAGATATTTTCATCCGAGATCTAAAACTTGGAACTAAACTGTATTTCTGGGAATTTGTGGGAAACAGTCCATCACCGTGGCTTTGCTGGCTTTTATTTGTGAGTAGAATTAGAATTGCCATCCTGTGACATTGCTTAATGGCCTCCCTCTGACCAAGAAGCTGTTCCTGTTCCCCTCAGGAGAAGAGCGGGCCCTGTGCCTTGTCGATGTGAAGAAAGTGAAGCAGTCCCTCGCGCAGTCTCACCTTCCCGCGCAGCCGGACGTCTCGCCCAACATTTTTGAAGCTGTCAAGGGCTGCCACTTGTTTGCTGCTGGCAAGGTAAGTGCCCCTTGGACCTCTGCTGGGGGAATGTTTAACTAATTAATTTTTAGGCCTTTTTTCCAATAAGCATTTTAGGGCTATGCATTTTCCTCTAACTACAATTTTAGTTGCACCCTATAAATTTCTTTCATTCCAAATATTTTTAGATTTCTTTATGATTTTTTTCCTGTGAATGATGAGTTACTTAGAAGTGTGCATCTTAGTTTCCAAAAACTGATTTTTAAAAATTGTGTTAATTTCATTATGGTGTTTGAAATACTAAAAAAAAAAAAAAGGAGTATATATGTAAATTACAAGATCAGAACACTAAAATTATAACACCTAATAATGTGGTAAACATCCATAAACTTAATACTCAACCTTAGAAATAGAACCTTACCAACAATTTGCATTTTCCTGTATATTCCTCCCCCATTCCATCCCTCCCCCTATCAACCCTGCCAGCCACCTTCATTTCAGGACTGATTTGAGCAATAAGTTTCCTTTTGTCCTTGATGAAATGACAAAGATCTAGGTGTAGAAGGTGAAGTAAGAAGGATTCAGCTGTTCTAGAAAAACAGAATTTTGATGTAGAACTCTATACACATACTTTAGCTAAGAACTTACTTTTTGGATCAAAATCTTCTCTGAATTCTTATAGCAATGTCTACTGCCTTCCCCTCCTTGATAATAGAATGTTATCAAAAGAATCTGTCTCCACCAAAAGACACACACACGTGCATGGGGGGCAGGTGGATTTTCTGAGCCTTCTCTGCATTTTTGTTAAATAAGTGGTTTTCAACCAGGGGCGAGTCTGCCCCCAGGGAAAATGGCAGTGTCTACAGGCATTTTTGTGCCGTACCTGGACGTTGCACCATTGGCATCGACTAGGTGCAGCCCAGGGTTGGTGCTGAACATCCTATAATGCACAGAAAAGCCCCTCACCACAGTCATCCGGTCCAAAGGGTCAGTAGTGCTGAAGCTGAGAAACCCTGCTCTAAATTGATGTTCTTTTCTTAGTTTTGCTATGGAGTCAGTACATAAACCAGTGACACTCTTTTTTTCCTCCAACTGCTTTTCAGATTGAGAACGGGCTCTGCATCTGTGCAGCCATGCCCAACAAAGTCGTCATTCTCCGCTACAATGAAAACCTCAGCAAATACTGCATTCGGAAAGTAAGTCCTGGGTCTGCCCGTGAGCTGGTGTGGAAAGTGTGCTGTTTCAGGGAACAGCGTGTGTCTGGTCCCCTCACCTGCTTGAAGAGAGAGAAAGGGGGGGGAGAGAGAGAGAGAGAGAGAGAGAGAGAGAGAGACCCACCCTTCATTCCTGGAGGAAGCTCCAGAGCTGCTAGTAGCTGCAGGTTTTCTCTCTCACTTTCCTTCTGCTATTTGCAGCTGCCTCTCCAGCCAGCCCAGTGAATCCAGCCTTTTGTTAAGGCAGAAAGGAAGTTGGCTGATGGAGGAGGTACTTCTTTTGAACCAGGAAAAAAAAAGAAAGCGATCTCTCTGAGAAGCTGGCAGTCCCTGGTGGCACTTAGTAGAATCTTTCTCAGATCCTAGAAGTGTCTCTGAATAAGCTTGGGGCAGCTGTTGCTGTCTGTCTTCTGAAATGCAAGTAGGGAGCTGGCTCTGGGCAGAGCAGAGGGAGCTGTGATGGTGACTGCAGAACGGACAAGGTGCACGTTAGGTCCTTACATTTGCTTCGTTTCTGGAGGAGGCTGTCTGTTGCCCCCTGACTAGGATGTTCCACCCATCACAAGCCTAATTTATTTCAGGTACTTTCACAGTTATTCTCAAAAGGGAAATGAGAGATGACTATGTATAAGGGTCATTACTGTTAAAGAAACTGTTTCATCCTGGGCAGGCTCTTGTTCGTTTACTTTAGAGTTTTATTTAGCACCTACTGCTACCAGAGACTGAGCTGGCTACTTTGGACAAACACTTGTCACAACAGCTCTGAAAAGCAGCTTTGGCCATCCCCAGTTTCGGGGAAGAAGAGTGATGGGGGCTGGCTGAGGTCCTAAGTTACCAAGTCCAGACCAAAACTGATGTTTGATTTTTCCTACCATTTTATTATGTCATGCTGCCTAAAGGTTTCTGCACACTTAGGAGGTGATCAGTAAACATTCAGTGGTCATGATAATGCTAAATAGAGTTTGAACTATTAGTTTCAGGAGAATTCTCAAAAATCACTGCTTCTATATAATTCCTGGCCACCATTTTGAATAAGCATGTCTAGGTTGTTGAAGCCATTAGGACTGGCCTGAAAACAAGTGGAAGTAATTAGGAAGCAGATAATTCAGGGATGACAACAGTGATGATGACAACACTTCTGTAGGTAATGTAGGTTCTGAACAGAAGCATAGAAGCTCACAGAAAGAAGGAAATTAAACCCGCTCCCTAAGCTACCACTGTTAGTAGTTGGTAAAATTTTCCAGGCTTTTTCCTCTGATGAATATGTTGTATTTTTAAAGCTTTCTTTTTGAATGCCACCTTTTCATTGAAATGGTGTTTCTGACTTTTTGGGGCTATAATTTGGCCTTATTTTCTTAGTCTGGGGTTGCAAAGAATTCAGAGGTAGTGAAGGAACCCCTGGTCCTTGTGAGGGACATGAAAGGATTGTCCGTGCTGTGCATCACTGACAGCTTGAACTAGTCTGCTGGCGGCTGTCCGCAAGGCTCAGTTAGATGCCTAAGGTGGAAACAGGAGAGCAGTAGAGACGTGGCTGCCTTGAGTCAACACTTACATTCTCCTCTCTACCCTCTGTCTCAGGAGATAGAGACCTCAGAGCCCTGCAGCTGTATCCACTTCACCAACTACAGTATCCTCATCGGAACCAATAAATTCTACGAAATTGACATGAAGCAGTACACGCTCGAGGGTAGGGTCCGAGTCCTCCCCAGCCCACATGCTGCTCCGGCTCTGCCACCACCGCAAGCCCACTCCTGAAGCCCCACTTCTCACCTGCCTTTTCAGAATTCCTGGATAAGAACGACCATTCCTTGGCGCCTGCTGTGTTTGCCTCCTCTTCCAACAGTTTCCCTGTCTCAATCGTGCAGGTGAACACCACAGGGCAGCGGGAGGAGTACCTGCTCTGCTTCCACGGTGAGTCGGGGCCTGCCACTCACTGCTCTTTTGAGTGCTGCTGGGCACCAAGGGGTCCCAGACTGGGTCCACCGGGGGCGGTAGGCTGGCCAGTGGGACTCTGGGGCAGGGCGGGTCCTGCTGGGAGTATAGAGAACAGTGCTCCAGCTGCCAGAGCTCCCCTCGGAGTCCTGTCCTGTTCTCCCCGCAGGGCGCTGATCTGATCCAGCTCCGTTATATCCTGCCCAAAGAGCGGGCCTTCTTCCCTTCTCTGTCTTCGCTTCTTTTTCTCCCTTTCCTTATTTTTTTCTCTTTCCTTCCCTTTTTTCTCTCTTGATGTTTCTCTTTCCAAATCTCTGGGTCTTTCTTACTCTTCCTTTCTGTCTCTGGGCCTGTTTCTCCCTCTTCCTCCCTGTCTCCTTACCCTCCCATCCTTGTCCTCTTTCCTTTCTCTCCCCACTTTCACTCACAAACACTTTTTCTAATAAGTCAGGCTCAGCAGAGGTCCTTGGGTTTTAATAGTTCAGTGAAATCTGGCCAGTTGTCCCTGGGCCCGATTCCTTCTTCTTCTGTCAAGTGTGTGTTGTTGATAACCCCTACCTCCGGCTCTGCTGACAAAGCCCCTGTGCTCTGATTTCTTGCAGAATTTGGGGTGTTCGTGGATTCTTATGGGAGACGTAGCCGCACAGACGATCTCAAGTGGAGTCGCTTACCTTTGGCCTTCGGTAAGTGAGGCAGGGTGTGGAAGGCTCTTTTCTGCCAGCAGCTGGTGTCCTGGGGAAGCATTGTGGGTGGAATTCTTTTTGGCCTAAGCACTGTGCTTGTGGATTCCACTGGACACCAAGTGTCACCTATAGTTGTCACCCGAGTCCTCAAGGGCAAAGGTTCTGAGGCTTGACAAAGGCATCAGCCAAACCCACCAGCCTTGTGAAATATTTGTTAGGTTCTCATGATAGAAAGGAGACCATTTGCTGTGAGTTTATTTCAAACATTTCAAAGGCAGCAGTGTCCGTGGGATAACTGAATACCTATCAATATTATCGGTCCCAACTGGGCAGAGCACTTAGGTCATAGCCATTCTTTCTGTAAATGTAAACTCTGTGATTAACATCTTATACTAATCTTCATACACTTGTCAAATAGTATCCCCTTTATAAGTTCTGAAAGTGAAACTACATACATAATCACGCATACATATAAGTATGTGCATGCTTGGCTCTGTGAATGTTCTGAATTATCATTACAGCTTAAATACCCTTAGAGGCTTTTTCCTTTATCTACTGTTGCATATCAAGTTTCCAAACATAGTGAGGTAACAGAGCAACAACTTATTACCCAAGATTCTGTGGTTGTCTGGACAGTTCTGCTTCATGTGGTGTCAGTGGGACCACAGGGCAATGAAAGGTCCACAGTGGCCTCCCAAACATGGCAGCAGGGGGCGCAGTGGGCGCGCACTGCACTGGGACTGGCGGCCAGAGGCCCCGGTCCTCTCCCTGTGGGCAGGCGTGGAGCTGTCAGGCCTCCTCGCTTCCACCAGCTCCAGGGGCTACAGCGGGGCCGCAGAGCCGCAGGCTCAGGGCCCGGAAACTCCTCCAGGGTCTCAGCGCCGGGAGACGTGACGGGTAGTCAAATACCAAAGTAAAGTTTGCCACAAGGAACAAGAGTGATAATCTTCTTTTCTCTTTAAGAAAGAAAACAGCTCTGGTCAGATCCTGGAGTTTCAGTGACACTGAGATATATAGTAGTAAGACCAGAAATATTTAATTACCTATGAACCCAGTCTTCTTTAATTTTTTCAAAAATGCACACAATCAAAAATTTTGAAATGTATATAATGAAAAGTCTTTTTCATAGTACCTGTCTTCCAAAATCTTTATCCATACTCCCTCAAGAATTATGAGTTTCTTATCCTTCTAGGGCTCTGTGCAAATACAGAGACATAAAAAATATATTCTTATACCCCACACCCCTTTTTTATCATTACGATAGCATACTTTACACATTATTCTGAACCACCTTGCTTTATACACTGAAACCACACACCTCAGAATTTTTTTTCCATATCAGGACACAGAGAGCTGCTTCTTGCATTTTTTCAGCTATGCAGAGTTCCGTAGGTGTACCATAACTTCTTTAGCTGATCCCCTAGAATGTACCGTCTTCTGCCTTAACAATACGGCAGTGAACACACTTGAGCATGCATCATTCTTCTGGCACATGAATATAATTCCTGTAGTTGGGATTGCTGGGTCCAAGGATGCATCGCATGCAGGTTTTGATTTTCTTTCTTTTAACCCTTCCTTCACACTCATCCTCTGTGGTGGCCGTGCAGCCTATAGAGAGCCCTACCTGTTTGTGACCCACTTCAACTCACTCGAAGTGATTGAGATCCAGGCACGCTCCTCTCTGGGGTAAGCATTGTCCCCCAGGCTCTGAAGAGCTCCGCTCTTGGGGTTGGGTGTATGTTTCTTTCTTTCTCCCCTAGCAATGGCGCTAACCTGCAGTGGCAACTCTTGTCTGGTATTCTATAGGACCCCTGCCCGGGCGTATTTGGAAATCCCAAACCCACGCTACCTGGGCCCTGCAATTTCTTCAGGAGCAATTTACCTGGCGTCCTCATACCAGGATAAATTAAGGGTCATTTGCTGCAAAGGAAACCTCGTGAAGGAGTCCGGCACTGACCACCACCGGGGCCCCTCCACCTCCCGCAGGTACCGTGTCCTTCCCCTTCTTTATTACAGGGGGCCAAGTGCTCTCTGCGAAGCCGAAGGAAAGCTTGCCGAACTGGCTGGAGGTTTCCCAATAGTCAAGCAAGCCACTCATTCCCCTGAGATCTGCAGCCTTGACATGACATAGTCACAGAGAGTGGCAGGAGAGTTTTTAAATGCCCCCTTATAAAAGGTGGAAGGCAACGTCTGGCCTTTCTCTGGTGGGTGCTTTCAGTAGCTCTGCTTGGAATGGAGCATGAATTATGCATTCGTTGCTTTAGCAGATACTCCACTGGGCTAGCTGGGCAGTTGTGGGAGGTTTAGCTGCAAATAAGCCGCTGTGTCTCCTTCCCGATGAATCCCCAGGGGAGAGACACTCGCATTCTGGCGACTCCCGACTCCCGCACTGCCTGGAAGGGTGAGGCTGCCCCTGGGGCTGCTTATGGTGCCTTGGGAGCCCAGACGAGGCCCCTGCCTCGACCAGGGGGTCAGGGACGATTTCCCAGAAGAAATAAGGCCCTGTGTATGTTTTTCTCTTTCTTTGCCTGTCTGGTGATTTTTTGTTGTTGAAAACCAGACAACTCAAACAGTATAATGTAGTAGCTCTGGAAATCAGATCCCCTCCCTGGGTTTGTTGTTGCTGTTTATTTCTTGACCCTCCTAGACTAAGTCTGTAAAGTTTGTGTCCTTTATTACGGCTGCCAGTGAAGCTTCTGGGATGGGGTTTTTCTCATAAGGCATCCCTGGGTCAGGACCAATGAAAATCAGCCCCGAGAATGGTCTTTTCCAAAGAGTAATCAGACAGATCAGACAGTGACAGTTTTCTGGGGAGCTCCAGTCCTGACGGGCTCCCTCCGGTGGCAGCAACGCTGCTGGGTTCCACAGCTCCTGTGATTACGAGGCTGTTGCTTTCAACATTGCCGCAGGTCTGGGGAGAAGTGGGTGGGAATAGGTCAAGTTAAAATGTCACACAAGTTAAAATGTTAAAGAATAAAATGTTATTCTTAATGAGAGTCAGCCATTTTTCTTGTATAAATGCTCTTCGGATTGTTGCAAGCCTTTGGTTAATTTCCAGAGCTCAGAAAAGTTGACTTTGATAATTTTTGTCAGTGTTCTTGTTGCTGTTATGGAGGAACAGGTTTTTGGAGGTCCTTACTCTGCTATTCTGGAATTGCTCTGCCCCTTCTTTTTAATGTGGGTGATTGCCACTCTGCATACTTGCAGACCTTAACATGTCTCAGAGATTGCTCCATGTCAGTATGAGAAGTATTTCTTTATTCTTTTTTTATGCCTGCATCGCATTCTTTCCCATGACCTTAACTCATTTAACTGCGTCTTTCTCAGTGGGTGTTCAGGTTGTTGCTGTAGTTCACAACTTTGTGCCTATGTCAGTTTGTCATTTTGCATGCCTAGGAATCTATCTGCAGGATAAATTCCTAGAAACAGCTTTGCGTAATTTCAGATGTTGCTGAGTTTTCCTCTGGGAAGGCTGAACCCTTTTGTAGTCCCGCCAGCATTGTGTAGAAATGGGACTGACCTACCTTGACACAGAGGGCTAGGACCCAGATCCCGATTGGCATGTAGGTTTGAGATGTGTAAAGTTTAAGTTCTTAGTCCACAGAAAGGTCTGAGGTTATTTAAGCCAGGGGAATATTTAACCTAGGATTTTGATTTTTGGACTGGTTTATAAGCCTCGCATGACTACCCTATAAAGAGTTATGTGGACCCCTTACTATGTGCCAGACCCAATGTCTGGGGCTGGGATACACAGATGAAGAAGATATTTTTTATTCTGAAGGGACTCTCAACTTGGTGGAGGAGTCACCTCGAATATTATAAAATGCTTAGACCTTGGAAGAGAGGGCCATCAATTTAATCTTCTGAGGCTATGTCCGAATGAATAGTTTCTCTCTCTCTCTCTGTCCTTTTTTTTTTCTGAAATATACGAGTTAGTCAGAAATGTTTGGTCAGTGTGACTTTAACCCCAGTGACTTGCTAGACAACCATTGCCGAATGGCCAGCAGCTCCCACCTCCGGAGTGGCTGCCCAAGGGGCTGTAGTCCTCTCTTGAAAGGTTTAGATTTTATTGAAGCAGTTTTTACTTTCTTTATCTGAATGTTATTTAAGTAGACTCGAGTCGTGCCAAGAACAAATCAAAGTACTGTAGTTGATTTTTCTCTCCGTCACCTCACCAGTCAGAGGGCCACACCTTCCTCTTGCGACTCCATGATGTCTCTGTAATGAGTTACTTTTCCTGTAGCCAAAAGTGGTTCCAGTTCCTGTGAACGTGGGGCAGAAATAATGCTGTTACTTTCCTGCTGTTGCCAGGCGTGTCAAGGAAATCTGTGGTTAGTTAGTCTAGAGCTGCCTCTTGGCTTATAAAATGGTCTTTTAGTTGCTGACTGCCCTGGGCAGTTCAGAATGCAAAGGTCCGAAATTTTGGGCAGGGTGGGGGATTGCACTGTTGCTTTTTTTAAAGATTGTGTTTTCAATGGAGAATTACATCATCTGTTTACAAAATAGCTCTTATATAACACAAGGAGTACAGATACTATAAAATAAAACAAAACAAACTCCAGTCATGAGATACTACATCATGAGAGAGCAACAGTCTGTTCTCCAGGTTATGAAAACTAGAATTAAAAAGTCACTGCACAGCTTGGCAAGACTTAGGTGAGTTACATGAAACATTTAATAAACTGAATTTTTTCCCCCAATATATAAGCAAAATGACAAGACTAAATCTGCGCCTGGCAGTTAGTTTCAGTCTAACTCTGAAGCCACCCTGTGGGCCACGTCGCCCTAGTCTGTGTAGCAGAGCAGGAAATGTAACTCTTCACAAAAAACATAAAATTGACTTGGGAGATCATTGGTTATTAATGGACACAGAGATGGAAGATTGCCAACTCGGCCTAGAATGATGAGTGTTTTCTTTCATTCCATTGATCTAAGCCGACAGCCCGAATGGCCTTCCTTCGGCCATCTTTCTTCCCCTGGGCATAAGGCTCCCTCTGACTTGCTTTATGATGGGCCCCTGTGGACACATTTTATAATTTCTCTTCCATTACAAACAGACTTCATATAATTCTCCTACTTGGGATTCATTTTGTTCTTTATCTGCCGTATCTTAGAGCCACATAACTAGAGATGAATATAAACTTTGATTTCAAGCTGTTGAAATCTGAGTTACTGCACTTTATTGCTGCATATCACACACAGGGAGCTTCTGGCTTTCTGAGCATTTATCTGAATCTTCAGTTAGAGTTGCACCGGGAAGCAGGAGAATGACATGGAACTGTGCATGACGAACTGACCACTTATACAATTGTCACTGCTCACCAACCTCTCTGTTTCATTGTAGAGCAGGAATTGGCAAACTTTCTCTGGAAAGGTCCAGGTAGTAAATATTTTCGGCTTTGTATGCCATATGGTCTCTGTTTCAAATACTTAACTCTGCTGTAATGTGAAGACAGCCATAGACAGTGCATAACCAGATGGGCATGGCTGTGTTCCAATAAAACTTTATTCATAAAAACAGGCATCTGGCCCTGGCAGGGTGGCTCAGTTGGTTGCAACATCGTCCTGTACACCAAAGGGTTGCAGGTTTGGTTCCCAGTCAGGGCACATGACTAGGTTCCAGGTTGGATCTCCTGTCAGGGTGTGTACAGAAGGCAAACTATCGATATTTCTCTCTCACATCGATGTTTCTCTCTCCCTTCCTTTCTCTCTAAAATAAATGAAAAAAAGAAAAAAACATATCCTCTGGCGACGTTTAGAAATCAGCCAGTCAATCATTCAGTAAAAACAGGCACCTGTCTGGATGTGGCCCTCAGGCTTGCTCTCAAGAGTCTCCCCCACAGTGGGTCAGTATCTCTGCCGCTCCGTTGCTCTCAATTATGGGCATTGACAAAAGAGGTTCTGGTAAAATTAGAACAGTCATTGAAGAAAGAAAATCAACACATTTGATAAAATGATAATCTGTTTCCAAGAGAAGGATTTAAATTTCAAGGAGTACAATAGACCTCTAGGAAAACCGATGACACTCTCAAATATTTTCGAAGAAACGTCTTGATGATTTACTGCAAAAGCCAACATCGATGTACAGGAGTCATGCAGCATGTCAGCGCACAGTTTTGCTGAGAAAATTACAGCAGACTATGAGATTCATACTTGGTTCATTCTTAGAATCAGCATGTAATTGTAATTTAGATTTTTAAAACATCTAGGATAAAATCTATTTATTTTCCTGATTTCTATTTTTACTTTCCAAGATAAAGCCCCAATCAATGAAAATATGTCTCCAAGTGGATTCACTATAAAATTTTGTTGCCATGTTAAGTAGGTTGCCTTCTCCCAGCACTAATTATGCTCAGATAATGAGGACCCAAGTACTTTGTCTGCTCATGGGGGTGGGAAGCAATTGACTTGGAAGGCTGCATTTCAGTTCTCCCTGTAGTGTTGGATGTTGCTTCTTCATAGAGGTGGTTAGGCACATGTGTGCAGAAAGCTTCATCTGCAATACCCGGGCCAGGACTAGGTGCAGGGTTGAATCGGTTGTACAAAAAGGCCTCAGTATTTCCAACTGTTTGGTTATTAACCATCAACCTTTGGGGCCAAAGACATTTTTTTGTGCCAGCTACACTGTTTTTTATCAGCCCTGCTCAATTTCCTAATTATATCAGGCCTGATCTGTGCACCTCTTACATCAGCACTGGGTTGCCACAGGACTTAGAAAGCCACCTGGAGGGAGAGGCGCGCGAACACCGGGCCCAGGATAGACCGAAATGACAGCTGGTAGTGATGAGAACAGGCTTTCTCAAAGCTGCTCCCTTGCACGGAGGGCCTTTGAGCAGGTTTAACCTCTAAATGAGGACACCCTCCTGTACTTCCTGGGCTTTGGAAAACACTAGGTCAAAGGACATAGTATGGGGATTATGACATCACACTGACCCACACTGGAGTCCCACTCTATAGTCCACTAGCTCAGGCCAGTCACCCGACATGGCTCTGTCTCAGTTTTCTTTGTCTGTGCAATGAGGATCCTGCTTGTTCCCAGCTTGTAGGGCTGTTGTGATGATTTAGGGACATTCAGAGCTGGGCACAGGGCCTGGCACACAGTAGGCGCTCAGTAAACAAGAGCCTGCTCCGAGACCAGGAAGCCCGATTTCCTTTTGTTATCATCGTTGCTTTCTGCCCTGCCCTCCCTACCAAAACAAACGAAATAAAAGCCTGAAGAACTCCAGGTGGGATCCTTTTCTCGTGGTCAGTGGTGAGCTTGGGGCTTGGGGGTTTCTCAGAGAAGAAAAACGCGCCTTTGGGGTTGTGACTCCTCAGTGCTCCCTCCCTCTCCTGTCGCCAGCAGCCCCAACAAGCGAGGCCCACCGACGTACAACGAGCACATCACCAAGCGCGTGGCCTCCAGCCCAGCGCCACCTGAAGGTCCCAGCCACCCGAGAGAGCCAAGCACACCCCACCGCTACCGAGAGGGGAGGACAGAGCTGCGCAGGGACAAGTCTCCTGGCCGCCCCCTGGAGCGGGAGAAGTCCCCGGGCCGCGTGCTCAGCACACGGAGGGAGCGGTCCCCCGGGAGGCTATTTGAAGACAGCGGCAGGGGCCGGCTCCCTGTGGGAGCCGTGAGGACACCCCTGTCCCAGGTCAACAAGGTGAGACACTGTCCCAGAGGCCATAGGAGTGACCAGGAGTCGAGGTCCCCTCAAGGCCACTGTTGAAAAAAGGAACTGTGTTTTGTAATTCAGATTTGCTGAATCATATAACAAGGTTAGGAAGAAAATGTACTCGATTTCAGAAGTGGCTTCTTGAATAAATGGATAATGTGTACGTGTAACTGTGTACCTCAAAATTAAGAGCTACCAAAAAAAAATAGCTACCAAAGAGATCATTCCCTTCCTCAGAGGCAACTGGTGTTAGCAGTTTCTAGAGAGAGCAGATATAAGCAGATGTGAGCGTGTAATCTCTCTCTTACACACAGGTAACATACTATACAAAATGTTCTAGGACTTACCTTTTTCAAATACACATACAAATATACACAGACATCAAAAAATTTCCTGGAAGGCTACACAGAAACTGATAACAGTGCCTGCCTTCTAGAAGAACTTGGAGCCTTCTTTGCCCAGAAGCTGATGTTCTGGATTGCATTTTTCTTCTGATGCCACCTGCACGCCACTGCTGGCACCCCTACCAGTTCAGAGAGGAGGAAAGCCATCTAAGTGTGTTTTCCTTATCTCCTCTGCTTCACTGATCAGATTGTGTGTGTGTGTGTGTGTGTGTAAAAAACAGTAGAAATACACCCATAGCTTTCAGGAGTTGTTAGTGAATTTCAGTCCCTGTCAGACTCCACGCTTTGAAGGATGGCTCTGCTAGTTGGTGCTCTGCAGAGTTGAGAGGAGGTACGAGGTGTTGCAAGCTTCCTGTTTGGATTATGCAAAAACCATCCCTCTTTTGCTCCTAGGTCTGGGACCAGTCTTCAGTATAAATCTCAGTCAGAGAAACCAACTCCTCATCTTAATCTGCAGGAAAACACCAAACACTCTATGGAACTCTGCTGAAGGGGACGCCAGCGCCCATCTGCTCCGCCGCCCAATGGCACAGCTGGACCCAAGCCCACCTCAGCGTGGACGCCCCTGCATCCAGGAGGTGCCTGGGGTGAGGCTCGTAGGAGCTGCCGGCACCTTCCTGCAGTCATCCTCGCTGCACTTTGTTACTCTTTCAGAGCGTTCATAGACTTTTGTACCTAGCTCCAGCCTGTACCAGTTCATCAGAGGAAACCAACCGGGCACTAACTACAGTGTGGTTAGAATCCTAATTAACAGTTACTTTAAGATCCTAGGGTTGGTTTTTGTTTTTCCAGTTTTTTTCCTTTCTTTCTTTTTCTTTTTCTTTTTTTTAAGACAACAGAATTCTTCCTAGATTTGAACAGCAATGTATTTCCTGTTGTAGTCATTTTTAGCTAGATCACACCATCGGGTCTTTGCTACTGAAATGTATTGTAGAAGAGCCCCTGCCAGTGGCTAACCTCCTGCACTCACGTAGGTTCACCCTCATTCCTGCCCATCCTCACAGATGGCCCTGTTTTACCCAGGGTGCCATCTTAGCCAAATGTTTACTGTTCTCATTGCCTTTTATGGCCTTGACGACTTCCCCTCCCACCAGCTGAGAATGTATGGAGGTCATCGGGCCTCAGCTCGGAGGCAGTGACTTGGGGCCAAGGGACCTCGAGGAACTTTCCCTCCCCGCCCCTCAGTGTCATCTCCCCAGCCTGCTGTCCCCGCTTTCCATGTAGCTTTGGCCAGGAAAGCATGCAATAGATTTGCTCTGAGCCCAGCACTAATGGGTCTCTAGGCCCGGGAGGGAACCAGGGGCACCGCCTCCTGTCCGTGAGGTGCGCTGTTCCCCACCCTGGGATGGGAGGGAAGAGACCCGTCCGGAGTTCTGCATGGCGGTTCACTGCATGTGCTGCCCCCGACCTGGCTGGCCCCCTTGGGCTGCTCTGCCAATGTCCTAGTACCGTACCATAGCTCCCGCCGAACCGAGACCCTCTGACGACTTGCCAACTCACTGGCCACAACAAGCTGCAGTCTGTAGCACTGAACAAACAAAAAACCAAACGCTCAAGCCTTACGACCAGAGAAGGATTTCAGCAAACCAACACCTCACATGTTCACGCTTCCTGCCGACTCCCACATGGACGACTCTGTTCACACAAAACCCAGCACGGTTCTACCCCACAAAACTGTGACTTCCCAAAAAAGCCTTTCCCTAGGGCTAGACTAAGACCAGGAAGTTTGAGAAGGAAGCCGCAGCTAACCTCCCCCTCTGCCGGGGTTCGGAAGTCCTCCTTAGGTGCAGTGCGGCTCACCCTGTTTCTAACCTCTGGCGACTAGTAAATTCCTGGCAACTGGTAAAGAACCAACTTAGAGGCTTTGCAGTTGGCAAGCTAACTAGCGGCCTTATTTCTGCCTTTAATCTCCCACAAGGCATCACTTGCTTCGGATTCTCCATGACTCTTAGGGACGCCTCCAACAACCAAGGCACATCCTAGGTAGGCTGGCAGGTAGACCTGTTTCCACCTCAGCAGGTGAACATGACCGTGTTTCCACCCATGTGTCCACAGACCACTTTCCAGATTGCAGCCTGGCCCAAGTCCTGGCTCCTTCCTGCGCGTCTCTTAACCTAAGTGCTTTCTCATCTGAAACTCCCACAATCCTCCATGTCGTTGCGCCCTTGGCCAGTGTCATGCTGTCGTGTTTCACGTGCTGCTTAGAGTCTTTGGGGTCATACTGCATCTCCTCCGTCCCCCAGGGCAGATCTGACTGAATGTTTGCTGAAGTTTTTGTCTCTTGGTCCACAAGTATTTGGAAGGTCACTGAAAATTGGTCTTTCAGTCTTGGCATTTCATTTAGGATCTCCATGAGAATGGGCTTCTAGAGCCCTGAACATGTATATCGTGTCTCATTTGTGAAATGCTTCCTGCTATAGAACTAGCTCAAAAGACTGTACATATTTACAAGAAACTTTATATTCGTAAAAAAAAAAAAAAGGAAATTGAATTGGTTTCTACTTTTTTATTGTACAAGGTGCATTTTTCACCACTTACTTTTGGTTTCAACGGTGGTAGTTGTGGACAGCCATCTTCATCGGAGGGTGGGGAGCTCCGTGTGACCACCAAGATGCCAGCAGGAAATAATTGCAACACGAAATTGCAGTCAAAAGCTTCTTAGCATAAACAAGATTCTAGGTCTCCAAAAGTACAGGCTTTTTCTTCATTACCTTTTTTATTCAGAACGAGGAAAGGAACAATTCAAGATCCACCTTGAGAGGAATGAACTTCGCTGTTGAACAATAGTGAAATAAAGCAATGATCTAAAATGTTCGCTTTAGTGCAATGACCTCTTCTTTTCTTGAGCGAGATCATAAAAATCCTAAGTACGGCCAGTGTCAGCAGAGGGTTGTTAATCGCGGCATGGGACCTTCCTTCCTTTTCAATGAGGCTTTTTCTCTGGGGTGGTGGGAACCACACAGAGATTAGAGCACGCTGCTCTCCTGAAATCAAGAGACTGGCAACATTCCTTCCTAAAGTGTGACCTTGTCAATGTTTGGTCAGTACTTCAATGAACCATAAAGTGGCTAATAAGGTCACTTTATAGGACTGCGGAGCTGGAAAGCCCCTTATGCAGTCAGGCCATTTCAAAAGGATTATTCAAGAATGGATTAGCTAATCAGGAAACCAAGTCACCTTAAAATTTCTCTCATCCATTATGAGGCCACAGTAATTTAAAGATGTAGATAGATTTCCTTGGAGGAGTTCAGATCAAGGTACTTTAACATATAAATACTCCTATTTTTAACTAGATGAATTTTTACAGTCTACAAGGAAAAAAGTTTTCTATGATTTTATTTTTCAGTTTTACTAAAACTTTCCCTGATCCAGACAAAAACATCAGTTCTGGCAATTGGTGATTTTCTCATGGTTCCTGCTGCGTTTAGTCTTTGATTTTTATTTTCCAATGAAGTAATCTGACCCCAGTTAAAATTTGACTTACAGAGTTGTATCATGCTTGTGACAGGAACCGTAGTTGTAATTCTGTTCCTTTTTTCAATTTTACTGTTGGGAATAAAAATCTGCCCAAGGTCATAACTGTAATAATGAAATAGTTCAGAAGATGAACCAGTACAATGTTGTTGGAACCTTTCTTTCCTAATATTAGAAAGAGTCCTTTAAATATCAACCATCCATTTCAGTTACTGTCCTGAGTGTTCTTGTCAGCCACAGGACACTTCCAAAGCATAAGTAAACATGGTTTGTCCAAAGGGAATGGGCCAGAAAGGTTCTTTGAACCCTCAGGAATGACCTCAAAGAAACAACCGACACCATATTCCTGTGTCTTAAGCACAAAATTAGATGTCACGTTTCTGCTCGTACAATTTAATTTTCAAAAGAATAAGGAGGCTGATTGCATAGCAAATTCCATAACCCTGGAACTTGAGGATATGGAGTCTTAGGCCAAAAAGGGATGATTTGCGTAATAGGACTGAACTTGTCCACCTGTCTTCAGAATTGGGTCTCTTAAATGTGGTTTGCTTTAGAAAACATTCATGCAGATTTAAGTCTAAAGCATTAAACCTATGCCCACAGGGGTAGGTGGGACTAGTTACACTTTCAGTCTCATAATACAAGTTAAATAGGCTTGTTTCAATGGTTCTAAACTAGGGGAGACTTTGCTCCCCTCCCCCGAGAACATTTGACAATGTCTGGTGGGTAGCCCAGGGATACTGCTCAATGTCCTACGGTGCCCAGGACAGCTTCCCCCTCCACTGTCCCCCCAAAATTATTAAGCCTGAAGTGTCAGTAGTGCCAAGGTTGAGAAACCTTGGCCTGTTCTAGTCAGATTCCTGTCACAGCACTTTAAATATTGATTTTAATGTCTGAAGCATGGAGACAGGGGCTCCGGGCACACAGTGTTGATTTCAGAAAAATGGTTTATCACTTGCCTAATCAAGTGTTGAAGCTTTATTTTCCTGAAGCTGGGAGGGTGGGGGCAGTGGAAATAAAATGCAGTGTTGATCACTTGGCTTTCCCTTGAGTCTGTCAATGATTAATGGAACTCTGTTTGCCCGGAAGGGGCTGTTGGAGGAAAGAACCTTGAAAATGACTTGACTCAGGCAGTCTTGCATAAAACCACCAAGAGGGAAAGTCATTTGGCCCAGGGTATGTGCAGCTGGACTGTCTCTTCTCACTTGCTGTTGAGTTTTCCAGATGAGATGGGTGAATTCACCCCAGGAGAGTAGAAAAGGTAGTAGGAAGGGCTAGTCATCCAGGTGAAGACTCTTTAGGTATATTTAGCACAAAAAAATACAAGGTGGTTGTGGGAGGTGGACCTGCTGGCTGAGCCCAGTGGTTCATCCCAGGGACGGGGCTGGGCCCCAGCTTTCAGGACCCTAGAGTCTGGCTCACAGCAGCAACGACACTTAGGACAGCCCTTATGGCTTACCTTTGTAATCAGCGGGAATGACTTAGGTTTTAGAAGAAATGCATGTATGATACTAACTTCCTTGTTTTCTCCTGAAGATGACTACAATCGTCTGGTTTTCTTTACTAATTTACTGATCAAGAGAGGGGCTAAGGAGGGACTACGCAGAAGCTGGCAGAGGTTTGAGTGGTCCATAGCCTTCAGTCTTCATGAATTCATTCAAAAACACTTGTGAACATTGGTGAGGGTCAGGTATCGGAAAAGAGCGCCTGGTCAGAAACGAAATCATGCTCGTCTGGAAGTAACTGAGCTAAACAAAATGGAATTTTGCTTTTCTCTAAATTGGTGGCATCTCTGACCTCAGCTATGGACGGTATCACTTTGCCGTTCTGGGTTTCAGGCTTGGCCTTTGGAGTCTTGGAGGTCTTCTAATTGACCTTGAGGTGTTGGCACTTCTTCTGGCCCCTTAACTTCCTGTCTGTGCCCACATCCCATTCATGTTGGAGTCAGACACACTACTGTTGCGCCATGAGGGTGACCTGTACATCCTGTTTATGCGGTGAAGGCTTTGTGGCTCCCAATGTGAAATGAAATGAGCCCTAGGGACCAGCTAGTGTTAGTCTCTCATTTTTTCAAGGCAAGAAAGCAGACTGAGAGGTCCTGTGATTTGCCCAAGGTCACCCAGCTAGTCAGCAGCTGAATGTCAGTCCTGTCCACACTCAGGGAGGGGATGCTGGGGGAATGGCCAACTCCAATGTAATGTCAGGCCTGACCTGGTCTTTGAGAACTATCAGTTACACCCATACATGGAGCCAGAGGGAAGGAAATGGCCTCACCTGGGTCCTTTGACCTTTTGTTTTAGTATGTTGTTCGATTTATCCTGCAATACCATTTTACATGTTAAAGGCCTTACCTTTGCCTCCATAAACTCATTTGTATATAGATTTCCGGAGGGAAAAATGTACCTTCATTCACAAGCAATTAAACTTGAGCCACGTGAGCAGTCCTTGCCCATCACAAGTTTGCTAGCAGAGGAAACATTACCTGGCTATGGACACCTCAGTTCCACATGTGGCTCTGCCCCTGGAACTTGGGCAAAATAGGGGCGTCTTTTCCACATCTGTGAAACAACCTCCGTTACCTCTTGGGTATAAAGTCCTTCACTTGGGTCTGTGAGCAATTTTCTGAACCACAGGGGACTTCCTTTTTTGCTCTTAAAAGGAAATTAAGTCGTTAAAATACATAAACAGCTGTGGCAAACGCTGACACCAGTCCTGGTGTTTGGGGATTTGAGCCTGCGCTCCACTGTGGCAGTCAACTCTGGTGGGTCGCCCCCAGGCCGTGAAGACAATTAGAGGGTTTCCTGGCTCCAAATTAGTTTTTACATTGGATTTTCAGTGTGGCTTCTTCTGAACTTTGTGGGTAGAGCCAATTCGCAGGCCGTGTTTCCCCACGTCCTGCTGTTTCCCCCTGCAGCCCAGGGCCGATGGCTCCGAGCCCTGGCTCGGCAGGCAGCCGGATCTTCTCATCCCACTTACACAAAGGGCAATGCTGAGAAGCCCCCCAATTCGTGCGGAGCCTTCCTGCCCAGGTGTCCAGGTGTGGGCGCCCGACCGCAGCCCTGGAGGCTGACTGCCGGCCTCCAGTCCCCACCGTGGGCCTAGGGGCCGCGCTCACAGCTTACCGACAGTGATGGTCTTTTCGTTTCTAATGTTTGAATGTATCTTATACTTCTGAAGTTAGCTGCGTATTTTCAAAAGTATTCTATACAGTTCTGGAAATGTTCCCGTATTCTACTTGTGATTCTCACCGTCCCCAAAACCTAGGGTTCCTACATCACTTGGGTTTTTAGGGTGAGACAGCGAATTACTCAGCTAGGAATGCTTTCTAAGCTACTCTCCACCTCAAGGGGACTGCGTGTCCCAGAGGTTCCCTTTTCTCTGAAATTCACTTACATGTTTCCTGACGTCTGGGAAGACAGACTTGTTAAAGGGATACCTGTAACCTTTCATCTTTTTGGGGAGAAGAGACAGAGCCCCTTTTAGCTCGTGAGAATAGCTCCGACTACTCCAGGACGTCCTGGTGGCTACGGAGACGTGTCATGATGCCAGACTCCCTCACGGTGCCTGATGCCAAGCAAGAGGAAGCAAAACCTCTAACCTGGGGACGTCACCCACCTGCCTAAACCAGCAACACTCGCTGCCACCTCTCCTCAGCTTCCCCTTGTGACTGAGCAGTTGAGAGGGGCTCGATTTTCCAGGCCTTTCAAACTGTGTGTGTGGAAGCAGCGGCCTCAGCCCTGGGGCTGCCACAGCCTCACTCCTGTGTGCCCCGTATGGCGCCATTTTCAGCGTGTGCCGAGGCACAAAAATGATTGGAAAGCATGACACTCAATAAACCTCTGGAAGAATTCCAGTCTCTTTTCCAAACCAGGGGGGGGGGGGCGGGGGGGGGGGCGGGCGGAATCAAAGCTTTCTCTAAGTGCACATCCCATTATTTTTACAAAGCTTTATTGGAACCTGTATGTCAAATTGAGAATAATTCAGTGTTTTGAAAACAGTAGCAAAAAGGGTATCCCAGACTTGGATTTTCCAAACAAGTACCGGAAACAAGCTTGTTCCTCCATCTCCCAGAAGGAACAGAGGGCACAATGACAGCTTCTGTTGACTTGGGGACAGGAACCTGCACTAATGGGAACATCTGTGGCATCTCCATGGAAACCAAGCCGAGCGTAGAGGTTTGCTTTGGTCCAAAGGATGTCTTCCCGACACAATTTAGAAGGCTATTGTAAGAGTTCTAAGTTCCTGACAGAATAAACAACAGTAACTGCTGCAGCCTTCTTTGCTAGGTAGGGACAGAGGTCCTGAGCAAGGTGGCATAGGCTAGGGTAGGGTGCTTCCCCAGAGTTTTCAGGGTTACACTGTCACCTCGTTATGATGAGAGTAAAAAGCTGGTTGACCATCCAGCTAACAGTGGTCAGTCCCCAGGAACACCCAACTTAAATGGAGAAGTCCGGCAGCAAGTTTCCAAAGTCTGTTCTGAGAACAGATTATTGCTGAGCAGTTTGTTCACATGATCTATACTCTAGTTGGGGCAATTAGAAAGCTGCCCTAGGGCTGTATAGTCAGCCACCTCTGTTAAAAACAGAACAAAACAAAACTTAAGTGTACAGAGTGTAAATAGCAATTGTAAAACTTCACCTGGAACTCAGACAGGTTCTAATTTCTACAGAAATTACACCTCCCTGGAGCAGAGAACGGGAGACAAAACTGCTTTGACTTCAGAGGACAACACGAACATTGTACTTGTTGTTAGTGCTAGAGCCAGGCCTAACAGGAACAAGCTCATGGCCTTAAAAACATACATACACTTAGAAATTTTGTGTGGCCTTGATCGCTGCTTCCCAGATTTTTGCTACCAAAGTGGCTAGTGTTTGTTTTTGGCTTAAGAAAAATCTCCATGGCCAGCTGGGCGGGCGGACGTGCATATGGAACCGCACTGGTCACGCCCTGCAGGGGCTGCAGGCCTCCTGTCCCCTACTCCGTTCTCGGCCACCGGGGGTTGAGCCAACCGTTTCAGGCCGAGGAGCGTAAGGAGCTGCTGTACCCGGAACAGACCGTCAGGGAGGACTAGGGTGGGCATGAAATGGCTTCTAGAGTGTGAAATGGGAAATTTACAGTCCATTCCCTCCAGTGGGAAGCATGCACGCGTGTAGCCTGGTGGTGCAAACTGTCCCCCGGGGCCCACCGCTGGCTCCCAGCTCCTCATATGGGCTTGTATAACAAGGTGGTGACATACTTTTTCTTGTACCGGTGGGTCGCGCTGAGCACCATCACTCCATCCTGAGAGAGAGGGCGGAAATGATCAAATGATCAGGGACTTCCGCTTAGAGGGCATGAGAATCACCGAGGGGCTTAACCAAAACAGCTTCCTGGGCCTGCCTTGAGGGCTGGAGCCACAGGGTCTTTAGATATGAACTCCAGGTGATTCTGCTGCTAGCGGGCCTCAGGGCGCATTTGGAGAATCACAGCCCCAACAGCAACAAATGTGCCATTACCTTGATCGAAAGCGCATAGAGGTGGTTCAACATGACATGGTTGGGCTCAGGAAGCAAAGCTGGATCGCACTGTGAGAGAGGAGAAGCAGACATGAGTATTCAGGATTTGGAAATGAAGAAGACTTTCCCGCTCTATTTCACAGCACCGGAAACGCAGGAAGGGAGGTGGCCTCTCGTGCCCGTTCTCAGTCAGGCAGCGAGAAGGCCGGTCCATGAAGACGGGTGAGACGAGGTGGCCACGCCTCACGCCCCAACTGAGGGGAGGCCCTGTGTGCATGCCGGGCTCATTGCTCTGTGTCTCTGGCCAGGCCTTACCTTGGACTCTATAAAGCATGGCCTGTGGCTCTCTCCTCTTACTGAAGGAGGGACAGGAGGAAGGGGCTGTCCTATGAGCTCTTTCAGAGAAAGCAGGACACCCGTCATACCAAACAGTCCTGAGTGGCAGGCCGCAAACTTATGTCCGTAAGGCACAGACAGGGAGCCTGGAGGACATGGATGCGGGGGGCAGCGGTGACTCGCAAAGGCTCACACAGGACTAGCACTTAATGCTGCCATGCCGTTCAGTTTTTGAAGAGAAACCAGAAATTTGGCCCTTTTTTTTTCAATGTACCATTCACTCCCCAGTTGTATAAATACTAATTCAAAAGAGAAAAGGTGTGGGGGAAAAGCCGTCTGGGCCATCAGATGCGCGCTCAGGCGCTCCAGGCCCGGGGAGCCCGCGCTGAGAGCAGCGGGCGCCTGCACGTACCGGCCTTCAGTCCCTTGTCTCAGCCTGTGTGTACGCCTTCCGCGCGGCGTCCAGAGCCACAGCCCCGTGTGCTTTTCACCTTGTAAACGGGTGCCTTTTAGGTGGTGGCTTGGACAAAGCTGAAGAACATTGAGACTCTCTAGAATGAGGCCGCGCATTCCTGAGCTGGGGAACCAGGCAATTCGGGTTAAATGAAAAGGAAGATTAATCATGAGGGAATAACAGCATGTTCTTCAGGGCCATGGAGGATCCACCCTTCTTTTTGCGAATAATATGAACCTCCCAGAGTAAAGTTACCCAGACACCTCAACTTTTGATCCAAGAGCAATCATGCTTCTGAAGGCAGTTTGATGATTAAAACTAGATTCTAAGATCTGGGGGCCAAAGGAGGACTTCTATCACATAGCTCGCTGAGCATGTTATATATTTTGTCATGAAACTTAAAAGGAACGGGGCTTAGGCTGAGGCAGGACTGAAATGCAAGGAAGAAAAGTTCAGGCAGGCTTTGTTGGCCGGGGAGGCAGTACCCACACTCGAGGGCAGAGGTGGACCTAGCAATCGACACTGGCAGGCGACACCGAGCTTTTCTACCAGCTGCTCTGCAGGAGACAGCCAGACGCTGTGTACTCACAGAGATGCCCGTGTCCTTGTTCAGGATGACCTGTAGCAGGTGCGGCGGGAGGATGGGCGGTGCTTTAAACCGTTCCTCTGGTTTGGAGACATAGGGCTCTTGGTGGTAGGGTCCTGGCGGGGAACTGGACAGCTCTGTTGGGAGATGGTGACAGGACATTTACTTTGAAAATTAGGAGCCGAGGAGCAGACTCACTTAATTTGCAGCGCTGTCTCGTGTTGCCTGGCTCTTGTTCCCTCAGTACAGATTTATATTCTTTTGAAGGACATACAGGCCCCGGGGCGAGAGCAGAGGCAGTGAGAAAACCCTCCTGGAATTTGGGTGACTGGCGTAAGATTCAGCAGTGAACTTATGAGCCCATGGCGGCAGACAGCAGTTGTGGCAAACCCAGGGAGTCTGGGTCAGACTAATAAGGAAGCTGTTCACAATAACCTAACAGGACACGCCATGCCGAGTAATGCTCTTCTCCCTCTGGGCTCGGCTGGCAAATGCTGCAAAGAAGCTCAAGGCATCAAGTGAGGCGTAAGCAGCTATGCCCAAGTTATGAGCACCACCAGCCAGAATGAAATAGAAGATAAAGCGGCCTGTCTATACAGAGGCAGCGGTGAAAACAGGTTATATGAGGCATGGGCACATTTCAAAACAAAACTGAAAACTGGATCTCTAAAGGCGCTTGACTCTATCACTCTCAGGTTCCTTTCAAACTCTTGCTTGGACATCTCCATTACACAGATGTATTAAGAAGCTTTAGAAGTGCAGTATTTCATAAGGGAGAAAGCAGCTCAGTGACGTCTGGCCAGCTGGAAGGGACTGCGCTGTTATTCAGAGGGCGACCGGGATGGGGCTGCTCGCCTGACCCTCGGACTGGCTGGAATGAACCTGACACGGCCTGGTGCTGCCAACTCCCTCGCCGTCCTTCTCTAGGGAACAGGCTCCTGTCACGCGACCCACCCCCATCCCAGCAGGAAACTGAGGAAAGCATTCAGTGCAGAAAACCGAGCCGCTGGGAGGAAATACAGACTTTAAGAAAGTGTCTAAATATGAGAAGTCTACAGAGAGCCTGAAGTGGGTTTACCAGCAGCGAGGGGTCTCTTTTCTGTCCCCACGTGATCTATGCTGTGAAACTGTGACTAAAAGTTTCAGTATGTGGCTCAGAATTACATCTATCAGTAAGGAGGGGATATTTGGGCATTTCCCATCTATCTGACAAAGAAATAAATGGTTTCTCTAAAAGATTAGGTAGTTAGCCAGACAGAATGTGATTTTTGGATCTCCAGTTCCTACTCAACAACAACCTGAGTTGTCAGCCACAGCAAACCCACCACGGTCTATTTGCCATTGTTATTTCTAAGCTGACAAGAACAAGAGATCCTGGTGGCAGGACCTCCAGGTCCAGCCAGGGGACAATGAAGAATCATCTTACAAACTGAACTGAATCCATTTTCTTAGTCTGGCAGGCTTAGTCCTGCCACCCACAGAGGCCTGGGAACTGTTAAAAACCCTGCAGTGCAGTTGCTGTTGACACTTCAGATGACAAGATATCCTTCCCTCTGAACTGTTTGTATTACGTTTCCAGGCAGTTTCTTCCTGTGGGTTTGGATGGGAAGCAATTGATTCAAAGATCTGATTGGGATGACTCTAGAAAGACGGGAAAGTTTTGAGACTGTCCCGAGCAGGTTGTGCTGTGCAGCCTACTTCCTGCGGTGAGTCTCCCCCCTCGACAGCGTGCTCATGCACTACACAAGCGATGGCCGCGGTCACCGAGGTGCCCGTTTATCACCTGTCAGGCTGACACGCTGCAGGCACCCTGAGCGGGTTGGGCGCAGGCAGGGGGCTGGCAGGCTTCCGCAGCGCTGGCGCGTAACGGACCCGAGGCAGAAGTCCCAGGCCTCTGGGGCCTACCCCGGGCATGAGACAAAGCCCTGGTTCTGTTTCAACCGTCTGCTCTCTGTGGCCAGGCAGACTTACTGAATCCTGGAGACCCCTCTCCCCCACCAAATGACATAATGCTCCCTTGGGGCTAGATTCCAACAACCTGACCATGCAGAATTAGGAATTAGTTCTGTGGCTCCTTGGGGAGCTATAAATGTCCACCCAGTGTGGCAGCTTGAGCTCAAGAGTAAGAGGAGAGAGAAACAGTATTTCTAGGCTGCACAGCCCCCACCTGCACACATGTGGTATAAAATAACTGTGTTCATACCAGACACATCGGAGCACTTTTGGGAATCCACCATTAAAGCATCAAATACTTCAAAGTCAGTTTTCTTCACTTGAATGATGTTGTTAACTGTGCCAAGCTGGCTGGTTACTATTGGCTGGGAAGAGACAGACAGGCAGAAATCATAACATGGAAGGTCTCTGGGGTTACTCTTTAGAGGATTTAGAACTCCGGGCTGGCTGGGCTCAGCTCCTGCCTGGCCCACCTGCTCCTCCTGGTCAAGTGTGCCAATAGTCTGATAATCAGCACTGGTATCTGGCTCAGCCACACACACAGGGACTTCTACCAGCAGGACGACGGGACCTGGCAACCATCTGTAAGCGACTGCCTGGACTGTGTGGCAGTTTGAGGACAGAGGGCAGGAGGAGGAGAGTACCTCAGAAGGGTCGTGTGTCCACTGGCCGTCCACAAAGAACTTGTACTGATGCTCTCCTTCCGGGAGGTCCAGGATGGCTACAAAGTTATTGTGGCTGTTAGGGAAAGGAAGCAGAGGTTTTCAGCTGGCAGGTTGCCCTCTTAGCTTACTTACAAAACCAGCCATAGAACACAACAAAACCTTCCCATGTAAACTGCAGGAGTATAAACATTTTTAAGCAATGCAAACAATTCAACAAAGTGATCTTAATCTAGAAAATGGACAAGGAAGCAGGAATGCAATGTTTTCTTGCAAAACCCCTTCGCTCAAAAGGTCAGCTAACAGGCATCTGCCCTTCTCAACTTGCATGCAAATCTCCTGGCAGGCTGCACGCCAAGGAGGGTGGCAGCGCAAGACAGCCCGCTGCTGGGCTCTACTGTGTGTCAGTTTGCCGTGGGCATGACAGGGAATCGATGGACTAGGATGCACAACAAATAGTTCTCTAAACAAACATAACTGCTGAAAAGGTTCCAGAAAACCTCTTTCATTTGATTGTTTTGTTCCACTGACTTGGAGTGACTCTGTAACTGTGCCCAGTGGCCTGCTCCTATACCAACGTTACCCTCAAAGAGCAGGCGGTCCCCTGACAATAATCAGGCCTGGCCCAGAGAAGGCGATTTTTCACTAACACTTTGATACAGAAGTCCATGCTAGGGCTCCTGATGAACTATTTTACTGGGCATTGTTCAGGATGCCCACATAACATGTACCTTTCAAACAAAAGTAATACACAGAAAGTCAAAGTTAGAAGGAACCTCAGAGATCATCTGATCCAACAGTCCCTCCTAACAGACAGGAATACCAAGGCTCCGATGTTACTGACAGGTTAGCTCGGCCAATGTGGACTCAAATCCTGGTCTTGAAGATTCCTAGCTGTGTGCTTTCTCTACAGCACTAGGAAGATTTCCTTTTCTGAAGGAGGAGTCCTGCCTGAACAAACACATAGCTGATTCTTGGAAATGGAAGATGTCTGCAATAGAAATACTCATGATTAACTGCGCTCTAAACCTAGAGATTACTTGGGTGTGAGAACTGAGTCCTTTGAATTATTAAGCAAGAGAGTTTTTCCATTCTGCATCTATATTATGAAAACGTCTCTCTCTATTCAGCCCGAGGTCGTTTAGAAACACAAGCATCCCTGGGTTGAGACAATATGTGAACACTCCCAGGCGATCACCTTCTTGTGAGTGGAAGTTTACTCCAGTTGTTGAAGGACCCAGACAGATACACTTCCTTTCCGCCCCCTGTCCACCGAAACACCGTGGGCCGAGCCTGGGCAGGTGCTTTGTCATTCACTTCCAGATCATGCTGCCAGGCCAGGAATTCCTCTTTCTCTGGAGCCTAGAAACAGAGCAGTTTACTCAGAGACAGGAAGTCATTAGTGAGCTCCCTACATAGACAGTTACCCTAATATTGACAATTCATTCTAAAGAGGCAGCTGTTACTACCTAGTTCATATTCAGGCCCCTTAACTGACTAGTTGTATGTCAGTTTCCCCACTGGCAAAATGGAGATAATAAAAATAACAATTTAAGGTGGTTGTGAAGTGAGAAAGGCCAAGTAAAATGCTCTTCATAGTGTCTAGTAAGTGACACCTAGTAAGTGCTTAAAAATGATCTGCTACTATTAGTGCTGTTATTAAAGAGGGCTGCATTAAAATTCTAGGAGAAATGATAAAACTCACTTGGAAGTAGACTGCAATGAATTCAAGATTAGCTTAATAAAGGTCATTTTTCCTCCTTTAATTAAGATTTTGAAGTACATAAAAATGTGTTAGGACAACTCCAGAGCTGTGAATTTGAAAATCAGCAAATCCAGATTCTGAGGAAGAGAAAAACCATATTCACTGAGTGCCATCCGGACACCAGGAAGCAAAAGCTGAGACAAAGGGCGACCCTCATTACGATAAACAGTCACTTCTAGCGTGGGAAAGTGTGTAACCAGGGTGTTTCAGACAGAAAGAGATTAGCAAGCCCAATGCTGGGTGAACTAGGTGTGGTTTTGGATCTGCTACATTTTCCTTAGTCAGAAGCCAAAGACTAGAAGAGCAGGAGTTCTGGGCTGGGAGAGACCCTTAAAGGTGTCCAACAGGGTTTCGGCACCTTCACTTCAAATACTGACCGTTTCTTAAAAGATGCCTGCATGTCTTGAGCTTAACAAGATCTGCATATTGAAGGATAACAGACTGGAAGCAGTTTCCACTGAGAACATGATAACTAACCACAGCCAAAACTATAAATTAGTATGGTTAAAAGAATCCATGACTTTTTTTGTGGGGGGAAGGGGGTGGATATGGAGCAGTCCAGGGTGCCTGCTACATCATTTCAGTAACTTCCAAGGGAATTAAAATGGACACTATTTAAAATCACTTTCCACAGATCATCTGTAAGCTAAACATTTCTTTGAGAAGTTTTGGAATAGGAGCAGAATAAATACTTCTTGAAGACAGTAGTTTGATTCTTATGATGCCTTAAATAGCCATCCTCAGGCCAAAATTATTCCTGGGGGAAGGGATGTCAAGTCGTTGGAGAACTATGATTTCAAAGTACCCTTTGCACAAGGCTTCTCAGGAATTCAGCAGATTCGGAAAACAAATTCAAATCACAGGATGTAAGGCCAAGTAAAAGCACATTCTTTATAGCCAAGATCCAAGTGAGAATATAAGATAATAATGTGATCTCCCAGCCCAGCATCTGAGAAAAAATGTGAGTAAAGTTGGAATGAGTTGCCAGGCAATCAGCTCAATGGCCAATGATGATTAACAGGCAAGTGAATGCTGGCAGAAGACCAGCAGGGCCGGGAGGTGAGTGGCTGCGCACCTTCCTTTCCCCTAAACTTGGCTTCACTGTCTGTCTGTAAGGAGTCAAGAATCATTTCCTGACCTTTTGATAAATTACAGCAGACTGCAGCAGGCTGCCCACATATGGTCTGCAAAAATGTTTGCTTTGGCCTGTTTAAAATACTAAGTCATATTTAAACAACAGAGGAGAGAAGCTGATCTGCTGCTCTCACCCACCCGCCCGACTCTTCTGTGCGCGCTCTAGGCACGGAGGGCGAACCAAACGCTTGAGGCAGGACCCTGCCCCTCTGGCAGCTGCTGCGGGCTGTTAACTTTCAGCTTACTCGTGTGCTTTGGTTTACCTCCAAAATGGACAATGAACTGCAAAACCAAACACTCCAAAAAGTGCCAGTCTTCCTACAGGGGAGGGAAGATTTCGCCCAGTGAAATTAATTAGTATACCTAAGAGAAAAGCAGAGACTGGAGTTCAGTTACTGCTAGCTCTACGATCTTAATTAAGAATTTGAAACTCTGTCCCAGAGCCGCTTTCTTCTTAATGATGTTAAATGAAGTGAGTTCCTTCTCCCTGGGGTGACTTTCTCATATCGGTAATTAGACACTGGTTCCTGGACTGCTAAGAGGGATCGTGCAGAGCCATAGGGCTTTTAAGCAAAGAGGGTGAAATATCACCTCCCGCCTCCTTCTCAGGATGAGTTTTAGAGGGTTGTATCGGGGGGCTCGAGCAGACCTCAACATCGGTCAAGGGAATCGGGTTCCCCCGCCTCCCCTCACCTTGATTTCCTCGGAATGGAAGAGGTCGGCGTCCTCGGGGCTGTCCATCAGGATCTTGGGCCTGTCCCCATCCTTGGTGCCCCCCGAGCTGTCCCGTCGGGGCGTCTTATGGCCGCCCTGTCGCTCCAGCGCGGCGCGCTCGCTACTCGTGTTGCCCATGGCGGGGGTCTGAGGGAACACCGGGAAACCGGACTGGGCCGGGCCTCACTCCAAAGAAAGAACAGGGGACTTCCGGAACCAGGGGGGAATCGCAGGACCCAAGAGTCGCAGCACCGGGTGCCGCACCCTTCAGGCTAGGGTTCCGCACAAGAATCCGGTTTGAGCCGGGTCAGCAGGCCCGGCGAGGTTTCACGACTGCACTTTTCCTGCTCAAGCAGCAGCGGCACGAACCCAAACAGCGCGAAGATAATCCGATACACTCCCGACCACTCCCCCAACCTCTTAGCAACTTCCGCTTCCGGCACTTCCGCAAGTTGGCTGGGTCCACAGGGTGCGGAAAGCTGGGGCCCGCGAAACGTGCGAGGCAAACAGTGCCTTACTTCCGCTTCCTGTCAGGATTGGCTTGGTCGCAGTCGCCTTGAGGCGGTCTCCGGGAGCTCCGGAGCGCGCAGTCGCAGTCGACCGTTCCGGGAGGCCCAGGACGAGGCTGCTGAAGGCCGGCAGGGGGCGCGGCAGCGCGCCGGCCGTCTGGGGCGTCCTGCCTGCTTAGGGGTGAGTGTTGCCATTAAGTATTTGGGATGTCGTTAACACTTGTAGTTTCTTCACACTACAGCCACAGGGCTCATTCTAAAGGGCAAATTTAATTAAGAGACTTATCTTCCAAAAGCCCTGTAATGAACTAACTCTCACTCCTTTGAGTGCCTTAGAATCACCTCGAGTGCCTGTGTAAAATGCGGATTCTCCGGCCCTAGTCCCCAGGACTTGTGATTCCTCGAAGCTCTGGGGTGGAGTGTGCATTTAATAAGTGCCCCAGGTGATTCTGATGCCGGTAGCTTTGCAGGTGTTTGAATAAAATGACAGACCATAAGATTTCTGGAAATTTCTCACATCTAAAGCCTGGGGAATTGTAAAATGGAGTTGTTCGTGTATTTTTTTTAAAAATTGAGTTGACCGCCTTTTGACGGATAATTTTGCAATCACTTTGGACACATTATTCTGCATAAAATGCATTTATTAACGCATGTCACTTACTGTGGACAGCGCTTTGTCAAGAAGTGTGGACACATGTGGTACTAAAATTAATCTTCTGTAAGTCACTGTCATGGTTTTCTTGTTTGTGTGTGTATTTTGCATGTGAGTTATTTCAAAATACTTTGCACTTGTCGGACGTGGTCATTCGTTTTGTCCACTGAACAAACATTTATTTAGAGGCTGCAAAGTGCCGTCCATTGTGGTAAGTAAATGCGAGACACAGATGACTATGGCCTCCTGGGGGAGGAGTTTGGTAGTACTATCAAAATTTTTTTTTTAAGAAAGCACCTCATTTCAGTGCACAGTTTTGCTTTGCTTCTGGGAAAATTTCATAGAAATGCACACATGAAAATTTATATGCAGGCATATTCATTGCAGTATTGTCTCTAATGCCATACTTTATTAATTCCGAGATGCACATCTTAATCTCTCTGAAACTGGGCGCTTCATAGTCAAATCTTAGATTTGAAGAAATAAGGAGATGAAAAACCGCAAAATTCTAAAAAGTTTGTCAGTAGGAGAATGAATAAATGAATTAAATATATTCCTCTTATGGAATACTAAGAAACCTTTAAAAAGGAGGAAAGAGAAGTGCCCGCATAACAATGGAGATGTGCCTATGGCGTTCCAAATCCCAAAAGCAGGAGGCAGAACAATAGAGGTTAAGAGCGTGAGCTCTGAAGTCAGCCTGCCTGGGTTCAAATTCTGCTTACTGCTTAGTAAGTGTCACCTTGGTTTTCTCTTTAGTGAAATGGGGAACAAAAAGAACACTCACCTTGTAAGCTTGTTTTGTGAATTAATTGAGAACAAAAAGTGCCTAGCAATAGTACCTGACTCTTAGCAAACATTGGATGAGCATTAGTACTTCTACTGGCATTATTATGCTTGCAAATGGTAAGTTCTGGAAAGATATACAACATGCTATTAATAGTGGCCTCCTCTGGGAATAGGAGTGGGATTGGAAAAATAAGGTAGAAAGAGGACTTTCACTCTTGAGTGTATTGTTTGAAAATTTTTCTACCTCAAGGATGTACTACTTTTGGAATTTAAAAAGAATTTTTGAAAGACAAAAGAAATAAGACATGGTTCCAGCCCCAATGAGATCCATAGAGTAGAGGTGGAAACAGAGTCTCAGAAAGGCAGTAATACAGGCAAGCAAGGTGTTCTACAGGAGCCCAGAAGGGACTCAAGTGAGGCCAGCGGATAACCCAGTGTACATTTTGAGCTGTTTTTCTTGCTCACAATAGTCAGTGGGGAAGCCTTGGACGCGAAGATGTTGAGCTTTGGGTTCTCTCCAAAACAGCTTCAGAGATAAGGGAGAGCTCATGAAGAGTGGACTCCTAATCTGAGCTATGCAGATGCTTTCGTGAAAGTCTCAAGACTTCTGCTTTGGCTCACGGAAGATAAGTGCTATCCTGTGGGTGCCTTCTGTGGTTTTCAACCAATGAGACAGCCCAGAAACCGAGGATGTGCAGATGTGCCCTGCATAGGGGCACCTACCCGAGGAGGCAAGCAGGTCCTGAGATTCCACCTGCCTGGAGGAATGGGTGCCTTTTTCTAATTTGTATAAATACACCACAAGGACTAGCAGGAGCCCTGGCCTTGATTTAAAAAATAATAATAAAACCTGGGGCTGGTCCTAAGGGCAAATAGTAGAGGTGCATAGTTCATCCATTTTCCAATTCATTTTATATGCACTGTTTTTGCAGGGTGACCCTCCCACCCAACACAGGTCACCCAGCCCATCAGAACCTGGGTTCATGACACTTGTTCTAGTTAACATGTCATTTTTTAGAGGACTTCAGTTTTCTAACTCATTTCTTTATCAATAAATATGTGTGGTACACGACTGCTATTCTGCAGGCTCTGTGGGAGACCTGGGAACTGAACAATGGGCAAAGCCAGTCCCACGTGCTGTGCCCTTGGTGCTTATGATCAGGTAGGAAAGAGATACCGTATTTTGCTGTGTATAATGCACACCCATGGTTTTTGTGTGCGTTCTATGTAGGATTATTATACCCATGGCACATAATCATTATACCCATGTATAATGTGCATCCTTATTTTTTTTTCTCAAAAATTTGGGCAAAAAATGTGCACATTATACAAACAATCCATCCAACAGTTGTCTGTGACAAATGTTAGGAAGACGAAATGTGACCTAGTGAGAGGGACATGACCTAGTCAGGAGGTCCAAGAAGGCTTCCTGGTGGAAGTGACAATTAAGTTGAGATTTGAAGGCTATAGGTGTTAACAGTGAAATTTGCCTATCAAGCCCTGGTATGCACCTGGCATTGTGTTTAGTATATCAACTCGTAATCCCCCCAGGAGTCCTGTGAGGGATCTATTGTCATAATCACTTGTGTTTTATAAATGAAGAAACTGAAGCTCAGAGAGGTGAAGTGACTTGTTTAAGGTCACACAGCTAGGACATCATGGAACCAGTATTCAAATACAGGCAACTAGACAGATTTAAAAATGTAGGCATTATGGACAGATCAGTGGGTAAGGGGTGAGGTGAGATTATTTGGGCTGGGCCAATGGCTCAGGCTAATCAATGTTATATTAAAAATATAAAGCGGGGAATGTCGGTCACTCACTGGAGTGACCACTGGGGTATTTTTGTTTTTTATTTTATTTTGCTTTAACATCTATAAACTTTTATAATTAGGGATCTATGTTTCTGATTGTTACCAAGCTCACTGAAATCTGAAAGTTGGAGGTCATGAATTGTTTGGTGTAAGATGCTAAATCAGGAAGGCGTGGTCACTTATTTATAGTGAATAAGGTTAACACCACTGATAGTGATCATGGCAGGGAATACCCTCAGCACCCCCTAGGTGGCAATAAAGAGCAATGAGAAATACTTCCCCCCATCATCCAAAAAATTAAATTTAATTTTAGGTGTAAATGCACATGGTAAAAACTTCAAGTAACATAGGAGGTATTAATAAAAAAAAATTCTCCCTCACATCTCCTTCCCCCCAAAATAAACTGTTGAGAGTTTCTTACTTTTGGGGGACATAGTTTGGTATAGTTTTAAAACTTTTTCCAGAAAAAGTAGTTGCTTATATCTCTCTCCTTTAAGAAATTGACACAATTGGGACTCCCCCCCCACCGCAGTATATACTTCCAGTTCAGCACATACAGATCTCCCTCATTTTTTAAATGGCTGCAGATTCCATAACAGTAATGTTAACATTTATAGAGTGCTTACTGTATACCTGGCACTGTCCTAAGCACTTCCCTTGTTTTAATCCATTTAATCCTTATAAAGCCCTAAAAGGTGCATTCTGTTATTATCCCCACTTTTCATATGAGAAAACTGAGGCATAGTTAGTAAATGATGAAGTCACCATTTAGATGCAGGGCATTTGACTCCTGTGTCTACATTCTTTTTTCTGTTGTTTTTTTTTTTTTTTTTGGTTTTTTTGTTTTTTGCTTTTTAGAGAGGAAGGAAGGTGAGGGTGGGGCACAGGAAGAGATTTGTTGTTCTACTTACTGATGCATTTATTGGTTGACTCTTGTATGTGCCCTCACCAGGAATTGAACCCACAACCTTGGCATGTTGGTACAACACTTTAACCAACTAAACTACCGAGCCAGGGCCTCTGAGTCTGCACTGGTAACTACTTTGTTAAAATACTGTGGCATAGATGTACCATATTTGACTTGGAGCTCTCTTTTCTCAGTGCTCTTTAAAAGTTAGCTATCTTTTAAAAATTGGGCTAAAATATATTGTTGTAAAACATACCTGGGATTTTGGTTTTATGCATGCATGGTAAGACCTACAGGTCACGAAACAACTGCCACTGAAAAGATAGTTTAAATTTATTACTTCCAGTTCCTTGGGGGAGAGGGGATCTCAGGGCCACAAGAGAAAACCCTAAGTTGGTTGCAGGCAGAGAGAATAAGGGGAAAGCATGCGCTAAATGCCCTTATTGTGGTTTCCGAGAGGCTGGGCAAGGCGAGGTCAACAGTTTGGGATTGGATAGGCAATAATTTTGGTGGGCTCTGGGCTATAGTTGTCTGGTCCCTGACCCTGGGATGGTTAGGACAGAGGAATTTTGCCTCCTGCAGTGTAAAACCCAGAGAAAAGAGGTCGTTCGGAGTATGGGTTCTGCATTGGTTGGCCTACATATTCCAGACAAGTCATCTACTATATCACTAGAAGTTAGTTAACCTTGGGAGGGGCATCTCCCCCCTCCCTGAGGCACCAAGATGTCAAAGCATCATAAAGTATAGAAAATAAAAATACAAACAGTACATATACATAACATCAAATTTACCATTTTAACCAATTTTTTAAATCCTCACCTGAAGAACTTTTCTGTTGATTTTTTAGAGAGAGAG